GATTGAATTGAGTGATTCCTTGTTACAGCCGCCACCCGGAATGTTGTCCGTTCTACCAGATCCGTCCCTGGGAGGCTGGGACAAGGTTGATGCCGCGGAGCTGATAAATGTCATCTAGCAATTTTCAGTACATAGTACATAGCCTGATGCACACGACCTCCCTTGCCTCAGATCTGCCGCTTTGGGCGGGCTGCATAGCATACAGGCCCACTCAGGTTGCACGGCGCAGTTAAGTGTAATGCCCCGACTCGCTCGCTTCTCTGGTCCAGACTCTTCTTTACGGCCACTTCGCCGTGTTGTCATTCACCGCTGTCTTCCGGGCTGAAGACATTGGGTACGAGCGAGCATTGAACGGTCTTCAATGAAACGTTTCGTTCTCTTTGAGTGTATGACAGTATGTCTCATTTGACGTGTAAAATGGCTGATATCCGTGATCCGCATACGGACGCCGTTCACGATCCGATCGGATGCGTACAAATGATAAGTACCTACTTATGGTACGACTTTTGTCGTTAAGCCGGGCATGGAGGAGGCGCCAAATCAGCAGCGGCTCAAGGGGGAGGTACGTACTTTTTCAGGGGCATCTTTTAGTTATATCAGTCGATGAACAGATCGAGCACAACGGCTTACAGGAACCATTTCTATATTCTTGGGACATTAAGTCCACGCCAGTCTCTTAAACGTCCTTATAGAGCATAGTATCATTTCTGGATTCAGCTTGCGCCAGCCACGTCAAATACAATCCAGAAGCTGAACCTGTCCTCGCGAGAAACAGTCAGCTCGACCAAATCCTCAAACCTCCCTTCCTTATTCGAGTCAAAGCTCAAAGCCACAACTTGAACGCTGCCGGTCAAGTACGAACTTCATTCTGTCTTGCGAGCACCATGTCACCCCTGCCCGACGCGACCGCCTCTCCTTCTCCGAACCTCATCAACCCAGCCGGCACGACTACCACGACATCAACAACCCCACTACCTTCAACCACTTCCACCCCATCAGCAGAACCTCCGCCCAGCCCCGCACTCGCCGTAGTGCTCAGTGTTCTCGCCTTTCTTGCACTCGCAGCCGTCGTGCTTTGGTGTGTGTGCTGCCGCGGACGGGGCCGCACGATCGGAACGACCACCACGACTTTCACTAGCACAACTGCTAGTACGGGTACAAGGCTGGGAAATGGAGCTCGACCGGGAAGAGCAAGAATCAAGGTCGTCCGTTCAGTGGCAGTTCCTCGGTTGTCATCGTCGTCTTCATCAGGGGGGAGGGATAAGGGGCAAGGGCAGCCTGAACGTGGTGAACGGGATGGACGGTCTGCGTCTGCGTCTGCGTCGACCTCCGCGGCTGCTTTGGCAATTGGGGCTTCTTCACGTTCCGGCGGGTTGGCAGCGGGCGGTGGTGGACTGTTTTCGCCGACTCACTCGGGTGAGATGAGTTCGAGCGGAGATGGCGGCGGTGGTAGTAATGACACTTCGGAATCGATGGGAGTGGGTGAACTTGGAGAGCCTGCGTCTGGCGAATATCAACATCACGGGCACGGCGTCATGAGATCATATCTGGACCCGGAGGGCCGGTCGGATTTGACCAAACACAGCGCCGGGGTGGAGAGGCCGTTGCCTCGATGCGCTGTTACGGATCTTCCTCGGACTCTTTCCGCTACAACAGATCTAGGGAACTGAGGCGAGGCATTAATCTTGGCTAAATCTCTACCTCCTGAGCGCGGGAATGGCGCATCTTTCCGATCGCTATGAAGTCGGAAATAATATGAGTGCTTGATTGGCGACTGGTGTCACTGAGGCAATGATGAGAAAGGGGCTTGTATTGTCTGGTGGGAGAGGGTGTCTTGACCTACCAGTATCTATCTATATAGATCTGCCATTACCTAGTGCCAACCATAAGAATAGATCGGCCCTTGTGCTTTGTCAAGCTAGAGTCCAGTGCGATTGCTCCAAAGTTTACCTATTACCTGACCCCTTAGCCTGCAGTGGAGGACTTCCGTAGCATACTTCCCTACAAAACAACATGGTATAAATAACTCAGGGGGGCCACCCATCCAGCGAACATACCGTGACGCTCTGCTGCCGCCCCTTACTCCTACCCTGACCTCATACCACCGTACACCCTTCCTGTCCCAGGTTGCCAACCAATTACCCACCGGTGACATCCCTCTCATCTCAGTACAGCTGATACCCAAGCGAACTCTCCAGCACAAGACCCGGCACACCATCAGCCAACCTTTCCAGCCCCTCCAAGCGTGCAACCGCCTTACTAGCGCCACAGTCATGCCACTCGAACCCACCCGTCCTCAACACCGGTTCAGGCGAAGCCTCCGGAGTGACAAGCGCCATGCCGCCCACCTTTGCCCAAGCCGGACTCACCGATTCCACACCTGCGGTCGTACCTTTATGTACACCATTGACCCCTTTTGCAGCAGCAGGGCCTCCCCACGGCTGCCCAAGTCCCAGCGGGCCATGATGATCCATGTCAGGCTGCTGCCAACGCTGTCGATGCAGGCCGACACCGTCCCTGACTGCTTCGATGACGGACGTGAAATTGATGTTGGGGAAGGGTTTGGTCGGGCGAGGCCAGACTAGACGATGTCGGTGCAGCGATTTGATTAGTTCGCCTAGGAGGAGCGAGTCACAGTGGTGTTTGGCGCATGGGACGACGCTGCTGTTGCTATCAGAAGAAGAAGAAGAAGCGAGGTCGTCGAGGGTTTGGTGGACGATGTCGAGTGTGCGAGTGAGGAGGTCTTGCCGTTGGGTGTCGATGTGTTCTAATGATGTTAGTAGCTCAGGGGTAAACGGGAAGGTAAGCGAAGATGGGGGATTAGAATAAGGGGGATGGTATCGATAGGGGGCGGTTGGGGGGCGGGGTTTGTACTAATGATCTTGTGCTTGATGGGAAGCTTCAAGTCGCGTATTTCCTCTTGACTGTGCAACGCGGCTATTCTGGTGACGGACTTGAAGATTTCCGCATGACGGAAGACGTAGCTGACGTAGATCCAGAGGACCAGATCCCGGTTGTATGCGTTAGGGAGGCCATATGCAGCCTCTAGATTCGAGATCCACCGCTCTGCGTATATCCCCACAGCGTCCAGTAACTGGAACTTGTCGACAAACAGCGCAATGTTCGCGAGAGTCGCCAGATCGACCGACCTGGGCACCTTGGAGCTCCGTCCGTGGATCACGTTCATGACAATGCTGACTGCCTTGGCATCAAAGCCCTCGGCTAGTCTCAGATGGACGCGCCCATCGGACTGCCGGACCGCTCCGGAGCTGCCAAACTGAAGCTTGGTTTTAAAAACCCGTGAGGCGAGGGTCAAGTGCTTCGTAGAGACCTTGATGTGGAGACCCGGGATGGAGGGTCCGGAGGAAACTGAGGCTGCGGTTGGATTGGGCCTTTTGCCGTCCAAGTTGTTGATAGTCAGGCCATTCGACTCGTCCAAGGTCTTCTTGCTTGGAGGCACAATAAGCAGTGCATCAGCATCCGGGTCAACCTCGTAAAGTGAGGCCAGGTTCGCAAAGGGCGAGGCCACAACCACGACATGCAGAGAATCCATAACTATCTCTTTTCACAGCTCGCTTCTGGCTGGTTCCGCTCACTGGCCTTATTGTGAATGATACCAGGCAGTTTGATAGTTTAATTCCAAGTCCATCACCTTGTCGCCAAAGATCATATCATCACATCATGTTGACTGGAATCAAGCATGGGCGTGCGGGGCACAGCTGATCACGCAATCGGCCAAGGCAAGCCACTCACTTTTGTGGGATTCAGCTTTACAATGACAAAGGGCTGCAGCTTGGCTGCTTGGAGATGCCGAGGCACTTTGCCCAATCGGGCTCAATGATTTGTTGTATAGGTAGGTACACATAACTACTGCCACAATCGTGGTCTGGCTCTCAAGTTGGCTTCTACCTAAGTTGACTGTTGAATACAATGTATGGGAAGAGGATGTTAATGATAGCATGCTGCTAACACTCAGCATTAAGGGCCAGAGTACCTTACATACCTACCTTAGTTGGCTTCATCATGCTGTAATTGATGTCCCCATTGCTGCCTCAGAGTACATTTCATGTTAGGGTGAAGGTTTGTGTTGCTAAATAGTGTTAGAGGAGCCCCGTCCCCCTATTCAGCAAGGGGCCTGAGGGCTGCTATAGACGTTTGTTGCAAGTCAGGCTTACCTCGTATTCTAAAACATAATCTTAACCCAATTTGAGTCTGATAGCTTTCTGACAGTCTTCGACAATTTCTGTGCTAGCACTGGGACGGACTACGGCAGTGTACCTGCCTAGAGATATTTTGTAACTTGCCCCCTGATGGAACATCGAGCATTTCCTGCTACACCTGCAAGCCCCGATTATACGACTTGGAGAAACGCAACGGCTCACATGCATTGTCAGAGGACTAGTATTTCATGTTCTTGAGGTCAGGGATGAATCGATAGTCACGTTAACGGTCTGGTCTAATCGCCCCTGGCCTTCTTCGGGGGAATGGTCACATGTCGTGAAACTGATGAAATGAAAGGGTAGGCACCTTCTCAGGTAGATCCCTGGCCTCTGGTCTATGGGAAAACTTTGCGTACATCTTCAAGGCCATAATGTTTTTAGCAGTCGGAACGGCGGCGCGTTCAGATCCCGCAAGCGAGCACGGTCCGGCTGAAGCAGCAGCATCAGGTGTCCGCGTTGACGCCCCATAAGCACTTTGGGTTTTCGACTGCCAAGTAAACTGCATATCAGAGCGATATAGTATCAGGCCAACCTTTCTATCAGTCTCTGGACGGGCACCCATGGAGAGCCACTGGTGTTTGGAAGCAACCCCTGAATTCGGACTGTATTTGCTCCTAGCACGTAAATGCTGATGGGTTGCAACTGGTAATTGGGGTGCCTACGGCGGTTGTGCACCTAGTAATGGTTTACACCCCCGTTGTTTCCTGTGCTGTCTTCCCGGCAAAAGCCGGAGAAACGGCCCACCGCCATGGGCAGCTCAATCGTGGTTCCAGGCGGTTCACAGACCGCACCTCGCCTCACGGATGAATTCGCATACCCCATACCTCACATATACCTTACCGTGGTGTGTCCTTCCCCGTAGAATTGCTTGTCTCCTGCATATTGACCCCAGATTCTCTCCAGGCCAAGCAGCGCCGCACTAAAGCATCTCCACATGTATGAACCGAAGGCAGGGTGGCAGGCTCACGTCATTGAGGGTCGTGCCGTTACAACCCGGACTGGTTTTCTTCTCATCTCCACGAATGTACTCACAAGAAACGAAACAACCTAATCTATGATTTACACCTAGGTCGCAGCAGCACTGCCGGCTAAAATCAAGATATAGGGTAGCTGGTAACCGTAGACTCGACCAGGCCCATTGGCGGCATCCACTTCAGTTGGAGCGCTTATGGACGTGATGAAGTCGACATGGGTTGATGCAGAGCAAGGGGTTACGACCATGATTGGTATTGCTCCTGGCCGTAATGCGAAGCCTAGAATAGCCACTCCCGTTGATCATGTTAATCAACAAGAAATTCGCCGCGATTCCATGCGCCGGGACAGGGGCTCTCAGTGATCTGCGACGATCATATTGATGCCCTTCCGCAACTCTAATAGATCATAGACGTCGTCAACGGTCACGGCAAGGCAGTTCAGGCTATGATACCACGTGGGTTTGGTTGCACCGCTCTAGCCGCGCCGTTTAGGGTGTTGGGTCGGCATCTTAAAGCCGAATATGCACTTGTGCAGCACGGGGTAATGCGACCGAGCCTCTTCTTTCTCTTTGAGGATATGAAGACTCGTACTACCTAGCTAGGTATGTACACAAACAGAGAGTACGTACCGGTACCGGAACGTCAGGGGCTGAAAACATTGCCGGCGCTAATCTACTAGAAACATTCTAGGAGCAGTTGTGGGGTATGCGATCTGCCTCGGCGCTCCTAGCGTGCTCCATCAGGGCTCCGGCCTGGATCGCTTGGAATCGGATGGTGGATTCGGCACTGCTAAGGCTACGGATTCTTCTGCTGCAAATGGGAATCTCGGAACCACTGCAGCGCAGCGTGGCCCTGCTGCCAAGGCGCGACGGTTTGCGGGGCACGGTAGATCATATATCAGGGGGCAGATTCAGGCTAAACTGCCGAGCAAGACCCATCTTGGCCCCTTTCATTCGCAGCTGTCGACGATGGTGGCGCATGGCGAACCAGGAGCCAGGGTTGGTCAATGCCAGGAGACACAACAAGATGCAATTCGCCGGCAGAAAGCTGACAACACCATGGCGCCCCTCTTCACTGCCATCCTGGTGACGGAGATGGCGGCGCATAGACGCCGGCGGAAACCCAGTCGTTACCCCCTGGCCAATATACCCTTGGAAAGCATAGTACATGGCATAACAGCTCGGTGGGAATCCCGGGTGTTCCTGCCCTGTAGCCGGGTAAGGACATGGATAGAGCGGGATGGATACGATCCCTAGCCGGAGATGATATTTCCATATTGACGGCGACATCTGTGTATATAATGGACCATTATCTCCTTCGCTGCTCAACCCGCCTCTTCATCCTCACCACAGAGTCGCACGCTCCTTTAAGTCACGACAAGCCGCAAACATGGTCTCGTTCAAGGCTCTTCTCCTCGGCGCCACCGGCGTTCTCGCCTTCCCCTTCAACGCCACCGAGTTCAGCGAGCTCGTCGCCCGCGCTGGCACCCCCAGCAGCACCGGCACGCACAACGGCTTCTACTACTCCTTCTGGACCGACAATGGCGGCACCGTGAATTACCAGAACGGCGCTGGCGGTTCTTACAGCGTCCAGTGGCAGAACTGCGGCAACTTTGTCGGCGGCAAGGGCTGGTATGTTTACCTACCTTACCCCTGCTGGGAATAGGGGCTAGACGGATACAAGTACTAACACCCCCCGCAGGAAGCCCGGTGCCGAGCGGACCATCACCTACTCTGGCAGCTTCAACCCGCAGGGCAACGGCTACCTGGCCATCTACGGGTGGACGCGGAACCCGCTGGTCGAGTACTACATTGTCGAGTCATTCGGCAACTACGACCCCTCGTCGCAGGCGTCCAAGCTGGGCACAGTCCAGTCCGACGGTGGCACCTATACGATCGCCAAGAGCACGCGTGTCAACCAGCCGTCCATCGAGGGCACCCGCACCTTTGACCAGTACTGGTCGGTGCGGCAGAGCAAGCGTGTGGGTGGTACCGTCAACGTGGGCAACCACTTCCGCGCCTGGCAGTCCAAGGGCCTGCGCCTCGGTTCGCACGACTACCAGATTGTGGCTACTGAGGGTTATCAGAGCAGCGGTTCTGCTTCCATCACCGTCTCGGGTTGAGACAGCGGTGTATGGTTTGTCAAGAGCTGGAGGTGTGATCACCACGGCAACGGAAAAGGGGGTTCTGTGGACACGGTAAACAGGATCCTCTCGTTCATCTTCAATCACATTTTTGTATTGTACATAGCGTCGTACATTTTCTTCGTTTATGCTCAGTTTGGAGCGGAGAACCAAGTCCATGATATCAACTAGCTGTATGTACGTACATAGGCAAGGTTCTTGGGTAGTCAACAAACAAACTTAGCAACCCCTTCCCCTGAGTGGCCACCCCATTCCGTCCCTTTAAGAACACCGAGCGATTATTTGTCCGACAATGCCTTTCCCTCTTTCAAACCGAAGGAGTCTCCGAAGGCGGCGCCCCTCCATCCGTGGGCATCGTACCATTAAATCCCGGCATGGTGCCATTACCCCCAGGCGCACCACCACCACCACCATTGATCCCCCCCTGCACAGCATGCCCCCCATCCGCATCGAGATACGCCGCCACACTGTAATACTCATCCGCCGAGTAATCCGCACTGACATTAATCCCAATCTGAATCCACGCAAACAACCCCTGCGTCACATCCTCACCCAAATAAACAAACTCCGGAAACGGATCGTAGCTCGCATCCGTCTGAACAATGCTCCACATATCCTCATCATTGCTGGTAATGGCCTGCGTATTGCTGCTGTACGGGTACACCTTCTCCACCTCGGCCCTCAAATCCTCCGGGTAAAACAGCTGACCAATATGCGCCACGGGCGCGTTCCAGACTTGGATAGTCCCGTTCTTGGAGACAGTCGCGTTCGTGTGCGCAAGCAGATGCGTGTGTGTCGCCCGGCCTTCGTAGTGGCCCGGGAAGATGGTCTCGAACTGGGCCACACCATCATGGTCCGTCAGTTGGATTCCGCGGAGGTATGTCGAGTTGTAACCGCCCGCGGCGTAGTTGCCGGATGTGCTGATGCCCGAGTAAATGCCTGTTGCGTTGCAGTTCCAGATGTCGACGGCCACGGCGGGGACGGGCTCGCAGGTTTCGACGTTGATGTACTGCACTTCGAGGAAGAGATCGATGCCGTCGCAGTATTGGGCCTCTTTTACGTTGGAGCGGAAAAATTCGCCGACTACGTAGTACGGCCCGTCGGTCACTTTGGGAGAGAGGATGCAGGAGGTGTTGGCGTCGAAGACGGTTGAGAGGGGGGTGAACATGTCGTACGCCGCCAGGCCGGTCATGTTGTGGTTGACTTCTTCCCACGCTTGGAGGTCGGCGAGGTCGCGGCGGTACTTTTTGGGAGCTGCTTGGGTCAGTCGATGTGTTATTCCAGGAGGATGTATTCCGTGACGTACAAGTCTTGATGTTCCTCTCGTCCCGGAGCTTCTTCACCTTCTCAGCGCGGCGTTTGATGGACCGCTGCTTGAGAGCTCGGGCGGTTTCCGTGTTGGAACACGAGCTCAGGGACCTCGCGGCCACCCTGGCAGCATGATCGCGGGCAACAATCTCACGCTTCATGTGGTGTGCATCGTGAGACTCGCCGGGGTGAGCAACCGCCGTGGCAGCTAGCAGGGCAACATAGAGCTTGAGGATGCCAACCATGGTGAGTATTTGCAGGCAACGGAGGGTGTCGAAGAGTAAGAGGAAATTGAAGAATAGACTCTTCCTTTCTGCCAAGAGTAGCGAGGAGAGGAGATAGAGAGAGAACAGTCCCCTTTTATCATCAGCCGTCCTAGCTTCATGTTCGTACCCATGCTGGAGCCGCCCAGGTTTAACGCCCAAGCCTCTCATTGCTGTGTGGATGCCGAGCCGAGCCTTGCCCTCAAAGTGGACATGTACACTAACAAACCGTTGATGGATGGGGACTGGGGAGTTCCAGAGATGACGAGCCCAACTACAAAGCCGCATTCGAATTGACCACTAGCTGATTGGCCAGTTCGAGCACGCAGGGCATGGTTCTCAGGATGTCCCCTGATTCCACGATGGGGCACTTCAGGAGCAGCAACGCCATCAACAAGGCCACCTCGGTATGTGGGGGACAAAATCTTCTTTTGTTCCATAAGTTTTATCCCACGACGAACCGATTACAAGACATTTGGTCCACACCCGGTGCCGGCCCGTTGCGCTGCCTTGTTATGGGACCGGGGTGCCGTCACTAGCAGAGTCGTCACCAGAGCTCCACCGTCCACGCGTACACCGGGGACAACCACCTAGCTGACTACTACGACCAGTGGCACAACTCGAACCTGCACCAGCCGTGCTGTTCTTACCTGCTGCGGAGCATGATAGGGTAGGTGTCAGTGGAAACCTGGACGATTGCTCGTGATGCGTCATGCAAGCCGCTTATACATAATACGAGGCCTTGCCCCTTAATATCGCGTCTTTTTACATCGCCGCCGGATGTTGCAAGCTTCATTGCACGCATTGTGACGGAGCCATCCTGCAGCCCAAGGAGTGAGAGTACCATTGGATCACAGCATTGCACATTGCTAAAACCACTCGTGGGATCACGATGCTTCTTGCGAGACCCCTAGGTCTCGCTTTCGTATAGAGTCCTGCTTACCTTGATAATGATACCCATTGAACTTGCCGTGTCCGGAGAAAAGATATACTTCAAGTTGACGTTAACTTTCCACTACACACCAAGAAGTATGTTCAACAACATCGTGATCGGTGCTGTAGGTACTCATGAAATCAATATCATGATACAAACAATCCCCCCCAACCTTAACCATCAACCTTTTGGGTATTTCGCCAATCTTCCACCAAATTCTCAACCGTCACACTACCCACCTACCTGAATTCAAGCCAACATCAGGTAGGCCTTCCAAGCCATAAACACAACTATCCCCGTACTCTAAGCCAGCTTCCGTCCTAGCTGAAGATCCAGCTAGACCCCGAAACCCCTCCCTCTCAAACCCCATGTTCAATCCTCAAATACCAGCCACTGCATCACTCCAAATTCTTCCTCCCCACCCCAGGAAGCAACGGATCAACCTCATCCCCTCTATCCGCCTTAACATCCTCCTCCGACTCCGTCGGTTTCCCTCCAGCCTCCCCTGCAGGCATCCTAATAACACGGTGCAACCCCGGCGGCAGGGGGTCTTCATCAGACCGATCCGCCGCTACATCGGCCTCGCTCTCGGTGGGGTTGCCCTTGACCTCTGCGCCAAACATTTGTGCCGAGATCAGCACCCCCGTGCCGGCCCCTGTGTTTCCCGGGGGTTGGCCGTGGTAGATGTGTGTGCTGTAGAATGATCGGATGCGCTCGTCGAGGCTAAGGCTGCTTGCCGGCGTTTCCCAATGTACTCGGTCCCGGCCTATTAGGATGCTGGCGCCTGTATGCAGGGTGGTGGTGGTGCTACTGGTGGTGGTCGGTTGCTCTTGGGGCGAGGTTCTTCGTCGAATGCGGAGTGCGTCGACCGTGCTTGCGCGGGTGGCAAATGTGCGCAAGGGAGTTGCCATGGCAAGGCCACGGGTGGTTCTCGGGAGGGTTCGCATGGTTACAGGTCAAGTATGACAAGACTCCGACTCGAGGGTGATTTCAGCTTAGGAATCTTTTGGCCGGTTACTTGTTGCGAAGTTCCTCCTCGATACCATCATGGTTATGGCGGCGGGAGGATACTATAAAGCGAAAAGGTGAGTTGAGTCAGTCATACTGTTGTTACTGTTGTCCTTTGGCTCTTGCGTCAAAGGAACGTCACAACAAGTCCAGACAACAAAGCCCCTCATGAACGTACCGCACATCTCCGCAATTCTTCATCGGCTGATATTGATCTCGAGAACAAACGGGTACTGCTTAGTAGGCCTTCTCGCCATTCGGTCGTCTCTGAAGATGTGTTAATATTAGCTTTCTTCCAATCTTGCATGTGGAAAACTTACCTACACTATTGAACTGCTGCAGCGGATTTTCCTACAAGGGACACCGATTCGCAATCCCGATCTGGACTCGAAGACAGCATGCTCACGCCTCGCGCTCACCCAATCTGATCAATAAGTCACTCTGGTCCAGGGCAGCATACACCAACACATTCCGCTCGACCATAGGGTCACGTATCAAACCAGGGAGAAACGGACACTTTTTGCCGCCCATCACAAGCCCTGCAGGGCCCAGCCGCTGCCCGTCATGGTTGAGAGATAAGGAGTCTGAGCGATTAAGTGAAACTCTTGCATGGCGTATCAACCCTAACGTTACGACAGCTCATATGCCGGCTAGCCGAAGCGCGCTCAACTGTCAGCCAGAGGCCGCCGTCGCGGCAAGGAGAGATCGACAGGAGCAGGAAATGCGGGGGACAACGGACCGGGTTGGGCGAAGATCGGCGCAAGTTACCGAAGATTGACCGGCAATCTCTGCTTGGAAGAGAAGGAGAAGCGCTTCGGCACCGGCCAGAGATTGTGCCCAAGGACGGTGTACTCGGTTGCTGAAACATATTAGGCTCCTGATGCCTGGGAAGTCCTGTCGTTCCAAAATCTTTGGAGATCTGAGGGAACATGGCCCTCTTAAGCGCAAGCTCAGGGCCGATTCAGGGGCTCCCGCAAGGAGAGATCTTCCACCTTAAATCTGGCCATTGTACGAACAATGTCCCAGCAATCTCGAACTTGGCCATGATCCCTGGCTGACTACAACAACATTCAACATGTCAACCACCGTAATAATCGGGCAAGCACCTACAAACATCGGTCCTCTGACAACAACGTTCACTCCACCACCTGAATGCACAGTCGCCGTAGGGGCGGACCGCGGCCTGCTGGGTCTGATAGGTGGTGGGAGGAGGGATGTTGCGTGGCTGGGGCAATCCTGCTTCGGCGGCGAGCCGGTTGATGCCACCACGTGTTGGCCGCCGGCGTCCAGCGGTACCGATGAGAAGAAAACTCCACTCCAGGGTTGGGGGTTTTACTCGCCTGGCCTGCACTGCCCTGCCGGATATGCTACAGCATGCTCGGCGACGGGAGGCAGCGGGGGAGGATCGGACTGGCCGGTACAGTTCAGGCTGCGAGATGGAGAAACCGCCGTGGGCTGTTGTCCGAGGTCAGTTCCCTGCCATTCACTTGTCTAGAGCCTTGCTAACTAGTACGATCAGCGGTTATGGCTGCGCCAACGTCAATGGTCAGACGTGCACAATGATTGCCACGTCGACTACTATCCCGACCGTCACTGGCGACGGGAGCAAGAGCGGTGACTTCGCCTTCCAGACGGTTCCGGACGAGGAAGGGTCCATCACGGCCTTCAGCTTGTTCGCACCCATGATCCAGATGAACTGGCAGAGCAGTGACCGCCCGGAGCCAACGTCGACAGAAGCATCGTTGCGTCCAACAGCATCTGAAACGACTGCTGAGATTGCTGAGACTGAGAGCAGCCCGCCAGTATCCTCAGAAACCCAAGGTGCTGATACTGGAAGGGGATCCGCCACTCAGACACCGGAGATTGATGATAACCCGCAAAGCACTTTGACAGGAACCCTCGAACCTGGAGGTGTTGCAACCCCATCTGGGTCTTTGAACCAAGAGGAGGCGACGCCGAGCGGACAGGGTTTTAGTTCCGGTACGAAAGTCGGGCTGGCTGTCGCGGGCTCGGCCATTGGCATGTTGATGCTCGTTTGCGCATTGTTTTACGTCTGGCGACGGAGGAAACTAAAACGGGAAGAGGCGGAAGTGGATCGGCTGTATGGGATGAAGCACGCCTCGGGTTCGGCCTCCGACCTCATGACCAGCGAGGACATCCCAGGATGGTATCGCGGCCAGAGGTTGACGCCGCTCAACAATCCGACGTATGCAATGCATCGTGGTTTAAGAGAAAAAGTTGTACTTCAGACACCAGAATCGCCGTATTATCGGGGATACTCATCCTAGATGCATTATGGATCATAGGGGTTAAGTGCGCATTCAGCATTTTGAGCGTTTGTGAGCGAAGGCAGGAGCTTTGCGTTTGTGTAAAAGAAATCTACTAGAGTAGACAGGTTCAAAAGTTAGGTACCTGTTGAGTACGAGATCTGCTTACCACAGTGGGCGCACTGTGGTTATTACTGTATCAATACTGCCGGGCTAATAACGCCCACGCCGCCTTGCTACAAATTATCCACAATGATCAGCGTGTGTACTTCGTATGGATGCCATAATCGTACACCGACTTCAACTCATCTCAATTCTCAAACGGTCAATCCTCGATATATTAACTTATTAAGATCATAAAATGGACTCGCAACACAGTGCTTACTCAGTTGAACATACTCAATCTCCCGGAGGACATTCTTCGCGAAATCTTCCGCTGTTTTGAGGACAAAGGCCTCTATAGGGTCTCCAATAAAACACTTTGCATCGACTACCGCATCCCCTACCCTTTCGATGAAGACCTCAGGAAGTTCAAGACAGTGCAAGCGATCCGCTTGGTGTGTCGTGCATTCTGCTGGCATGTATCGCCGTTGCTGCTCCCCGTGCTCCGCGTGAGCATCAGCACAAAATCTCTCAATCGAGCCGACCAACCCACTAGGAACCCCCAAATTGCATCCGGCGTGCGGCTCGTCCAAGTGTCTCTCTCATACCGTCCAAAAGAGATCGCTGAGAGCCCTGATCTTTACAGGGAGATGCAGTGCCAAATGTTGGAGGATCTACTCGACACTTGTAAACACTATACTGAGTACATCGGCGACCCCTGGCGAGATAAGCAGTATTTGGATGGAGTCAAACCCTCCGAATTTTCAGAGGCCTTGGACGCCATTACGAAGCTAAGAATGGCAACCCTTCTCTGGCGCAACAGCTTTACGGATCTTCGACCGCCAGAAGATCGCAAACAAATCCTTAGCGAGGAGGAAAGAGACAGATTGTGGGACTTCGTCTCCCGATGCTACACGGAATACCGACAGAAACACCAAGAGCAGGAACGCTTGTTGAACGATGGATCATTTGCAACGGCTCTCGCTGCGTCAATCAACCGTCTCCCATCAGTTCGGGGACTCGCCTTGCTGGATGTTTCGGAACTGTACACCCGTTCGTCGTCCTGTTCGTCGGTGACAAGGTTGGCAACTGATCTCGAGGAATTACGCCAAGCGATGGTTTCATCGCAAGAATGGGACTATCTCAAGTACTTAAGAGTCACACCAGAGATCCAGTCCGCCAAACTGCTATGGCAACTGCCCATGGCTATCCATGCAACAGGGAAACAGCTCAGCGAGCTCTCAATCTCAATCCTCCCTACGACAGGCAACTTCTGACAAGATGTGTCCCTTCGATCTATTTACCGGCGCCACGAACTGGGAGGGTCTCAGGGCCGCGGTCCGATCTATCCGGACCCTTTTGGTCAAAGCCGGAGACGGTCGCCTAGTACAGCTCCATCCCATCCTCGCACAGAATCAAGCTTACTTGAACAATTACCTTTCCGCCCTGCTCTCCGGCCCGTGCTTGGAAGACGTGGATCTCGATTTCGGTGCCCTGACACTCCCGTGCCGCGGCCGGGTCATCGGGCCCGTCGATAATCCCGAGCCCCTGAACCCTGTCGGCTCCGTTTTGGCAACAGCTAGTTGGCACAACATAAAGAGGCTTTGCGTCCACTATGCTGCGTTCACCGAAGAGGAGCTTGTGAATTTCTTTGAGAGGATAGGTAATAGGCTGGAGCGGATATATTTGTGCCAACTAGGTGTGGTGAAGGAGGGTGGTTGGGCGCGTCCGTTGGAGGTTTTGCGGGAGAAAGTCATGCGTTCATGTGTAAGTTCCGACGCCCTGCTCGAGGACTTGTGCGGTGGGGGGTTTTGTGACGTCGACAAGGCCAAAGAATTCGGACATGAGGAGGGAAGTGAAGATTCTCATGATGATTGGGCCTGTCGAGCCGCTAGGAAGTATGTACTTGGGATCCGGGCGATGAACCCTCTTGCGGAACTTGAGCGATCGAGTTTGGCCTGGCCGCCGCCTGATACTTGTAGTCACTCTCTATGCCAATCCGATGTCTAGAGGTGTTATAGAGGAGTGTATACTGATCAAGGGAATCAACCAAACGTTCGGTCTCTCTTTGTCAACATCGTTGCCGTCGCGAACTTGCAAGCGAGCCAGCTAAAGTCGCTGGACTATGCTGAAGAGAAGTTGCCAGGCGCTCAGACCATTCAGCCCGGGCGTTACTGTGTAATCTGACAGTGCCTAGCTAGGTATGTACATACTGTACCTCAGCCTACTAGCGGTGCTGCCAAGACCCCATGGATCCACTCCATGACAGTGACACCCGACTGCAGTGCCTGCACAGCTTCCACTGCACCACAACTCGACAAGCCCGATGCAATCCACCGCCAAACGACCTTGAGGCACCATCAGTTCTTGTGCTGCTTGGCTTGTCTCAATCTCACGTATGGTGTGTTCCTCTCGACTACCGACATGACACGATGTCGGCTGAGCCCACGCGCCCCCTTCTGCTGCCGCAGAATCGCAAGCTCCGACATCTGCGTGGCCTCTCGATAAGAAACCTGGTCTTTTCTCGCCCACGCGGCCACACGATTGACGACGCTGCTCTCAACAAAACCCCAGCCAAGATCGAGTCCCTGCGAAACGCCCCTCATTTGCATCATGCCCTCTCCTCCGACGACCTAAGACCGCCCGCGGCGCGAAGAAGGAGCACCAATCTTGCCAATGGCAGCCCGGCGGCTAGACAGAAACGGTTCGAGGACGCATTCGATAGCAGGCTCACCGACGTCTTCTTTTCGCTGCATGTCGATGGTGAAGAAGAGCCCATATACATTAGCGAGGTTGGAGAACGCGCGACGGTATGGGAGCCCAGGCCTAGCTGCGCCGCAAGACGTGTCCTGATGGTATGCCAAACAGAACTTCAACTTTCGCCTCTTTGACTCATCCGATCTCGACTCGTCCATTACACAAGCGCCCCAGGTGACCATCAAGGTATGGACAAAGCATCTTGGCACCTGGGGCCTCCTGCTGGTTGAGGAGGCCGACCTGCGAGCCCTCAATTGGCTGGGAAGCCTGCAAAACATTCACTTTCCCCCAAACAGCCTCGTCTTTCACATGGTCGATGGCGTCTACTCGCTCGAGCTCTCCGCCAAACCCCCGCCGCCAAAGCAGGGCATCGCGCTCCCAACATCGTCGTATAATGCCCTCATGAGGCTGGCAACACTGGACAACTCTATTCAGGACGCATTAGCTACGCGCGATCTCCTGACGCAACAGATTAACGATTTCTTGAGTAAAGAGGCCAAAAACCAGGTGCCCGAGGCTGAAGCCGAACTGGCCCTGACAAGCAAATATCTGACCCAGCAGCGGCGGAACGTGGAAGCAGCCAAGAAGCGAAACGAGGACTTGAAAGCCTCAATCGTGGCCAGGAGGGCGGCCATCGCGCAAGGCCGCGACGTACAAGCAAGAGCCGCCAAGGACGTCGAAAACGCCACCGAGAAGCTCGCGCAATCCAAAGAGCTCGTCTCCAAAACCAAAGACCAAATCCGCGGCCAGCGCCGCCGCATCTGCGAAGACCTCTCGCGCATCTACAACATCACCCCAATCCCTCTGGCACCCCCACTTTCCTTCCAGATCTGCGGCTTACCGCTTCCCAACACGGACTACGACTCGTCCTCCTCCTCCTCCTCACGACAGCACAAATCCAAATCCTCCGCATGCTCCCTTACAGCAATCGACGAAGACTCCCTCTCCGCCGCACTCGGCCACGTCGGCCAGCTAGCCGACATGCTGCAGTACTACCTTGGCGTGCCCCTCCCCTACCCCGTCCACGCATTCGGCTCCCGCTCCAGCATCCGCGACGACATCAGCCAGCTGCCGGGCAGCCACGGCCACAGCCACGACCCACGCCAGCGCGAGTTCCCGCTGTACCTGCCCCGCGGCGGCGGCGGGTCCTTCTCCTCGGCCCAGTTCCGCTTCGACTACGCCTGGTTCCTGCTCAACAAGGACATTGAGGCGCTCTGTGCGTCGCAGGGGCTGAAGGTGGTGGATATCAGGCATACGTTGCCGAATCTTAAGTACCTGCTCTATGTGTGCAGTGCGGGGACGGATGAGGTGCCGGAGCGGAAAAGGGGCGGGGTGAGGGGGTTGTGGGCCGGGAGGATGAGGCATATGGGGGTTGGGAATGATGATGGTGGCAGTAGTAGTGTGGGTGGCAGTCGGCGGGGGAGTGATGCCAGTGATGCGCTGGCTAGGCAGCGGGAGGAGCTTAGGAAGGCTGTTGCCGCTAGGGAGAATGGCGGCGCTGTCAGTGGTTTTTCGTCGTCTCCGGCGGAGGGTGCTGCGGACCTGCCGTTTGGGGAGACAAAGCTGACTTTGCGAACCAAAGGGCTAAGGGAGAATGCCGCGCCTTAAGTCAGGCCGGGATTTCAACGCGCCATGCTTATGAGCAGATGGAGGGAGAGACTCGGAGTTTGTGATACCCGAATTAGCGTTTTGAAGCTTTTGCAAACACAATGATCAGCGCTTTTTGTTCCTTTTGGAATTCCTAGCAGTGCCCTTAGCTTGACATACAATCAGCCTGATGCCTTGGCCACATGACACCAGCATCATCATGTCCGGTATCGTGCTTTGGCCCAAGCCATGCAAACAAGCCCCTGTCCCCCCTGAACGCCTCCAGCCCCCAACCAGCCGAGCATTACGAAATAGACACTAAATGCAGCACATTCCATGACGGTCCGTCGCACCATAAAGAGACCCTACCTGTCCTCCTTAACAATCGTAATCTCGGTCTGAACCCTCACCACTCCATTCTCAGGCGGCGGCGGCGGCCACCTCTGCATCTCAACATCATCCCTCACCACCGGCGGCGGTGCCCTCACAACATGCTCAGTCATCTCCACCTCGACCCCACAAACATCATCAATCTCCATGTACCCGCTATCCACCCACGCGCCACGGGGGCGTTTCCCCATGCCCATCCCCATGACCTCCCCGTCAATATAATTCGCCGGGCTCAGTCTGGCCTTTGACGGGCGGCTGCCGATCGTGGGCGGGCCTCCGACAAGTGTGTCGGTCCCGGCACGGTAGGCGTTGGAGCCGGAGCGGGAAGAGCGCAGGTCGCGCGACCGTGAGCCGAGGATGCGCGGGAAGAATTTGACGAGTAACGGCTTGAGGGTCATGACACATGCGCATACGATGGCGCCGTTGATCTCGACCGCGGTGAGGTAGGAGAGTTCGGCGGCTACGTAGGTGAAGTCTGGGTCGGTTTGGGCGCGGAGGAGTTGGATTAGGCGGAGGATGGAGATGAAGCAGACTCTGGGGGCGGGGATGAAGGTTAAGTAGGCTGATGGGTTGTTTAGAATCGCTTTTAAGGGTGGCTTACAGAAACCCAAAGCCGAATACCCCTGAGAGGATGAGCTTTTGGCGTCTGGGGAGCTGGATGCTCCATACGACCGGCATTGGAAGGAGGAAGATTAGGAAGTCGGTAACTGGTCAAAGTCAGCGTGTTTGCTATGCGGGCTTGTCAGGGGTGTGGCTAACCCATGTGCATCCCGGTACTTGACCACCAGAAGCTCTGCGGATGGCAGTACTGCTTCTGCAGAGTGAAGTCCCAGTATGCTTGCAGCGGGATGCAAGCAGTAAATGCGACGAGAGCCATGTAGATGTTTGTGAGGATGACAATGGCAAGCAGGACCTGGCCGGCCGTGCGGGCCCACTTGAAGGAGAAAAGGTGGATGTAGAGCAACAAGATGGACACTTTGGAGAAGCACAGCGAGAGGTTGTAGAAGAGGACGCCATACCAGGCCGCCTGGAACAAGTCAGCCAGCTTCTGTGAACAAAAAATGTCCCTCAGCACTCATACCCTCCCCCAGGCTATTGCGGAAGCCGTGTCAGTTGGGTCAAGATCCCACACATGCTGTCCGGCGCCATGGACGGCCTCTGGAGTCGCACCGGCGTTAGCATCAGCAGCGACTCAAAAGAGCCTGGTATGACGGACGTTCTATTATTCCAGCACAGGTTGCCGCTGCAAATACCTAGATGACTCATTAGCATACCCCTTTAAGGCAAACTGATGGGTCGGCGCACCAGCGCAGCGAGTATGCTCCAATCCGAAGAGCTCAGCACGCGGATGATAGCTCCTCTCGTGTAGAACCGTAATCCCACAAAGCAAGCGGCGATTGCCCAGCAAATGGCCGAGGATACGATAATGTTGACTTTGAGCGAGTCGTGAGGGAGATTAGGGGGCCAGAGCGGCGGTCCTGGCGGCGGTGGTGGTGCCGTGTCACTCATGATGAGATCTCGGGGTAGCACAGTCCCGGGGGCTGACACGATCGACTTGAGCGCCGACTGTTGAACATCCTTGTTTGGTCCTTCCAACAAACAGCTTGGGCTCAGCGCATGCCCGCCACTGCTACACAGTCAAACTTCGAGGTCGTTACGGGGTCGGTTATTCGATTTGAGACTCGGTAGGTGCTAACCAGTAAGGCGGGATCTCACGAACTGAGAAGCCCAGCCCTCCCGGCAGGAATTCTATATAAGAATGGCTGGGTCGCACGGATGTGGTTTGTTGGGGCAGAGCCTGAGAGCTCACCCAAGAGACAGGCTGCAAGCTCGAGTAGGGGACGGCAGCCAATGCAACCTTATCTTGGAGGGCCAAGCATGGATGGCAGAGCTGGACTCGGTTGCGTCGAGGATATAGCATCGGCAATTATGCTTCGTCGGTCCAATTGCGGCCGCACAGGAAGAGCTTGTTTATTCTAGGTTACTTCCGAGTCATCTGTCAAACCTGTCACTAACAAGATGGTGGCGATCGCGGAGCCATATTCAGGGCTAAGATCGCCATCTGGCATGAGTGCTTGTCCTTGCAACCTTGACCCAGGAGAGGGGTTGCGTCCGTCAGTCTGCCCGTGACAGCTCACTGCAGTGCGTCGGTAGGTAGTAAGCTCCTTGTATGCTGGTCGTCGCACGGTCGCATTAACCGTTCAACGGGGTTCTTTCTTTATGCGGCCTTGGGATGACATCTGTAAGGAGCGTGTTTCGGCAATGAGATGATGCCGCTATCCGAAGATCACTGCGAGACTGATTCCTTGTCATCCATCCTATCTGTCATCAGCGTCCTGCAACCTCTCCAGAGCAAAAAAAAGAAAAAGGACCAACCTGAACACCGGTGCTTCCGCAGCAGACAGGGCTTGACGCCCGAGCGCCGAAAGTTCCCTCTGCCATGTTGGTCAGCATGCAGACAATGGGTGCTTGAGGAACCAAGAATTCGATTCGTGCTCTGTCTCGGCCGTGCATGCAAGCGGAGGGTTGGCTGCAAGCGCACAGTGATGAAATTAGGGTACGGAAATGAAATTTCACAATTTTGTAAGCAATTCGCAATTCACCCTAGACCCTGAATTTCAAGAATTTCAGACGGGGGTTGTTACATAGTTAAGACATGGCTCCTAGGCACTGAACAAGCCTGGGGCAGGGCCAGACCTTGGCCTGGCTGGGTGGTGGAAGCGAGGGTTCTGTGAAAATAACCCTAACCCGAAGCTGACCGCCTGCCCGATCTGGTTAGCGCCATTTTCATGAAATTTCCATTGCGAATTCATGGCTGACTGTGAAATGAAATTCGATGGAACCCCTTGAAATTCCGCACCCTAGATGAAATCGCTTTGACGTGGAAGCCGTTGGGTGAGGGGTCCGCCATTAGCGGACGTCTCCACTTATTTTGTGGGGAAGGCCTGGGGACGGGACAAGGGGATAAATCCGCTAATAAATCTACGGATACTTCTCCCCGCTATTCATAAAGAGAATTGCATGTGCCGTGCATTTACCACATCAGCACCTCGATATTGGACGAGTTGGCGGTTCCCAAATTTCGCTTTTGATATCAAGCATCAATAATTAATCAGCCGGCAGCCACATCAACCACAATCCCTCTCACACCCACACACCATGGGCCGCTCCCACTCGCATCGCTACCGCACACTGACGACCTCCAGTCCCCTGCTCTTCCAGCCTTGAAATTCCTATTCTAGAGGTTCCTTGCAGCTTGGGCTGCACGGCTTGGTCCAGAAGTCCAATCGAGAGGTCGAAAATCTTGGCATTGACTCAAACGCTGGGGAAACGATCACAGACCAATCCGGCTTTCGGACGAGATAAGATCTAGATTCCTCAGCCCCGACCGCACTCCGGCATGTCGAGTACTCGGGCCTGTTAGACGTTAAACAAAGCTGCCTTGCTCCAGGAGCACCGAGCATCGCCCTGACAATGATTGCACAATGATCTATACGCTACATGTAGTCGTTTCAGTCAACAATAGTCTTCGTGCTCGTGCACAGCGCTGACTCGGGTGAGTCGGGTTCGAGAATTCTGGGCGAGAGACATGGTTGATATAGACGGCCCAGCAAGCCTGCCTCAGTACAGCATTGGCCGAGTTGGGAGTCCTCGAAAGTTGCTCCGGGTAATTATCCAACCTCTATGCTCTTATTAGGGCAAGAATGACTCTAAAGTAACCTCATAACCTACTGAAAGGAACGGAAAAGACAGACACCACCCCTCTCAGAGCCTCAGTACATAGCCCACCCACCGCTGGCAGAGATCACCTGTCCACTAACCCACCGACTCTCCTCACTGGCCAACCACGCCACAATCTGGGCGATATCATCCACCGTTCCAATCCGATTCTCCACCGGAGTCTGGGACTTCTGCATCTCAATATAATCCTTCGGGATATTCTCCATGAGCTGCGTCTGCACCGGGCCCGGGTTGACGGCATTGACCGTGTGGCCCGCGCCGCCCAGCTCGGCCGCCCAGCACCGCGTCAGGCCCTCGAGCGCCGTCTTGGACGAGCAGTACACCGACAGGTCCTTGAACCCGTACCGCGCCCCGACCGAGCTGATGTTGACGATCCGCCCGCCGCGGGCGGGAAGGTGTGGGAGGACTGCCTGGACCATGAGCATGGGTCCCCGGACGTTGAGGTTATAGATGGATGCGAAGTCTTCGACGGTGACGTCCTGCAGGGGCTTGACGAGCTCGGCGCCGGCGTTGTTGACGAGGATGTCGATGTGCGTGCCGAAGGCTTGGACTGTTTGCTCGATGACTTGCTTAGGGGCGAGAGGGTCGCGCAGGTCGGCTTTGATCTTGATGGCTTGCGAGCCGTTGCCGAGATTGTCGATCTTGGCTATCAGGGCGTCCATGGCCTTTTCGCTGCCTTGGGATGTGTATGTGCCAGCCACCTGTCCACATGTAAATCTCGTGTTCACTGTGTTCCGTTGTCAAGTTTGATGCTACTCACCTTCGCGCCACGGCGCGCCAGCTCGAACGCGATTCCGGCACCGATACCCCGGGAAGCTCCAGTTACAATGGCGACTTTGCCCTGGAGGTTGAAAGACAGGTTGGACAGGGGCATGACGGACTCCATCGTGATCTCGTTATGTAGGGGTATCGCGTTTAAGGTTTCGTATACCGTGGGCAGGTCGAAGGTAGGTGTTCTGGATTTCGACTCGCGTTGGACAACCGGTCCTAGGTTGAGAGTCTATAGCTTCTTGGTTCAAGATGAGAAGTGGGTATTTATGAATCTTTGATGAGCCTGATGTCTTTAGTGTGGGACGAGGTTGTAGATATGTATGATTGTATTGTTGAAGCTGATGACTGTTGTGCAGCGAAGAGTGATGCTCTCCGGGTGAGAAAAGAGCAGTCTTAAATACACAGAATCAGTTCTCATGCCTACCATTCCCATCAGCATAAATGCCATGACGGCGCTCCCATCCAGGACGCCGAAAGCAGTCCGTCGTCCAAGTCCGATGGTGCCATTTGAGCAATACTAAGCAACTTGCGTAAGTTGCGTGCAAAAACCTTGGAGTTTCGGCGTTGATTTCTTGGCTTCCAATTTGTGTTTCGGCCCAGTTGCCAACTTGCCACTTGCCAGACGTGCCAGACGGGCCAACTGCTGGCCGCGCTCCCGCGCAAGGAACGTAGCGTAACCCTAACCCCTACGGAGTATACCGTCTTGGCTTACGTTAGCGGCGTTACATACGGTAGTAAGCCCTCAACAGCTAACGCCGATGGTTCCACCCGACGGGTCGGGCGTCAACGCTCACACCTCAGCGCAGCACTAAGCAGCGCAAACGCCGCGGCGGTTGGCATTGCATACCTACTCTATAGAGTGGCAAGACAAACCCGGTTACACTCCCAAAAAGGAACCAATTCACCGAAGCCTCCCGTCAGTAGATTTCTGGTCAGGTCATTTTGGCGGCCTTTGTGGAAGTTTTTTTCCTGCAGTTTTAGCCTTCAAATTCAAATGCCTTGCGATGCAATCGACAATCGAGGAACTCGTATCACCGACGATCTCTGGATGCTGCGAAGAGCATAGCACGGCCAGACCGAGATGACGGCATCATTTCTAAGGACTCTTGAGCGCACTTGGCGATGGGCTGCCAGGTCATGGTTTCTAAGCGGATCCCGATCGAAAATCTCGCATTCGCCATGGTGAGAACACGCTTTGGTAAGGTACATACAACTTAAGATCTTGTACGTACAGAGGAGGCAATGTGTCGATAGGGGTAGTAAGGAGGGTAAAATGTCACACTCAAAGTTGCGCTGAACTAAGACGAAGGATGTGAAGTGCTTGCCCCTGAATAACTCTCAGGAAACATCAGATTTACCCGTCGGCAGGACTCACGCGAACCAGACATGCCGGACCGCGCCGAGAGGCCGGATCCGGTCTGTTGCTCGTCATTCCGCTGTGAGTTTAGATTGCCAATATGGGAGCAGAGCCGATTCTACCTAAATGATACGTCTCGTCCAGGATCACGAAACTTTGAAAAACTCGACGGTAGCTGCGCATCGCAATCATGTCCTCCATGCGTTTGAGTACGCGATGCCCCTGAAGGCCTGAACAGTCAGGAACCCCTCACGAACCACTCGCCTCCCCTTCACAAACCTGTCCCAGGGCGAGATGGCTGTACGCGCATTCGCCGTCCTCGCGCTAGCCGCTATCCTGGTCTCTACACCAACCGCCGCGGAGGAGATGAAAACCTGCGGCTCCGCAAGCTACTTCCCGTTGGAATACACCTGCTACAACAACAGCGCACTATGTCCCATCTCATTCACCCGGCCGAGCGTGTCGTGCGGCGCAGCGGGCTGCTATGCCCCCGAGCAATTCTCCTGCGAGGACGGAACCACCCTCAAAACCCTCCCAGACGCGACAAGCCCCTTCACCCTGACAGCGTTCGGCAACCGGCCGGGGTTCGGCAACATGACGGTCAAGGCCTGCGGCAACTACCTCGCCATTGGCGCCAACGCGCGGGAGTGCGCCGCGTGCTCCTCGTCCGCCGCGGCGAGGCCGGGAGTAAGTATCCGGTGCAGTGAGTACGGGAATCGGACGGTGCTGCTTCCCGGCGGGCAGATGGTGAGGTTTTCCCGTTCCGTTGGTCGGTTATGTCGTTGATGAGGTGGGAGAGAGATTGTGAGAAGCTGACAGCGAAACACAAGGCTGTTGATGTTCCGGGCCATCAGTATTGGTACGTGAATCCGAGGGACGGGGTATTACAGTTTACCGAAGCACTGCCGTCGAATTCTTCGTTGAATGCGACCTCGCCTGGCACGGAATTTGCAGGACAGAACGTCAAAGGTGAGAGCGATGCTTCATATGGAAATTTTTCCGCACAAACATCGGTATTTAACAGTAAGTCATTAGTGTATGAGAACGGCTTCTTCATGTACGACCGCGACAATCTGCCTCATTTCTGGCTCGCCTGCTTGCGCACCTTGCCTGGAGGAGCCATCGGAACTGGCAGGACGTGGCGGATTTATGCACCGATCTCCATGAATATTGGCAGAGGGGATTGCGAGCAGATCAAACTGGTGGCAACGGCAACAGATCGCAAAAGGGGCGCTTACAGGTACGATTAGACTTGGAGTCGTGGGCTGGGAGGAAAAGACCTGGCGTAGACATAGATAAGAGCAAATACAAGTCCAAATCATGGTCTAGGATCCGAATGAGATCAGATAAGAAAGAAGCGATTGGCGATGTGCTATGTACAAGATGGATTGCCACCGTGTGATTGCCAGCCCTACAATACTAGGATCCTACCTGCCGTCGGCGCGTTGTGTGATGCCATCTCAACCCCAGACCAGCAGCCCATGAACCACGTCCCATCCTCATCTCGGTCAAGTCTATCTAGAGCATGAGCGGGGGACGTCTGCCCACTGGCCGCGTGTCTCATCCTCATCTCGACCAAGTCCGTCTTGAGCCTGGACGGGGTCGTCTGCCGGTTGGTCGGAGGTCTCACCCTCATCCCGGTCAAGTCCGTCATGAGCCTGGACAAGGACGTCTGCTTGCTGGTCGGACGTCTCACCCTCAACTTGGTCAAGTCCGTCTTCAGCATCGACGGGGACGTCTGCACGCTGGTCGACATGCTCGATATTGCCAGATAAACGAACCGGAAGGGGAGAATTCGCCGTCCAAGTGATCCGGGTCAGGTCGCCTTCGTCCCAATAACCGCGTCCGCCCCGTTTGTAGATCGCCGCTCTCTCCCGCCAGGATGATCTCATCTTGGCCTTCGCCACCGAGTCCTTGCGCCGAAAACTGTCGAGGAGGCTGTAAGCTCGAGCTTCGTCGAAGCGCTCGTTGAGCTCTTGATCGCTGAGTGGAGTCTCGGGGTGGTCCCAGAGCACATAGCCACATCGCCTGAGCCAAGCGTGCGCGTCGTGGTTGATGACGTCCTTTTTCCAGAGGTTCTTATGTGCTTGGTACCACATGCGGAAAGGCCCTGATCTGGCATCGTCCGGTTTGCAAAAGAGGTGGCCTCCGAGGTGATAGTCGTCGAGATCATCGCTCTTTATATGTTCCTCCAAACGCTCCCAGTCATAGCACCAGCCTTCGTAATCATACGCTGTTGATCCGCAGTAAAACGTTGAGGATAGCATGTACCTGGCACGTGGTGGCGATTCTCCGCAAGTCATAAGTATTCTGCGCTTCTCCTCGTAGGTTCTGGCGTGATCGAGTTCAAAGAGAAAGTCCAATCCAAGGAAGAGCTAACCAGATATACAATGTTAGTCTCGATCATAATCCTGTCCTTCCCCGAACGCACAAACCGGCTACACTTACATAACCTTGCTTGTGGCTGTTCGATCTGGCCGGGCTCAGCCAATCGACCCGTTCAGAGGCCCATTTGGCATCATGCTTCGCAACTTCATCAAAGGCTTGATTGCAAGTCAGTATACTTAAGACGCAGGTAGCGTATGAGAGATCGGAAGAACGAACCGCGAGAGCACCCGTTCAAAGTAGTCGTGAATGCAGGCAAGCTGCTCATTCACCCACGGTGAAAAGGGCTGGAAAAAACCGGAGTTCAGAGATATCTCCAGCGCTGTTCTCCTCACGTTCTTGTCCCGGTCGCGGAACAGGTTGCAATAGAGCTGAAATCGGTCCATGGCGCGATGAATTCGGAAAATCCCAATGAAGGAGGGTGCACGCAAACCCAAATCCAGGAAGCTGCCGATCCAGCCTCCAATGGCCATTGGTGGCGCCTCCAGGGCGGTGGTTTTGGGGCCGGGGTTTCGACATTGATTGCGCCGCTCATCACCAAAGGAGGCGTCGGCTGACGCTGTCGCCCGTGCCATTCGGCGAAGAACGACTTGACGTGATTTGGCCTCTTTTTTGATGTCATACACCATATCGTCGAATTCAATGGGACGGAAGCGATAGTCTGAAGCGGAGACCGTCTTGCGATGGTGTGGATGGGCGAGCCGGAACACTGGCTTGAGCCGGAGTCGCAACAGTCGGGGCCTTCACTGTCGGAGCCGAAACAGCCGGAGCTGGGATGGCGGTGTTGGAACCGGGGAAGAAGAGTAAACCAGGAGAGTAAGACCAAGGATAATACTCTCTTCGCCGTCCAGCTTCGTCAACGGCACGATTTGTACCGTCATCTTGCGCGTTAGGTCGGAAAAGCCGAACAGAGGCATTGCACTTCTGTGGCTTCTTCCCACCCTCTTCGGTCATGGTTGGCGGGAGAGCGAGCTACGTATGTTTGTCGACGTCTGTGTTGATATATATATTGTTTGGATCATTACATGCCCACATTGCTCGAAGTGTACCTGCTCTCTCACTCTGCATCATGGGTATCTCGGTGGTGTATTCTGTTGGCTGTCTGGGAGGTGATGCCACTGTTTGACAACGGCGCTTTTACCGTACACAGTGGCGGTAACGAGGATTGTACCTTCTTTTTGCATCGCAATTCGCCGGCCGTGGATATCTGACCCGGGCGAGGCATCAGGCCACCGGTTGAACCTTTGCCGCCGGAAAGGCGTGAAGCACGGCGCAAGGCCAAGCTAGCAGCGATGTCTCGGAAACCAATTTCGAGCTCAGACCTCGCTATTCGTCGGTTCCCGAGGACTTTCCGAATCATATTACCTAGGTAGGTAGGCAGATTCGCTAACCGAGCCAACTCATCCTCGCGCTCCGATTTGGCAGGAGCTCCTACCCCAGATTCCGGACTTCTGGGGTATATACATCTTGGGAGTACCGGTAATGTTTGCAGCTCGGTGTGCACGAGCCATGATTTCCCGCTCATCTGCCTTAGTATCGGGAACCTCCGAAGAACCAGGATTGCATGAGCTTCAAGTTGTTACTCCTCCAGATTTGGATCTCATCATCTCAACATCTCGTTGGCAAGCCTGACACGCTCCGTCTTTTGCGCGTTCGAAATTTTATTCGACGCCATGACCCACGTCTCGCGACGCGGGACATTCTGGAGTAATTTGGATCGCAAGTTTCCGGCGAGCCTGGAGGTCTCCTTCCACCTCAGCATGGTCGGGCTCAGCGTCGTCGGGCTTCAGCGCTTCAAGTCCTTGTGCCGGTGTCGTTGTCGGCGGGCCTGCTGCTGACTTGTACCGCCGCCGAGAGGGAACAGCAAGAGGCTGAGGACGCGCCGAACTGCGTACGCAGCCTTGACCAAACTGACGACCGTCCAAGGTTGCCGCCACTCGACGTACTCGAACTCGGCGGGCCTGACCCAGCAATGCCTACGGACTCTCGTGGCTGAGTATATATATGGTTTTGATCACGGTGCCGACAGGATGATATCTTCACGACTCGCAGATGGGAGGCGCAACCCTCGTTGCAGCAGATGGCCGTGACTTCCTGGTTGAAGGTTTCGCCGCAAAATGGCAAACTAAAATAAAAAGATAAACGTCATCAATCGACCAGATCTGAGAACTGAAACTCCTGGTGATTCGCAGCTCTGGGTTTCCCACGATTGTGGGACCACTCCCGTCCAGACGCTGGGCCTGACTAAAGGGGGACTGGGAAATTAACTTGGACCTATATACTATAGTTAGAGCTCACTCACTCCCATGCCTGCTACTTTTTGTTTGTTGTCGAGTGTCATCTTCGCAATTTGAATCGAGTCGGTCCTCCTCCTTCTCCGAGTCGTCCTCAGGTACACGAGGGATGGTCACAATGTAGGTGGCATGGTTAGGTGGGCAGCCGACGATGGGGCATTGTGGACAGAACTCTTTCTGCCTGCCACCACATCAGTATTTCTTCGAGTTTTGTACGTTCCCCATCGGACAGTTCCGATGCCTGCCCCGGATGCGCTGTGACTTTTCCAGGTTGGCGGCGAATAGGACGCCTGCAGCCAACCATTCGTCGGCGAGCGATGTGAGTCGTGCCTGCAGTACCTCTGCCTCTTCGTCGGGTTGACGTTAGAGCTCTTTAACGCGCTCCGTCATAAATTCATCCGGCGCAAATAAGTCCCCAATCGCCTTTGCAGGAATGTCAAGCAGCCTGAGCTTTGTAGATAGCAACTTACCACGCACCAACTCTGCAACCGCCTCGGAAACGCTGTGGCACATCGCCTCCATTGCAGCGGCCTGACGCTCTTTAGTAAGTATGAGGCCTTTCTCTGATGCGTGGAGCAGGATTTGTAAATGTCAATGCATGGCTTCTCCCTCTCGGGGTTGGACCATTCCACGTCGATGTTGAGAAAGAAGATAGATCAGGAACTATACAACATGCTAAAGTAAAACAATATGTCAGAAGCAGGACGTTCTCGGAAGCCCTTCTGAGCACGAAAGATGTTGGCAACACGTCCAGACCTTTCCTCAGGGGCCCAGTACGACAGAGACTTTATATAAGATTGCGAAACTTCCCCTCAGCCCCGTCTTTCCTCAAGCATTTACGGCAAGCCGCAGGCCACCAACCGGGAAACCGCATCCCTGCTTGCCATTCTGCGTGTTTGCAAGCGGACCGGAGCAAATACCAAACCTGCTGTCGCCCGTGTTTACCAGCGCGCAGCAGCCCGAGGCGCAATCGGCATCGCCGGTGCACTCCCCGCCAATAAACTGTCCACCGTTTCCGTTCCCAACGTTGGCGACACCCGCCGGATCCGGTTTGAGAGTGCTAGGCTTGATAGTCTCCCCAACCTGGGCGCCGCCGCCCTGGTTGTTCCCCTGGTTTCCGTTCCCGTTCCCACCACCAGTTTGGTCATTGCCGCCCTGGTCAACGTTTTGATTCCCTCCTTGGTTGTTGCCCGCACCACCGCCAGATTCGAAGCCACAGCCCTGCTTTCCAGCCTGGTTCTGGGCTCCGACACCAGAGCAGACACCGATGGTCGTGCCGCCTCGCGGGAGTGTTGCGCAGCATCCGCTAGCACAGTCGGCAGCTCCCAGACACTGACCCCCAATGAACTGGATGCCATTTCCGTTCCCGACGTTTTTCTCGCCGGCAGGGTCAGGGATGTTCTGGCGACGCGACAGATCAGGCGCAGCCTGGACCGCGGAAAATGTGACTACGTCAGGGGTATGTCAGTGACCTGATCCGTCTGATTGATCCATATCAAGACAAACTTACGAGCTACCACGCTCAGGAAGGTGCTGAGTTGAACCATGTTAAGGGATATGATTGTTCTAAAATAAATATGAACTTGAAGGTAAAAGGAGACTTCGTCGGGTTGCGACTTGTTCTCAATGGTCGAATCGAAGGGAAAGGACACCTGGTCCGGATGCTAGAAGAGACTAAGAGAAGAGAAGCTGCTTGTAGTGGATGCTAAGAAGGCTATAGGATCGACGAGAAGAAACACGCCCGGCTTTATAGAGTTGAGATGATAGCTGTATGCCATCCCTTAGCGGTCCCTAGATGTCGATCTGGACCATCCGGTCCTGCGCGCTCGGGGATTGTGGCCATGATTCTGAAAGAGCACGTTTTCTCCCTGTCAGCCCAAAGTTCCGACTTTCAAAACAAGGCGGTTCTGAGGAAACATGGTGGCAAGCCGACGTGATGCAGTATCTGTCTCATGTTCAACTGTTAGTGATTGTGCAGTGAAAACGGCCAAAATGCTACCATGCGGGGGCCAAGCCCAAGCGTTCCGGGATCCAGGCTCTGACCCCTGACGCGCCAATGTCAGGGGCTTCGGACGACGTTGTCGCAGAAGCCGAGGAGGTCATCAGCGGAATCTTCTGAAAGATGCTTAATGTTAACGTTATGTGTACAGTCAGTTTAGGAGGCAGGGAGTTTGCAATTCTCTCAGTAGCACAAGGAACAGTACCTAAAACAGATAGATACCTGGGGTACTGAGTCAGCGAAGCACGTCTCGACTCAACGGCGGGTGGCTCTGTGTCAGCTAGAGCTCTGTGGAAAGAACCAGCGAGTCGAAAACGCAAGTTTGCTGCGATAGATTCAATCCATCAATGCTTGGCCGAAAAGTACTAGATCATTGAAGATGTTCTGAGCATTCACAACTCACTTACTGAGCATGAGCAAACTTCCAGATTGCTGATCGGCTGCTGATCGCTGGGGTTTTGCGGGGGTGTGGATCCACTGCAGTGGATCCAGTGGATCGACAGCCTAAGCCACTGCCGCAGCTGCAGACCCATCACAAGGAATTTCCCGAACAAATGCGACAACAGCTTGAGCTGTCAAGAATCGCATCCTTCTCATGCGCTCCAAGTGCTTGTTTCAGAAACCCTAGGACAATTCACAGAGCTTCGATCGATGTGAGAAAATCGTCGAATTACCAGTTCAGGTAAGGCCTGACATCGGACGGAACTTGGCTTAGCCGGTTGTTGCCTGGCGCTACCTGCGACGAGCAGAGCAGAGGTTTCATCTTGGTAGCGCGCTTCTGCTTGTTTCTAACGCACGAAGCTGTCCAAATCTCCAACCCGCATCCAGGTAACCGTCGATGAATTGATGCCTTTGGTTCGGGTTGTTTTTTTGGGGTCGGTAGCAATCAATTATCACACCCAGCACGCTCATAGTTTCTGAGCCTGGTCTGGCGAATAACGAACTGGAATGACGAACGCGTTGGAATCTGGCAAGCTGGAACCAGTTCGATGTCAGTTTCGCCCGCACTTGGCACGCCCAATTGCAATAGGTCCCCTGGCCAAGAGGGAGGCTCGCGGCATCCTCCTCTGTCCCCGGGCTGTCTGGGCCTGCCCCCCCACGGCTTTCTGTGGGGAAAGCACCGCCTCCGTTCCGTGCCACCGGGAACGTCCTTTCCGTTTCGCCAATCTCAGGGAAACCTCCACATTGGTTAGCACCTGGGTCACTTCAATCCAACACTTGCACTATGCATGCATCACCAGACCGAAGTCAGGTAATACCTGTGTGTCAGGTATGCAAACATCTGCTTGCAACCTCAAAGGGTTCTTTACCTAGGGATTTGGAGCGGTTTACATTGCCATCACTCAACTGGCACCGTCTCACTGTCTCACACCGAAAGTTTTCACAACTTGGCCTTCCCAATATGAAGATCCTCCCAGTCCTGGCGTGTGAATGGGACGTACGTGCAGCCCTTACCATAACCTTCAATCCAAAATATATTATCCCCAGCAGACACCTTGTCCGGGTCGACGCCCTCCCGCTTTAGGGGGATCTTGTTCTGCTTGTTGTTGTGTGTTCTGAAGGGTGCTTGTACGTGACGCAGGAAAAGGGGTACCGCGTACCTGGGCAGGTGAGTGCGAGCATGTCTGAGACGGCAAAGTTAGTGTTGGCCCGCAACTAATTTCTCAATTAGTGGGACAAATAGGAACAACATACCGCAAGAAATCTTGATGATTGAAGCTCTCCTTAAGAGCCGGGTCGATGTAGATTGCAGCTGTTCCTGCCTTACCGTCGTGGCCAGGTAGTTGGACGCCATAGACATTGGCATCCAGCACGCCAGTAAACTTTCCCAACACCTCGGAGACCTCGGCCGTTGACACGTTTTCCCCTTTCCACCGAAATGTATCGCCAAGCCTACGCCAGATTACGATTAGTACTTTAGTACTATCTCGGTCCGGCTCTATAATTTCAACTTACCTGTCTAGAAAGAACCATCTGCCCTCACTATCTCTCCGTAGCGCGTCCCCTGTGCGGTAGAAGCAGTCTCCTTTTTCAAAGACATCCTGAACAAACTTGTTCTTGGTGGCCCCTGGATCGCCCCAGTATCCAGGAAACGGCCTCTCGGAAGGAATTCGAACCAATATCTCTCCGCCAACCTCGTAAGGCATCCGATACGCAAACCCCGTCTGTGGATCCCGAACAAGATCTCCTGTTTCGGCATCAACGGCTACCGGCACATAAATCTGATGGTACTTCCAGCGCCGCAAGAGTCCATGATGGCCAACCGCATGGGCAGTGTAGTCGTTCCGGCTGATATTCTCGAGGCTTAACATGCCCTCAGTGCTGTTAAAGAATTCATAGACGCACTCTACACCAAACCGGTCGCGGAACCGCTGCCATACATCCGGGCGTAGGCCGTTCCCAAAGACGGCACGTACGTGATGTTGGCGGTCAAGAGGTGACGGCGGGGCTGCCAACAGGTAACGCAAGGTCTCGCCGACATAGACGAACCATGTAGCACGCGAATCGCGGATGTCTGACCAGAAGTTGGAGACGCTGAACTTGGGGGCTATGCAGATTGTATTGCCGGCCAGGATCTCTGCAGGCCATCAGTGGCAGATTCATGGCTGGAAATGAAAGAAGCCAGTAAGGTGGTAGGTACTTACGGCCGATGGCACTGATGCCCCCAGTGCCGTGATAGAAGGGCATGCAGACATCTAGATCTCTGTCAGCCACAAACAATACAGGAGGACAAAGCAACACTCACAAAATCTGTCACGGTCTGGGTCCACGGGATTCATCCCCGTCACTCTTCCATAACCCTGTCCGAACCCTCCCGCAACCGGAATCGCACACCCCTTCGGCATTCCCGTGGTCCCGCTCGTGTAGAACAGCGCCATCGGTTCCGTCCCTTTAATACCCTTCCTCAACTCATGCGGTGGCATATCAGTCTTCATAGCCCTCACCTCCCTCCTTATATCCGCCAGCCTGACAAACTCCATCCCCCTTTCCCCCTTCATATTATTCCTCATCTCCCCGCTTACCTCCTCAATCCTCTTCTCAGCCTCCGCATCCCCATCCACCAGCACCAACCGCGCCCCACTAATCCTTAGACAATGCACCAACGCATCCCCTCTCAAATGGTAATTAACCATCGCCGGCGCAGCGCCCACCGCCCAGAGCCCAACCCATGCAAAAACAAACTCCGCCGAGTTGAGCATGTAGAACCCGACCAAATCCCCGCGTTTAACGCCCCGCGCGAGGAACCACCAGGCAAACTGGTTTGCCCGCTCGAGCAGTTCCGTCCATGAGTATGTCACGGTTCTGCCGGATGCGTAGTCACGGGCCCAGATAGCTTCCTTATCGGAGCCCAGTCTAGCCGCGTGGTCGGCTATGAAATAGTACGGAGAGACGCTGTCTGCGCGCACGGCTCGTGCTAGCGCGCGCCGGATGTGCGCCTGCCCGAGGAGCACGCGCAGGTCTTTGTGCAGGTGCAGCTTGGCATTGGCGTACATGTAGAGAAGGGTGGGGATGGTGAGGGTCGCGGCGGTGGTGGCTTTGAGTGAGTTAAATGCCGAGTTAGACTTAGATGAAGGCGGAAGATTGGGAGGGAGACTGCACGGGAAGGGGGGGTGTGGTTGGCTTACCTAGCGAATCCATGATGTCCAGAGTGTGAGGACCGTAGGGGTGTTAGGGCCTGTCTTGGAGGGTGCTGAGGAGGAGTGAGCCTTGAGAATGCCTGCTCGCGGGGAGATAGGTAAATACTACCTACCTAGTCAGCCGGGGTTAGGAATTGGTAGCAACTTCTACAGTTTCCTGCGGCAGTGACAGCGTGTCGAAGCTATAGCGAAGTGCAGCATAGACTGAGACTGAAGCTCAGTGAAACTTGGAGGTTTTCATGAGGTTGATCTCGACGGTTCGATCTCATCGACTGAAAACCGTACCCCGCGCCGGGGCCCGCGGTAGTGAATCGGCGGCATCGAGCGGCAATAACAATTCCGCTGTTGCATGTCTAACCAGTGTGCTACCCGGCAGATGATGTCCTGCATCAAAAGTACTGTAACTTTGGTAACTTGGTAATGTGCGGCGTGCCTGAAGTAGCAAATCCGGTCATCTCGAGTTTGGAGAAAGGACTGGGCACCAAACGACTTGGAGCACTACGCAGAAGTCCAGAGGCACCATTGAAGTGCTCTCTTCATCGAAAACCCGTAAGGTATATTTCGTAATCAATAAATCCCGTTCTTTGAAGATTACTGGAGAGGGAGCATCTGATCGTGCCTACACCAAGGTCGAGTTGACTGAGCGTGGTTTAGGTAAGGGCGGGAAGGCAGGGTACTTCCACAAAGTGGAGTCTCTTGCTTGGCGGCCATTTGGACCCACGAAACCCACCGAGCCAGCGGCCTGGAATTCTCCTCAAACATCAAAATTTTCGCGTCGGATAACTGAGGTGCCAGCTACCTCTCACACCACCTAGCTGCGCAGAGGTGCACGTCAGGCGCCCAGCGGAAGATACTCCGCAGTAGAATTGCAGCGAGAGGGAAGGTAGGACCAATGCATTGTATCGTACAGGGGGATTTGTCCTTCTGCGGACTCCCTGTCTTTCGATACATGGTCACTGAGAGAGGATGTGATACCATCATTTCCATTGTTTCGAAGGCCAGCGTCTTCAACGGCAGCACCCCTTTCCAGCCACTCAGAGCCGTTCATGGTTTCTCAGAGCCTCTCCTCTGGAGGGCCTTCTCTTCCCGGCACGTATTGTGCTGGGTCTCGGAAGGGGCTGGGTAACGGGCGTGAGAGGGACTCAAGTTTCTCCCATGAATTGCTGCGAGATTGATGTTTTCTGGGCCATCATAGTCCGCGCCATCTGGCTGCTTCAATGCATAGTCTACCGAGGCGAGGCTCCAAGTCGTCCTACATTATAGGCCTTTTATATTTATCTTCGGGCGAGTTTGCTAGCAACAGCGAAGTTGAATACTTCCTGCCGTTCGCTCCCGTCCGGCTACAGCCGATGCGCGTTATTCCCGGAGCCGGCCCGGCATATCCGTATCGTGATAAAGGGCTACCGGTAGTTACGTCATTGCCCGCTGGAGTCCGGCAATCTCATCAGGAGGAAAAGAACCTCTATGGCAACAAATATACAATCTATGACTTTGAATTGCAAGTTTCGATGCTTAATTCCTGAAGATTGTAATCAAGATGGCGCCTCGAGACCATGAGAAGACGTCCAAATTTGGACACCTGCCCCTGAGCACCAGCGGCCCTCTCGAATGCGCTCTCAAGGGCACAATACTCCTGAACCACCCGTACTTCAACAAGGGCTCCGCCTTCAGCAAAGAAGAGCGCCATGATTTTGAGCTGGCTGGCTTGCTGCCGCAGAGCATACAAACTCTGGAGCAGCAGGTCCAGCGTGCTTATGAACAGTACTCGATACGGCCCGATGATCTCTCAAAGAACACGTTTTTGACCTCCTTGAAGGAGCAAAACGAGGTTCTGTACTTCAGAGTGAGACGCCCCAGCGGGAATCCCTACAGTTAGGAGTCTCAACGCCCTGACATACTCCAGCTCCTCCTCGACAACCTCGAGGAGATGCTCAGTGTAGTCTACACCCCAACGGAGGGCGAGGCTATTCAAAACTATTCCCGCATTTTCAGGAGGCCCGAGGGCGTCTTCCTCAACATTGAGGACATTGACAGAGTGCACCATGATCTGTCTCTGTGGGGCACGGCAGAGGACATTGATTACATTGTGGTTACGGGTAGGTCGATCCAATCAACCTTTCCCGGCACGCCCGTAGTACTTACTGACCCAGTCTAGATGGAGAAGAGATCCTCGGAATCGGCGACCAGGGATGCGGTGGCATCCTGATATCCATTGCCAAACTTGTCCTCATGACGATATGTGCCGGGATCCACCCGAACCGGGTGTTGCCCGTGGTCTTGGACTGCGGCACGGACAACGAGAGCCTTTTGAAGGACCCGCTGTATCTCGGGTTGAGGCGCAATCGAGTTCGCGGCGAGCGCTACGACAAGTTCGTCGAGACATTTGTTAATTCGGCCCGTCAACTGTACCCGAAGGCGTATATCCACTTTGAGGACTTTGGCTTTTCCAACGGTAAGTGAAACAGACAGCGACAGAAATCTGGGCTAACGGATGTGCATTTACTTAGCGCGGCGAATACTCGACAAGTGGCGGCCGGAAATCCCCTGCTTCAACGACGATGTCCAGGGAACAGGTTGTGTGACCCTGGCGGCCATACTCGCCGCTCTGCACGTGTCAAACCAGAAACTGGGAGACCTGCGCATGGTTGTGTTCGGCGCCGGGACGGCTGGTGTTGGCATCGCAGATCAGGTCCGCGATGCCATCATGACCGAGCGAGGCATCAGTAGGGAGGAGGCAGCGAAACAGATATGGTAGAACCCCACTCACATCGTCCGCGTCAGCTCACCCGTTTAACCTTTCGCTTGCAGGCTCATCGACAAGCCCGGGCTTCTCACCATAGAAACCGAGAACCTGTCCGATGTGCAGAAGAGGTACGCACGATCCGAGGATTGGAGCGATAAAAAGCGGGACCTTTTGAGCGTGGTCAAGGAGGTCAAACCGAACGTCCTTGTCGGCACCTCCACTGTGCCCAAGGCCTTCACCGAGGAGATCGTTCGTGCCATGGCATCTCACTCAGAGCGACCCATCATCCTGCCGCTGTCGAACCCAACACGCCTGCACGAAGCGGTCCCTGCCGATCTGCTCCAGTGGACAGATGGCAAGGCTCTCGTCGCCACCGGCAGCCCGTTCAAGCCTGTCAAGGGTCCGTGGGGCGCAAACGGCGAGGAGGTTGAGATCACGGTGGCGGAATGCAACAACAGCGTCGTCTTCCCCGGGATCGGGCTGGGCGGTGTTTTGTCCCGCGCCAAGCTCGTCACGGACAAGATGCTGGTCGCCGCCGTGGGCGGCGTGGCAGAGCTGAGTCCGGCGCTGAGCGATCCCACGGGACCGTTGTTACCGGGCGTTGACGTGGTGCGCGATGTGAGCGTGCGCGTCGCGAGGAAGGTGATCCAGGCTGCTATGGAGGACGGCGTAGCTACGGTGGAGGGGATCCCGAGGGATGAAAGTGACTTGGATGAGTGGATTAGGGAGCAGATGTGGGACCCGGTGTACAGACCGCTCAAATATGTCGTGGCCAAAGGGGCAAGTCGTCAGGCCCGAGGCGAGATGCGCGTCGTGGGGAGCGTGGAGCGCGATGGAGAGTAGTGAATATGAGTGTGTTCGGGAACTTAATCCTAGTCATTGCCCTAAATACTCTTGAGTTGTCATAAGTCTACTGGAAATAATCAGGATATCTGCGTGAGGCATTGCATTGCAAGTAGTCTGGTGAGAGATCTTTTGCAGTTCAGAGTGAGCCTTGGTGAACCAGAATGGCCCATGGAGTGTCTGCTTATCTTATCAGCAAATGGAAATCAAGCGGGTTAGGGTTGTGCGTTAGACTTCCGTCCACGTGACAGCTCACAAATTCGTAGGGCTTGCGATCCACACCAAAAATTATCGCGAACCGCCGCCAATTTCCAGATTGCTGCGTTTCCCGAAATTTCGACCCCCAACCCGTCAAGTCGCATTTCCGCAACCAGACAGTCGCAATGGCCAAGATCTCGTGAGTATAGCCCGTCCAGATGCCTTGTTTGCCGTTTTCGACTATTGCCGCTACATCGTCCGCGTTCTGGCTGCAGATGGAGCCGTATCATGGGGGGTAATGAGGAGGGGGGATCTACTCTGGGCAACGAGAGTGCCCAGGTATAGGTCGAGGAAGTTGGCTGCGATATGTCTTCACAAATGCGCTAACGTCAAGGCAAACAGGCGTGGTGCCCCCGGTGGCAAGCTCAAGATGACCCTGGGTCTCCCAGTGTACGTGCGATCCCGTCCCTGAACCCCGAACAGCCGGTCTCCGATCGATTACTTCTACGAGGATGGGAAGAGCTGGCAGGGCAGGAGGCTAACGGGCCGACACAGTGGTGCCATCATGAACTGCGCCGACAACTCTGGCGCGCGGAACCTCTACATCATCTCCGTCAAGGGTATCGGTGCCCGCCTCAACAGACTACCCGCCGGCGGTGTCGGCGACATGGTGATGGCGACAGTCAAGAAGGGCAAGCCTGAGCTCCGGAAGAAGGTCCACCCCGCCGTCATCGTCCGCCAGGCCAAGCCCTGGAAGCGCTTCGATGGCGTCTTCCTGTACTTTGAGGACAACGCTGGTGTGGTATGTGCTTCTTCTGTGACAGGACGCACTTCTGATGCGGAGACACGGCGGACTATGAGCGGATGTCTCCGGATTGTTAGGGAAAGGAAACAGGAATGGAGATACGCTAACGATGCTGTCCACAGATCGTCAACCCCAAGGGCGAGATGAAGGGTTCTGCGATCACTGGGCCCGTCGGGAAGGAGGCTGCGGAGCTCTGGCCCCGTATTGCCAGCAACTCGGGTGTCGTGATGTAAGAGGGTTTCGGGGAGCGATGGGTTTTTGCCAGGCGGTTTTCGAGGGACGACTGATTCTGTTAACCGGGAATAATCTTCCGCAAAGGATGAGGAAGACGGGACGGACGGCCACAAAAAGGCTTGGGCTGGATGGCAGGCTTTGCATTTCTGGCTGCGGCGTGCTAGGGAGTCATACTACATGCATGATACACAGGTCAATTCAGAATCGGTTCTTCGAGTCCGGGGTGTGGGGAGGCGGCTCTGTGAAAGTACAAAATGTTGGCGCGAGGAACGACGGGGGGGTCGGATCAACCACATTCAACAATCCAGCACCTTCCAGCACACAACCATTCTTACAACACGATGCCGCACTTTGAGCTGCTTGAGTTCACGAAACCCATTTGCACCAGTTGCGTGTCGAGTCACATCGTCAGCCTTTCAACCGCTTCCACAGGGGCGCGTGCAAACTGCTAAAAGGTGTGGATATGTGGCGCGCGTCTAAGGTCGAGAAATTCACCATTCTCCAGTTAGGCATGACAGATGCAGTTTGCTTCCCGATGACATTTATCTGAGTGCCAATCAGGAGCAGCGCCCGGGTTCCAGGAGCCCAACTGGTACAAGTGCGACGGGTTGCAACAGCCAGACAGTGTCATTGATCTATATATGCTGCACAATACCAACGGGAGCCCAACTCTCGGGACACTTACGACAGCTGATCCAGCTCCTCTCCATTGTTCATGGTCGGCGCAAGCCATAGCCTAGATGACAGGCTCAGCTCAATAACGCCCTTATACTTGCGCGCCACCTTCCCTTCCACCTCTCTCTGGTAGTCTCTCTCCCACTTTTCAATGAAGGTAACGCTTGAGGAGAGCTTGATCTCGTCCCCAGGCCCGACCGCCAACCCCTTATCCTCTTCAACTCCCGGCGTCCCCGCCGCGGCCTCCTGCTTACTCTCATACACCACCGGATTGACGACATCAACAGTCACAGTCCCTCTCGCTGACGGATCCCCCTCCAGCCCCGGCATGCTAACCTCAACGCTGCCTGGATTCTCCCAAACGCGCTTCGCCTCCTCCACCAACGCCGACCCAAACCCATCCTCACCCGGGCGATCCTGGCCCTGCCCGCCCTCAGCCTGCCGCTGCCGCTGCTGCAGCAAATCAACAAAACAGTTCCTTGACCCAGCATCTACCAGGACCCGCACGACAAACCCGCACTTCATGTGCCTGTTAAAAAAAGGCACCACCGCCAGCTGGTAGAGCAGCAGCCCGCTCAACGGTCTCCCCTTTCTGCGCGCCAGCCCAGCCAGCCGCATAGTCCGCAACTCCCTATTCCAGTGCGCCCCGGGCTTGGCCTGGATGTCCAACACATCATACCCCGGCGCGAACAGGTCCGGCGCGCGGATCAGGATTATCTCCTCCTCGCCCGCCGTCGCCGTCATCACGTTCCCGCCAATACCGCCGCCGGCGGCAGGCGAAGTGCCGGTCCCGAGGCGGTTGGGGATGTAAATCAACCTCGGCTTAGCCAGCGTCGCCAAGTCAGCCGCCGACACAACAGTGGGCATGCGCGTGCGCGTGCGGAGGTACACATTATTATTCGGCACCCCGCTGATGCTTTCGGCCAGGAGCACCCCGAGGCGCGTATCCGGCGCCGTTTCAGTGCAGCAGTCGAGCACGCCTAGGTAATGCCTCTGGCTTGTCGTGGCATGGCCAAAGTGCACCCGCACCAGGGGCAGTTTGATGTGCAGGCCCTTGTTGGTCAGGGCGTAGTCGGAGGTTGGGTGCTTCTCCGGGGGTGCGGTGCAAACTACGACATGTTGCATGCCGGCGAAATCCTTGGGGGAGCGGGCGAGAATGCCTACACTGCCGGTTAGCGTGTCGTAGTCGAGGTCGGAGGCGTCTAGGTGGTGGTCGGGGTGGGGGTGGGTTGGGTGGGGATTGTCCCCCCGGCCGAGCGTGCCCCAGGCGAAGATGGAGTGGTCGTCGGAGCGTTTGATGATCTCTTCTTGGAGCCGGAGAAAGGCGTTTTCGCCTTCGCCGTAGATGATGGGCATGTTGACGTTGAATAGGCCCATGAGAGAGTACGCGGCGTCTTCGGGCCGGGTTGTGGTTCGGTTCGCGGCCCACGACATGCGCTGGGCAACACTGGCGTTGTGGATCAGCCGCGGCTCGAGGAGGGTCAGCTCGTCTATCCCGGTGATCTTTTCGATGGTCTTGACGAGTGAGGATTTCGTTCCGAGAAGCCTCCACCCTTTGGCGAAGAAGACGACTTTGCGGGGAGCCAGCAGCTCTGGCAGCGTCCAGCCGCGGGTGAACCAACGACTGCTGATGAAATCGTCTTTCCAGGTCCGGTAGCCTTGCGTGTAGTCGTCGAAATGCACATCGTCGAGGTAGGCGTAGCACACAGCGGCCCGCTGGTACCAGTTGAACATGGAATTAACGGCTTCAGAGATCTCAGCGCTGCTCTTCTTGTCGATGCAGCACGAGTCGATCCACACGTAGCGATAGCCGTCCTTTGCGGCCTGGCTGCAGGCAAAAGCCATCTTGGCGTAGCCCGCTTTGAGCTCGCTGGGATGGGATGGCGAGGGTCGGCCAGGGGCTGAAGGGATGACGGTGCGATAACCTCGGTCATCCTCGTCGCTCTCGTAGCCGGCGGTGATGGCTGGGAGTGCTGCTGGACGATCAAAGCGGGACTGTTGTCCGCGAAATGCCATGAGCATGGTGGATAGCAGCATCAGCCGCATCGTGTCTGATTTATCCACGGTCCGCGAGACGACCTGCGTCGCCGACTGCTGTTTCTGCTGCGATGTCCGGTGCTGTGCAATGCTTTCCACCTCTTGGCGCGTGAGCTCTTCGGTGCCCCAGGTGTGAGACAAGATTGCATATGGCGGAATATCAGCCTCATGAAACTCCTCCACCTCTTGGGTGGTCACATTCAGGAGTCTCATCTTGATGAGTTCAAGGTATCTAGAAAGGAAACGGAGGTTTGAAAGGCAAATCAACGAGAACTATGAGGTGAAGCGCTGAGGAATGAAAACTGCATGGGGTGCTGTGAGAGCAAGGGGCCATCTTTAATTCTTATCACGATGGAGACATTCCGAGTCCCCAATTCAAAATCAGTCTCATTCACGACTCCTCATGCTCTGGTGGAGCGACTTGCGGTCTACCAGGTGGTCCAATCAGAGGTTGCAACGGAGGTGCATAAGATTGAACGCTCCAGAGTCCAGTCCCTCGAGCGATGTCGGGTGCAATTGGGCAGCCAGGCTCTCTGCCGTGGACCGAGTCCCGTCGTTGAGAAGGTTGATTCAGATTGACTGTGAGATGCCACAGGCCTGTTCCTGACGTGTTATGGTGTTCAAGTTATCCCGATAAGTCAATGTGTCAGTTAGGTATGCTGGGCTTCAAGATGCAGATTCTATACGGCCAGCAGCTTGTGAGCCCTGACGTACCATCCAATGTCCATCATTGATAGCCGACATATGATCAATAACACGTATCCCAGGCTTTCCCCATTATACAAGCAAGAGAGAGCATTCTAGCTACATGAAACTACCGTACCTTATGTTTTCCATGACGTCGGCATCTGTTCAGATTTCACACATGCTTTCCAAGAGAACTGCGCGCAGCAGAGGACTTAAGAGCATCTCGATTGCTCGTCCATGTATGACCTTGGAAACAGCAGGTCGAGATGACAGCCCGCATTGCAAGGTATGACATGACGGTACTTATGTTACTTGTGTGCGGGAAGGGAACATCGTCACGACTTATCCACACGTTTCCAAAAAACTGAACTCTGAACATTGAACAAGAAGACTCAATTAGGGCTCTCTTCAATGCACATCCCATGTACGGTATTGTACCAGCTACCATAAAAAAAAAAAAAAAAAAAAAAAAATCCCATATATGCGCAACGTGAGTGAGTGAGTACTACTAAGTACTAGCTCCACCAAGTCCGGTCCAGTCCCAGACCGCAACAAGACATCATATATGATATGCCCTATGCCCGCGATCCAACTGACTGAAAGTGCAGCTGCCCACCTCACAATGACCTTCGCTGCTTCGCGCGCAGATGATGTTATGTAACGCGCCCTATGCAAATGCAAGTAATGCTCCCGAGTCCGGTAAACCCGTTTGTCCCCAATGCTCCAACCCAATGAATGAGTCAATGCAAGCCTGCCTGCTCCAGTCCCGGCAAAGGAATAAGAAAACCCAACCCGCCTGAACAAAAGCCTTCCAGTTATCATCACCAGTATCTTGGTGAGAGAGAGACCAAGACCAAGACCAGAGCTGCTCCTTTTTATACGATATCCGCCAACCAGCCAGGACTCCTGTGAAGGGCGAGACAGATGCCCTCAATGCATGGAATAGAAGGAACTCCAACTCCAACTGGTTCCTTTGTTTTGTACATCTTTCCTCTGCGATTCATCCATCCGATCATCCTCCGCGAATTATGAGGGAAGGACAGAGTCAATCGTCCTCATCGTGTAAAGTATTGTACCAGTTAGTAGGTAATCATGCTCATCACGCGAGCATCTCGTACACTGCAATTCGTCCCTAGCCTGGTTGAGCACGGCACATCTCACACCAAATCAAGCCGGCCCAGAAGGACTCTGCGAGAGTGTGTACGCAAGTGATGGTTGCTGCAAGATCCCCTGCGGCTGTACAGGAGCTTGCTGCTGCTGCTGCAGAGACTGCGGGCCCTGCGGTAAGGCGAGTGACCCAATCGTCTGGCCGGCTGTCATTGACGCCGGGGTCGTCGGGCCTGATGGCGATGCCGAATTTGGCTCGGTCGCCTGGCCGGAGTCGTGGGAATCGGCGCCGCCCGAGACGCCCGTGGTGCTGCCCTGGGCTTTCTCAGCCTTTTTGCTGGCCAAAGTCGCGCGCCGTTTCTCTACTGCGCCTTGCATTTCGCCCGTGGCCCAGCGCCCTGTGTGTATGTTAGCGACTGCGTCTGGTTGATCGGAAACAGGTGGGGACTTACGCCTCATTGACCAGCTCATCTTCTCAGACTTGGTCATTTCTGCGTACGGTTTGTCAGGCTCTCCATTCGCACCTGGGACAGCGACATCGGCACCGGCAGTGGCACCGGCAGCAGGCCCAGCGGCAGCGCCAGTGGTGGGTTCGACGGATGAGGTAGCCTTTTTCGTGCGCACCCTCTTGGGCTTAGAATTGGAGCTGGAAGTCCCGTTCGCCGGTGTCGCTGCACGCGAAGGGGCCGTGGAAGACGACCCATTGTTGGTGAGCTTGATCTTGGTGATGGGCTTCTTCGCCGACGGCGGGGGCGGAGGCGGAGGCGGAACACCTGGCGGAAAGGCTGGGGCGGCGTTGAAGGTATGAAGAAAGGGACCGTGTGCTGGCATTGGCGCCAGCGGTGGACCAGGTGGACCAAGATGAGCAGGGTTGGCCATGCCAGCCACCGGTACAGACAAAAACTCATGAAAGAACGGGCCTGCATTGACGGCCTGCAAAGGTGCGCCGGGAGGAGCGAGAGACGTCGTTGGAGCGATCGCCGGTGGGGGTTGCGGTTGGGTATTCTCCTTCTGCTGCACCGGCTTCTTTGATCCGGTGTTTGGTTTCTGCGCGACGGCTGCACGGCCTCGTCTCTGAGGCCGAGTCTCAAGTTCCGGATCATTCTCGAGCGCAAAGTTGCGCTTCCGTTTGTCACGCAGCGAGTATGCCGACTCCACGGTCTCGACTGTGTGCGCAGTGGCCTGGGATGATGCCGTCGAAGGCCTCGAATCGGGTTGACTGGCGGCCGCAGATGGATGGCTGTAGAACGACGAACTTGCGATCTCGGTCGCCGCTGTTTGGGCTGTCTGCTGGTTCTTGGGGCCGCGGATGCGCTTCCGCTTGACCGCACCGTCCTCATACCCTGCCGGAACTGAGGTTGGAGGTTCTGCCGCAGTAATCGCCGCACCCCTCGCACGTTTGCGATTCGTCTTGGGCGTTTCCTCTGCTTTCACTTCCTCGGCTTCAGTTTGGTTGCCATTTGCTTCAGCAACAGGGATAGCCAGATCCTGGCCATCTGGCTGCGACGCAGGACCACTGCGAGCCGCACGACCTTTTCGCGGCGTTTCCGAGAAGTTCTCTGTCAGTTGAGGCTGATCAGGGCCCTCGGCTTCTTCGCCATTCACCGGGGTAGCGGCAGGCTTGCGCTTCTGGACCGGGCGCCGGCCAACACCGACGATTGCGCTAGCAGTCGGGGTCTCCGATCGGCTCACGTCCTTGCTTTGGTCCGAGACATATCGCGATCTCCTGGCCCTCTTCCCTTCTATGACATTCTCCTCGGCAAGTTCTGCACCTTTCTCCGTCCGCTTCCGCTCCCGGAGACGGCTCTCGGGCATTTCCCACCGCTGCTCTTCTGGATTCTGCCGGCCAACTTGGGACGGGTGATTGTTGTGTTTGAATCCGTAGGCCTGTGCCATGATGCGGTCCTCTTCCCTCTGGTGTTCGAGAATGGGGTCGTCAATGTAAGGCTTCGGGGCCCGGACTCCCCGCACCTCAAACGGCGTAGGACCCTTGACCAGGTCATCATGATGACGGCGCATATGGATGGGCTCGTCAGCTTTCTGGCGATTTTCCCAGTTGACGATTGTCTTGTCGTTGGCCTGACGACGCTTGGCATTCTCTTCGTCGTCGGTGATCTTTCTCAGCTCGTTGTACTCTAATTGGTATTGATGCAAGACTTCGACCACGGCAGCCACTTTTGCATACAGGACATCGGTCCCCATGTCTTGCCATCCATCAAGTGCTGCGATAATCTCGGACGGATCCCGGAGCTTGGGAAATGAGTACTGCTTGGTCGGATTCCGCGTGACTTCTACGGGTTCCACTGGGCTACCCGGTTTGGGTTGATCAAAGAGGGTCTCATCCGCCTCTTGTTCGTCGTCGACACCGTCCTCTGGCATGCCATCCTCCTCTGCAGGGACAGGCGAGGCCGCGGCAGTGGGGACCTGGGACTCGGCCGGCTGTGAGCTGCGCGGAGTCTCTTCCGCAAGCGCCGCCCGAAGAAGAGTTGCGCGTCCGTTAACCTCGACGCGTTCTAGAGTTGTTTGCTGTTCGGCCGATGAAGACGTCTCTGACGCCGACAGTTCGCTCTGGGCAGCTTTGTATTTCCGAACGCACTCATTGTGAAAGTCAACCATGGAAATAGGCGGCTCCCCTTTCTCTTTGCGTCGCTTAGTTTCCTGTCGGTAGAGTGCGAAAAATTCGCCGGTTTTGAGGGGACGACGCGCCTCCCACTCAACCGCGACAGGGACCTTTTCTAATGGAGAAGGAGTAGGGGTGGGAGTCTGGATGGGAGTTGGCTCGGGTCTTGTCTTCAAGCCGTCAACGGGATACACCCACTCAGTGTACGGGCCTGGTAAGACAGCATCTTCGTCTTCGTAGGGAGTGAGGTTCAAGGAGGATGCAAAGGGAGTCTTCGACTTATACACGTGCTCCAGCTGCTTGAGCCTTACAGGCCCGGTTTGATTTGCTGCCCGCAGTGGCTTGCTGAAAGGCAGGTCGACGATGACGGTATCACCAACGGAAGTCACCCCAGCACCGGATACCACAGGGATAGTTAATTCTTCTGCGGCCTTTGGCTCCGTTGTAGTTGGGGCCGCCGGCTCGGCATTTTCAAACGCCTCTTTGAGCACCTGTTGCTGCTCAGGTTGCTCGCTCGGTTGGTTGGCGTTGGAAATCTGATCATCGGGACCAGCCTCGACAGGTTTCTCTGAATCCCCTTGTGATGCTGTTTTCCGTGTGTCCGCAGACCTGGACACGACGATAATTCTAGTCGCATCTTTCTTGGGAGTGCGGCCAGGCTTGTCGCACTCCGGTGTAAGTGAGACTTGGTCAGGTGCAATCTGTGGTTTGTCGTCCGGCTGCTCCGGAACTATGTCTTTTCCGATGGTCTCATCATCATCGGGTGCCACAGACACGGTGTCTTTGATTGATTCAGCCGACGGTACTTGGGGTGTTGGAGGTTGGGCCGGAACAGCAGCGGTGTCACTTTCGTCGTCAGATGTTGGTTGCGACTCAGATTCCTGGAATGAAGACTTGTCGGACTCGTCATCGGACGGGCCCTGATCTATAGACACGTTGACAAGAATAGTGTCTTGAACGTCATTATCTGACGGTTGGTCGACGTAGGCGCTCACAACAGCGGCCGGCTTCTTGGATGTGTTGCGCCGGCGGGATGAGGTGGCGCGCACTGGAGACTTATCAGCGCGGCGGCGCTTTGGGTTTGAAGTGACATCCTCGGACTCGCCATCCGAGCCGTCGTGGGCGCTTCTCCTCTTGCGGCCGCGAGCACTTGGAGTGGTGCCGGGCTTCGCAATCGAATCATTTCTTGTTGTGGAAAGGCGAAGGTCGTCATCAATCATCTCCTGGGTATAGTCGATGCGGGCTCGCTTTCTCAAAGAATGGCCGCCCTTTGAGTGAGCCTCGTCATCAGCGGCGCCGTCATGGGCCGTCTCGAATGTCCGTGACCTCTTGCGGGCCGGAGGCGCCCCGGCAGCCATGGTGGCGGCGGAAGCAGAAGGAGATTCAAAAGTGAAAGATGAATTAAAGGTTGCGCTGCGCGCAGGTTTTGAATTTGGGGCCTGGCCGTGACGCAAAGTCTGTTCAGCCGCGGGCGATGAGGAACGATGAGGCGGAGGGTTGGTCAACCGAATCTTGCCTCCACGTAACGGCGTGTTGTTTTGTGCACGGTGAGAGTGAGAGTGAGAGGGAGTGGAAGAGTCGGGGCTGGGGGAGGGAAGAAGATCTGGGTTCTGAAGATGAGATGGAAGTTGAAGCGTGGCCCGCCTCTTTGCGCCGCGCCCGCGAGCGCCGACATGACCGCCTCGACCTCGTTCCATGGACCGTTGTAATTCAATCCTCGCAACAGCAGCACACGCAACAACCCCCTGAACCACCTGCTATACAAAACTATGAAGGTTGATGTGTGCGGTTTGATTAGGGTGGGAGGGTGTGAGTGAAAATTAGAGCAAAGCTGCGAGGCGCAAAAAAAGGGATTAGCACTAAAAGCCCGGCATCCAACGTGTCAGGGTCAGTCAAGTTTAGAACGCCGTTGGTCGCTTATTGTTGTGTGAGTTTCTCAATTGCGCCGCCGAACTCGAATAGATGAACAAAAAATAAAAAAAGATGGAGAGAGGAAAAGCGACGACCTGAGACTCGGCAACTGCTATTGTCGGAATTGCACAATAGCAGCGTTGGGCACCGAATATAATCGTCGCTGTCGTGTGGTGTCGCTCCTTTACGTGTAGATTTCTTCTCACGTCAATTTCTGGAGGTTCCCGAATAAGCCACGACCAATCGCACCCTGCCAGCCGTAACAGCCTCGGCGCCCCACTTACACAGCTGTGGTCAGCTGGCTTCCACTAACATCGTTTCTGTGGAATGCTAACGTCAACTTGGGCAACTTTATTGGTGTAAGTTAAGATACCGTTAGCGGTACCTAGTTCCACAGCTATGGGCCTGCACGTCGCCCGATGCAACCGCGGACGCCATTCACGGAGCGAAGCCAACAATCGCTTGCAACGACAGCTCTAAACAACCTGGCTCACGTACCTACATCATCTAGACGGGACACACAAAGCATACGTTTCGCCTATATTCTGTCCGGTCGCTGCACTCTATCCGATCATTACAAACATTGATCGCACCCTACGCAGCCCAAAAATGGCCAGCAAGCGATCAAAGGCAGCTCCGACCGACGACGAACTCGGCGAGCTGTTTGAGGGCATCGGCGACGACGCCGCCATCAACAAGAAATCGGCCAAGCCCAAACCTGCAGCCGTCAAAGGCAAACCTGATGCCGCCGAGCAAGACATCTTAGCCGAGCTCGAGAACCAGCTCGGCGAGCCGACACCCTCGCGCCCGCACACGCCTCGCATCCGAGACGCGCCCAAGCCATCGCCCGCAAAGCGGACATCAAACAACGCACCGTCACCTGGGGTCGAAATTTCCGCTACCCGCAAGTCGGTCGAGAGTACCGGTTCAAACCAAGCCAGCCTCACCCCGAGCGCCACAAGTTCCGAACCTCAAGACATCGAGAAGAAAGCCGCACCTCAGCAGACCCAAACTACAAGCAGCGGTGGCGGCGGCGGGTGGTGGGGAGGACTCTGGTCCACTGCTACAACCGCTATGAAGCAGGCCGAGACCGTCGTCAAGGAGATTCAGCAGAACGAGGAGGCCAGGAAGTGGGCAGATCAAGTCCGCGGCAATGTGGGCGCGTTGAAGGGTCTTGGTTTGTCTCTCTTGCCTCGTGCCGCTGGTGATGATTGAACAGAAAAGAAACTAACAATACACCCCCTCCCAAACAGGCGACGAACTCCGCCACCGCGCCCTCCCAACCTTCACCAACATCCTGCACACCCTCGCGCCGCCCATCTCCTCGCACGAACGCCTCATGATCCACATCACGCACGACCTAGTCGGCTACCCCTCCCTGGACCCAGTCATCTACAGCGTCTTCAACCGTGTCATGGCCCAAGTCGAGGGCGGCGATCTCCTGGTCATCCAACGCGGACAAGAGTCAACCCTGCGCAGCCCCACATCCGAGAAACCCACGGGCGCAGCGTCACTCTTTGGATGGCGCGACGGCCCCTGGTGGCGGCAATCCGACACCCCCCGCGCCCTGGGCGTCGTGCAGGGCCTGGTGGAGGGCACCAAGCTGTGCCGGGCCAACGCGGAGGGGTACGCGAGCGAGTACTTTGCCGCGCACGGCGGGATTGAGCTGGCGCGGCAGCGGGCGGCTGAGCCCGTGTCTGAGTCTAATCCTGTGCGCAGGTCGGATTTGTTTTTGTCGGTGCAGGCTGTTGGAATGCAGGCTGATAAGGCGCTGTTTGCGGGCTCGACGGCGGCAGAGAAGGAGAAGGAGACGGCTGCGATGACTGTGGCTGAGGAGGAGGATGCGGAGGAGGATGCGGTTGTTTGCTTTGCGGTGCATGTGCTGGACCCGGTTCATGAGATTAGGTATTCTACTGTTAGCCAGACCGTGCCGGCTAAGTGGATCCGTTGGTTGGAAGCTCCGGCTGCGCATCTGCCGCCTGCGGCGGGTGATGAGGAGGAGGACGACTTCCGGGCTGAGTTTGAGCGGGTGCCCGAGGAGATCCGGGAAATCATCGAGAGCGGGGGTGTGGACCCTCGTGAATGGGTTGCCGAGTGGATTGAGGAGTCTCTGAGCCTTGCGGTTGGCGTGGTGGCGCAGAGATATGTCGCTCGTCGGATGGGTGTTGGCCAGGGAGGCATTGGCAAGGGTAAGCAGAAGGTGGAGAGCGTGCTGCAAGACGGGGGCAACGAGGCTGCGAGGGCTGGGCTTATTTGAGTTTGGGCATGCTGCGGTTTCAGTGCAGTGACGAGAGAGCGGGCAACTGGAATTGAAGATGCGAAGAGGCCTCAATGTGTGAACTAGGCGTCAGGGAGTAAGAACTCGACGGGTTCCTCGATGTGCACTGGACTAATTTCTATCGGATCAATCAGCAGCACAGATCTATGATCCCTTGGCTTATTGGTATGAGAATTGAGAAGGCTGCTATGCCTGCATATTTCCCAGTATTCCACGGGTTGATGCCGCTGTCTAAGGATTGGCCCACCTTAACCTATCCTCTAATTTTCATGTTGTTATTGTTGTCAGACTCGAGGCACCTAGCACACGCTTATGGTGGTGATAGAGCAGCTGGCCGGGCATATTGAAGGCTTCGACGTCCTTGCTCGCAGATTGACCCGCACAAGGTATCATACTGGCTTACCCGAAACGCTGGGGTTTTGTGGTGCCGGTAGACGTCACACAAATCACTGCTATACCTTACAAAGTAATCACGGACTTGTTGATGGAGTCATGGGCCTTGATAGGGCGATGAGCTTTGTAGAACGAAAATGGCCATGGCAACGCCGATGAAGAGGTTTTCGGCCTGTAAATCCTTGGACTGATCAAGTGAACGAACATCGAAGTCACACTGTCAATGAAAGCGCGGTGTGCTGCAGCGGCCATCAAGCGCCCACGACAAGCCGGTTGTGGCCATAGACGGCAGCGTTGGTCATCTCGTGTAAGTATCCCGTCGCTTGTCATTCACATACACTGGCTGGGAATGTTTTCCGCGCTTCATTATCAATCCGTGCATGATACCGATTGGCACTTAGATTGTATGGTTGGGAGGATGGAGGCGGATGCCCTGTCGTTAACAACCTCACATTCGGCACCACTGGCACCCCATCACCACAAGTGGGAGGACTCACGATTCTTCACCATGTCACCCCCAGGGCCAGCAAGCTTCATGCCAACGCGCCACCGAGGCTTGACAATCAGTGGCTCCCTCGTTGTCCTGGCGCCACTTGATCAAGCGGTCCCAATTTTTGTCATGGACCGCGTAGAGACGAGTGTAGGCATATCTGGCAAAGTTCGCTAGGTCGGGCTCCTTGATCGGGGCTGACTTCAAGTCGCCCTTATCTTCGTATTCTTGGAGCTTGTTGGTAACCGCCCGAGCATATTTTGTCTCGGATATAGTTGGTAGTTCATGTGGTGCAAAGAACGGCGGCGACGACCCGCTTCGAACAGGGTCGCCTGAGGGAGTAGATGGTGGGGGGGCACAACTTCTAACCGCTCGGGTATCTCACTTCACTTCAATTCACTCTACCCGGTAGGGGGTGAAAGTAGGAAGGGGGACTTGACTTAGAACCCCGGGCAGTTCACAAATGAGATCGGCACTTCGGATGACTCAAAGCTCGCATTCAAACTTTCCAACTTATATAAGGTACCTAGTTACCTACGCAGTCTACTTACCTTTCAAGGTTGCTTATTGACCTTGAACCATTCATGATCACTTCACAGCAAGCACGTAGGTATGAGCCTATTGGATTGTAACATATATCACATATGCCCTAGTTTGTATTATGGTTGCTCAAATTGAATATATTATATAGGAGTTCAACAACATACCTATACAGACAGACTATGTCCTTTGATCGAAGGGATCTTTGAGCGATGGTTACCGGAATAGAGCGCTTGAATTAGCCCCTTGTTTGACATCACCCTAGTACTGGCAAAGAGTTGAGAGGCCTGCATACCTGGAGCCAAGACAAAAGCAAGGACCGGGCAGTTCGGCAAGATGATCAAGGTAGACTTCAGTTAGCTACCTGGTAGGCATTCAGACCTAAGTCTTTGCTGATCTTACATCTTGTATGACTACATCAGTCTTTCGCCACCTTGGTTCTCAACCACATGTCTGAAAGTCAAGACCTCTCTGAAGCACCATGTGCGGAAGACAGGATCTCACGGACTTCACGGCCTACCATGTGGTTTTGCTGCCCATGCTCTGTTTCGCTACTCGCATATGAGCCTGAGAAGAAGAGAGCCAAGAGACTATGAGACGACGGGACCGGGACATGCAGCCTGAGCTCAGTCATCACATAGGGGCAGGCACTTACATTGACAACAGCTGTAATACAAACACAAGAACCCTGAGCAGTTGAAAAGAAAAACTATATGGCAATATATCGCCTCAAGGCCAAGCGCGTCCTTTTCCGGCCCGAATCTCCTCGCTATGGCCGCCACAGCACGCTCACAGCCTGAGGCGGGCAGGGAGGACGCGAGGATGTCTCTGAGTTGCGGATGTATGGCCGAGGCATGAGCGACACACTCACCCAGCTGGTCAGCGTGGTGTATGAATATCAGAAGGTTTGCAGAGAGAACTGCGAGCTGTTTCTGAAGCTCGTCGTCGATAACGCCCCCAGCGGCAGCCTAATCATGGCTTGGATCCTGACGACCGCTTCGTTCGCGGTTAGTACGCACATGTCCAAGCAAGTTGTAGGGGTGCCGGTGTGTGAGAAAGACTCCATCCTGGTGTTCTGGCCCACTGGGCCTTCGATTCCTTTATCCAATACCGGTACTGTTGGATCAAAAGGTTAACCTAAGGGTGGTGAACAACTGCGAGCTGACCTGACAGCTATACTCATTAATTCATGGGCTTGGTAAGCCTGGGATGCATACCTAGTGCCCAGGGATGTTGAACATCACATTACAGGGTACTAGTACCCATATAAGTCCTTGGGTAGTAACACAAACCAAACTGTTGACCGAGTTGGGGCCCAAAAGTCTCATTCTCTGCCAGTGAACGTAAACCATCAGCTCGTTATAAGATCGGGAATGTTTGTAGGTCTACGACTGACGGGGCGGGGGTACTAATCCATGTGATACCCTTCATCATGCTACCTTGCATGAGTGACCTGCACTCCGAGTCTTCATGGATTGATGGAACGGAAGCAAGCCCAACTCGAAAGCTGTACAAGGTACGCTCTAGAGTAAATGGACGGACGTGTGCTGCAAACTGAAGCGCTCACAAAGTGTTGTTAACGGACCGTTGAGTGTTACACGGTAGATATAGGTCATAGGATCGGGTCGTTTCAAAGTTGAAGAGGATGCCTTGCGGCAGCTTGAAGATGACCTACTATTCAAGTTCAACGACGCATGGAACATACATGGCATCATGATGGATGCCAGCCGATGTGACTGTACGGTAATGGGAATAATGTATAGGTAGGTATGTATGGTCATGATCAGTTTGATCATAGATAGTTATGATTGTAAGCCCTAGCTACTAAAAGAATTAATGGTCCACGGGCTTACTCGGCTCAGGGTCTTCAGCCTGAGTTACCCGAGGGTCCGGGGAACGGGATGTACATGTAGCATACTACCCCCTACCCTAGCAGACCCTAGCAGGTACCATGCCGTCAACATCATATGTGCAGCCAGCATTAAAAAGCGGCACATGACCGCGTTTGATCAAGGTTCGGAGCCCAAGGATATCTCCGCGTTTAAGTGTGCCCAGATTTTATCCGGCATCGCTTCCGCTGGATGAAAACCAGTAGTATAAACCGAGACCCGGTTCCAGTCGGTCTATGAACATGTACAATATAAAGCACGGCACCAATCATAAATACCACGTGTAGGTACTATATGCTTGCTTGTATATCATCCCTACTATACCCCGATCAGCAAGATCTCCATGTTCTAGAAGCCATCCGTAGAAGCTCAAGGTAGGTCTTCGCCGTCGAGGGCCACTCGACTCCGAATCAACAGCATGACATCCCTCTATCACAAAGTCATTTCCATCTTCCTCCTCTGGCTGGGGACATACAATGTTGGACACGCCTCCTCCACACCCGATTCCAACACCAACCTTGCGAAACGCCAGACCAGGTACTGCAACCCAACATCCAACATTTGCTACCTCTCGTACGCAAGAAGCGCCTCCACGCCCACCTTCCGCATCGCTATTCCCGATGGCTCCTCACCCCCCTTCGACACCCTCCTTCAAATCATCGCCCCGGTAGACATCGGCTGGGCCGGCTTCTCCTGGGGCGGCGGCATGACGCTGAACCCGCTCACCGTTGCCTGGCCCAACGGCAATAACGCCACCGTCTCCTCGCGCTGGGCAACGTACGTCTTCTCCTCCAGTCTAACTCAAAGTCAAACATCTTGCAATGGTCCCTAACAATGGAAGAGCAGCGGCCGAACCCTCCCAACCCTCTACCCCTCCGCCACATACCGCACCCTCTCCGCAAGCCGGAACAGCACGCACTGGACCGTCGAGACAGTCTGCTCCGGATGCAGCCGGTGGAGCGGCGGGTCGCTGAGCACGACAGGCGTGAACACGTTTGCGTGGGCCTACAGCCGTACGGCGGTGCAACAGCCCGCCAACACGGCGAGCAGCTTCGCCTACCACAACAACGTGGGCATGTTCTCGAGCGCGCTGGACCAGGCCAAGGTGCCCCGGGCTACCTTTGACCAGTACGTCAGGGGTGCAAGGTAGGAGCACCGTGGTGGCTGAAGGTATAAGGGGAACCGAGGGTGATATGGTATTAGGCTGGCTGATCGTGAGTCGAGCCTGTCAGAGACCTGCATTGGTGTGAGTAGCAGTGGGATATGCTGAAATGAAACATGGATGATTATCCTCATATTGAAACAAATAAATACTCTTCAAAACCAGCTCCTTATGCTCGAACATACCAATAATGGTCCCAGATAACGCCAAAACAAAACCCAAGCCCATAACGCCCTGGAGCGACCAGTCTTATGATACCCAAACAGTGCATCTCAAGCAAACGCACCAACAGCAGACATCAACCCCGCCCCTCCGGCCACCGCCAGAAAGGCATTGACCCGCCTCCGGCCCTTGAGCGTCTTGTAGCTCTTCTGACTCAAAAAGTCCTCCGCCAGCAGCTGCACCAGCCCGGCAAACAGCAGCAGCCCGCTCGAGATAGCATTCATGAACCCAACCATGAGCAAGCCCGTCTGGCTCATGGGGTCGTAGAACCTGTGCACAAACAACCCAATCGCCTGGCCAATGGGCGTCGTGGCTCCAAAAGCGAGCACCATGAGCCAGGGACGGGGTGAAGACCGTGGGAAATGCAGCGCGGCGATGCGGGTGCCGAGGGCGAGGCCTTCGAAGGATTCTATTTGACGTTTGTTAGCTACCCAGGTATTTCGTGTAGGCTGAGGCTGTGCCGAGTGATGCTTACGGTGGAAAGAAATGGCGATCAGAAACACGGCAAACGTCGGCCCGGTAGCCACCGAGAGCGCCATGCCGATAAAGACGCTGTGAAAGAGGATGCCGGCCTCCAGAAGCACACACTGCAGGAGCAGCCGTTTCTGCTCCTCCGCGTTGGGCGGCGCGTGGGGGAACTCTCGCTGACCTGGTTGGCGCTTTCGGTGCGTTTGCGCGCAGCAATCACCGCCCGCCGCCGCCGCCGCCGCCGCCGGGCGCAACTCTTCGAAACTGAGCTCGAGGTCCAACGACTCTTTGCCCTCCTCCCCTTCCCGCGCTTCGCCTTGTTGATGGTTCTTAAGCAAGGATTCCTCGGCGGGCGGAAACGTCGGCGTTGACGCCGGAAGCGGCGACGCATTCGCCACGAGGCGCTGGGTCGCTTCCAAATCATCCAGCGCAACACTTGCCGGCCGTCCACCACGTCGAGCGGCGCGCCCACGGCTAATACTATCCCCGTCGCTATCCCCCGCGCTATCATCATCCTCGTCCCCCTCCTCCCAGACATGGTGCGAATGCGAATGACTCGCACCGCGCGTGGTGAGGTACGACTCGAGGGCCACAACCACCAGCGCCGAGACCATGGCGATCAGGCCCGCGAGCGGCCGGTATCCCTTGCTGAACGCGTGTGGCAGGCAGGGGTCGGTGAGGGAGGTGAATGCGGTCGGGAGGAGGTGGACAAAGGCCGTGGCCATCAACACGCCGGTGCCGAAGTGCTGGCAGAGGAAGATGATGTTGCGCTGGGTTCGGCTGCTGCCTTTGGTCAAGCGTTGCGAGAATAGGGGGAAGCCGCATGCTGGTTGTTGCAACTCAAGTATCAGCATCGGAAGAGAGGAGGATGGCATGGCGTTGTGTCCTACGTACCCAAGGTGCTCAGGAACAGGATGAGGAACAGGGCGAAGACGTGCAACCCCGTGTCGTAGGAGCCTCTCTTCCCGGAGCCGCATGCTGGCCGGTCGTCGGCATCTCCACGTCTGGATAGCTCGGCGAGGAGGAGTTCGGTTGGTATTGATGACCATTGGGGTTCTATGTAGACGGAAGAATTGTCAGATGCTGGACACTTCTCGATGGCATACTGCACTGCAGTGACCCCTGAATCCGGAGATGGTTAACGACTGACCATTCGCCCTTGCATTGCGCATCTCCATTCTCAGTCAGTGCCGTAAAGCTGTTTTCTGCGATCTCGCATCGCTGCGCTAGGTTGAAGAGCAATCCGACTGTAGGTCCCCGTTGAGAAATCAGCTGCGCCTCGATTGCTTCTGTCGTGACGGGAGCTTGAAACGGAAGGCGGTAGCGTTTCCGTTGCCGAGGGATGATGCACCTTGAGGATCATTTTAGCCCGGGGTTTGGGCCCCAATCCCTGTCACAGACCCCCAACAGCTCGGGCCTGCAGTGGGCCCGACTCGCTAATTTTAGCTGCCCCCCTGACGTCGTTTCTCCCGCATCGAGATCTGTGTTCAACTTCACTCTTATCTCAAACTTCAGAGATCGAGGAACATGCTCTGAGCGCGATGCGGACAGTTACCAATTACGACCTGGTTGACCTCTCCATTTCCTACATGCAAATCCACAACAAAAAGCAGTTTGCTTGCCTTGGGAGCTAGCTGAAGCATGACCTTCAGTGTTCTCTTGGCATTCCCATCCATGCAAGGTTTGGCCAACGAAATCTAGCTCTTATTCTCTCCCTCCCCTTGTCCCGCTTACTTCTGCCCCTACTTACTAGACCTTCGGAAGTTCAGACACCCTTACCCACGCAACTGACCATGATCATGTCGCCTTGGGCACCGCTGTCCCCCAAGGAAACGCAGTCGTCACCGGCGACCCATACGTGCCTAGACTATTGTAGTCCTTGGTTGTCGGCGTCCCAAAGAAGATCTTTTGCACATACGGCAAGATGGACGTGCTGCAGTGAAAAATACCATGCTGTCAGCCGGGTCTCGAGCTGTCCCGCATTCCGCATTCGGGTCAATCCACTTACAAGCCGCTCATATCGCAATGTCCCCCGCTGCGCACGCTTATAGCAATCCTATCCCCCGCTCCCAGCCAGTCATACACCAGCTTCGCAGCAGGGTAGATGACCGTGGCCGTGCCCTTACTATTAACAAACTGGTCCCCCGTGCCCTGGTCAATAACCAGCGCGCGCGGTGCGATAGCAGCAGCAATGGTGTGCGCGTCGTAGGGGAGGTTCTCGGCGTGGTTGACGAACGTGCCCAGCTTGCTGTTGCTCCACCATCCGGCGCCGGACTTGCTGTTCTCGAGGTTCTCGCCCTGCCCGCTCATGGTGTAGTAGCGGTACGGCCCCAGCCCTTGCACTCCAGACGACATGGGCATCGTCAGCGTGATCCGGGAGTCAAAGAGTCCTGCGGCGAGCGCCGCCTTGCCCAGCCGTGAACAGCCAGTGACACCGACACGGTTGGAGTCGATCTCGGGCACCGTCATGTTGATTGCGTCCAGCGTGCGGTGGAAACCCCAGGCCCAGGCCGTTAGGACGCCTGCGGTTGGCGATGATAGTTAGTCTATTATACCCAGCCAAAACCACTGGAAAACATGGTTCGGTACTTACCGATGTCCTGACCGTTATAGATACTCCAGAAAGCCCCGCTCTTCGAGTTGCTGTCGGGCGCCACCGAGGTATAGTCAAACTGCGCGATGGCAATGCCCGCGCCAAGGTACGGCTGGTTCTGCATACCGCCAATGTTGATCACCACCGGTGCCGGTTTGGCTGCCGACGCACCCGAGGGCAGCGTGATGGTGGCTCTGAACCTGCCCGTCTTGCCGCCGGCCGTCACGGCGATGTTGAGCGTGTTGCCGCTGCGCGTGGCCTCCACTTTCTCCTGGCTGTGATCCGGGTAGTAGCCGTACTGATACTCCTGCAGCATACGCACAATCTCGGGCTGGCGGCACTGGTACCACTCCTCGCGCGTCTGCACCCTGTTCTTGCCCTTGCCCGTCATCACGTCCCTGGCAAACGTCGACGAGCCGCCCGCATTGTCTGTCGTCGTGTACCGGAGCGGTAAGAACGGGTCGGGGAGCGACGACTGCTGAGGAAGCTGTTGCCATGTTGGGGGCGGAGAGGGGATCGGAGCACACTGGATTGTGCCATTGCCGCTGGCCTGCCGTGACTCCAATGGCAGGGCTGCAGCGCTCCCGACCGCAGCCGCAAGAAGGCCGTATGAGGCGATGCGCATCGTGATATCATGCAGACGTTCTCCCTCCGGAGCTCTCACGAAACTCCGACTCGTCTCAGTGGTCGGGGAGGACTGGCACGATATACCATGTCCGGAAAATTCCCTTAGTACCTTGAACCGTCTTTCGCAAGTCAGATATCCGTCCGAATGACAACGTGACCCCAAAGTCGGCATCCTGTCACCCGAGTCTGCTTAGGCAATTGCAGGTTGATTGGAGTAGCACCACCGCCCCTTATTAGCCATATTGATCCGCCGTCGATGACCGGATTACATAACACCAGCTGGAAGCCATCTCGGATGATACTTCACTCGCTCCTGGGTCTCCAGTTAACTCAAGGAAATGCATTCTGGTTTCCACACTCCAATGTCTCTCTCGACTCCCGCTGTACCAAAAATCATAGCCCATCACTTACTACATCACGCACTACCTACAAACGGAGTGAGCAGCTCTATATACTGTATTAGTTCCCAGACTGCTATCAATGGCACAACATGTACCCGTGAGCTGAGACGAGGTGCATGCCGATCGCAAGATGCCTTCAGAGCTCTCTTGTTGAGCACAGCACCAAGTTGCTGGCAGCACCCAGTTGACTCTCGCCTTGTTCGCATGCCTGATTCTCCGCCACGGCACCCACAGGGCGAGAGGGGCAATAGCCATCGCCTTCCCAGACTTCTCATGAATCACAAATCCTTGATCATAGAGGTGGGATAGAGGGAGTAGGCGGAGGGCGTTGGTTTTCTCTCAAGTAGTTATAGTTCTCAAGCTGTGTTTCGTGGCTATGGCCCCTGTAGGTCCATACCGTCCCACATGGTTCGCAATAGTTCCGACTATGCGCTGCCCGTGTCAGTCATGGACCTTACGAATCAGGGACGAAGGAAGATGAATCACACGCTAACTGACTTTTTCTCCGCGTAAGATAATATTTCGGTGAAGCGAGATTCCACCTCAGCCAACCTGGTCTTGACATCGGCTTGGTGCCACAACCACCAGACCCGTCTCCCAAAGTCCACCTTGAAGGTCTGCTGCTCGGCTTGTGACCACAAGTAATCCGTTGACTTGAGCAGAGGTTCAAAATCAGATATTAGGGTTGCCAGTCTGACGTTAAAGTTTCGGTGCCGTTCATGTTCGCCGTCGTCAATGTTGGCTCGCCGCCATCTTAAATCAGCAATCCTAATGCTTCGAGCTGCCTCTGCCGTGACATTATAGTCAGGCTGGAACGTCTGCCGAAGTTGTTCGATCCGTGGCTTGAGAAATGCGACAGTTTTGCCAAAGCGCTTGATTTCCGCTGAGGAGCCTCTTAGCTGTATCGCGAGCAGCGGTATCCCAAGGCCTAAAGCGTAGACAAAAGTCAGGATTGCTATCACATTGCTCGTGACGGACAGCGGTGAATCTGAGCAGGAAAGCTGCCCTTCGCACGGGGTGCAGTTCATCTCTTGGCATTTGCTCTGTTTTCAATTTCAAGAATAGATAAAATATAAAGAATTCGGTAGCTCAAGTGTCATCGTCTCGCTCATTGCGAGCTTTCCTGCTATGTTCAGTTAGGGGAAACTGGAGAACATGAGAGCTCAAAACAGAGCGGTAAAGAGAAGTTGGGAACTCCGAACTTCCGAAGTGCGAATACCCCCTTGCCCAGAAGTACGTAGTTTTGCACCCGACATTCATCAGCCTGCATGTAAGGATAATGTATTCATCGAGCTAGTTTGTCGCCTCATGCATATCCGGATACCCTCCCGAGTCCTCGTGGCGCCTTCCGTTTGAGACTGTGATGCCCAGCAAGCTCGAAAATATCGCACGCAGGTTGACATAACACATTTCCTATCGAAACAAGTGGACCGAGTCAATGAGCTCACGTCGAGTTTATTTTCATATTGCAAGGCTCCCTGATCGCCCAGAGTCCAAAAACGCCCAACCGATTCTGCAACTGCGAGTCCACTAAAACGACGCTGATCTCGCGATAAAACGAGTGTAGCTTGGGGCGTTTGGCCAATAAATAGGGTCTTGGCACCCGGGCCGAATTTCTTCGCCAAGTCATGGACTCACCCGACACCAAATCCAACATCCAGGTACCAATTCGTACTTTTAAATGAAGATGGATTTCTGTAGGCTCTACAAGCGCGAAACTAGGTATGGTTATTCGAGCTAACTATGGCCAATCTTGACTCTCGACGGGTAGAGCTTGCAAGTATGACTGTGATATTCGCTCTTCCAGTGTGGGCAAGGCTTACGGAGAATCCGTACGAAGTACCTTAGGTACTCTCGGTACTGTATGTACTGTACCTATGTACGGAGGTACAATCGACCAAAATCGTTTTATTGTGGGACCACTATCGTTTTAGCGGACTCGGGCAACTGCGGTAAGCCTCTTCATTGATTGCGTTGCATAAAGCGATAAGCAGCTCCTATTAGTGCCCGCAGAATGCGCTGATGCACTCCCACCCGACACCACCCTCCAATTACCTTAAAGGTAGCCAACAATGCTAACACACGTTTTCTTAGCAGACCGCTCCGACACACAGAACAGACAAGAGCCGACAGAACTTGCGGCTGGCAGTTGGTAAGGCAGTTGGGAAAGGGTCGGGAGTGGTTGAGAATGGCCACTCGTTCTCAGGAGTGCCTGTGGCTCTCCTACGCCATTTTCCACAATGACAATGCACGCCTCACAAGCGCAGAGAGTCTATCGTTGATCATCCTGTTGAAACGTACATCACCTACATATCCAGCCACCTAGTAGGGACATGGAAGCCCCGGTAAAGCTCGAAGAATATGATCCAGATGAGAACAAGACTCGCTACGAATCAGGCGGAGAGATCGCGCAGACCCTAGCCACAATAGACAAGGTCCGCCATCCAGTGAAGCCACTCAAGAAAGTTGCCGAGAAGCTCCATGTCACTAGCAGGAGAAACAAACGCGACGTGGATGTCTACCCGTTCGCTCGGAAGACTATCAAACTCCCCGCCGCCGCGGAACTCGAGTTACTCGACGCGGCCAAGCAAGCATTTTTAAAGGAGGTGCAAATTCTGCGCCACGCCCAGCAGTGCCACCATGTCGTCAAACTAATCGAGGCGTATGCCGTGGGTGGGAACAATCCGTGCCTGGTGGCCGTGATGGAGCGCGCAGAACACGACTTGGAGACGTTTCTTTCCGCTGCAACTCTTGAACAGCATCACCTCGACCGCATACGCCAGTGGTTCACATGCCTCGCCAGCGTCGTCGACGACATCCACGACCGCGGCATCCGCCATAGGGACATCAAGCCCGCAAACATTCTGATTAAGAACGGGGAGGTCCTCCTGTCCGACTTCGGCATATCGCAAATGGGAATCGTGAAGACGCTCTCGACGACGATGCCCGAGTTTGCCCGCGCGAGGTCCGTACCCTATTGTGCCCCTGAGGTAGAGGACGGAAGCAGCCGCGGTCGTTCCGCCGACATCTTCTCGCTAGGAGCTGTTTTCCTGGAGATGCTCGTTGCGCATTCGTATTCTGGCCGGAGGGCCGAACTCCGGAAAGATTTGAGAGTGCCTGGTCTTGGTGACGGGGCATACTCGTATGCCTTCCGGCTCGACAATGTGCATGGATGGATACGGAAGTTGGAGACAAACGCTACTGGTGCCACGGATCAGACAGGAGGCAACTTACCTGAGTGGCGTCTGTCCATTATCCATCTGTGTCACGAGATGTTACAGGAGGATCGCGATAAACGGCCTCAGGCTTCCCAGATAGTCCACAGGCTTCGGAACATGCCTTCAACAGGGTTGGCCTGCCGCTGTACTTCAGCCGATTGGGCCGTTTCAATGACTGGGGACTCGGACGCGCGACCCAAGCTGATTGAAGCTTGCAAACGTGGTTCACTATCTGACGTGCGACGTCTTAGTGACCGCGTGGACCTAGCGGAAATAGGAGCAATCCACCTAGCCGCGGCGCGAAACCATCTGGATATCGTGGAGTTTCTGCTCGAGTCCCGTGTCGATGTCAATCTCTGCGACTACAGCAGCCAGACTGCCCTACATTGTGCTGCAGGAAATGGATGCAGAGAGATAGTTCAGACACTCCTAACACGCTATAAAGCCGAGGTCAATCTCGCGGATGTCGAGGGCCGGAGGGCGCTTCACTACGCGGCTGGCGGCGGTTACGGGGAGATCGTCGATATGCTGCTACAGGCAGATGCAGACGCTACCGCGGCTGATATCAACAACCAGACAGCGCTTCACCTCGCGGCCAAAAGAGGACATGTCTCCATAGCAGAAAGGCTGCTGCAAACAGGAACGTACCCGGTGGACTTGGGGGACAGAAAGGGGCAAACAGCGCTTCATTTCAGTGCAGCATTCGGCTCCGATGAGCTAGTGCGGCTACTCCTCGGTAACGGGGCCAATGCCAAAGCAAGTGACGTGAGAGACTGGACTCCACTGCATTTCGCAGCTAGGGGAAAGAGACTCGGGGTGGAGGACGATTACCGAAGGGCCATTGAGGCGTTGCTACAACATGAAGCAGACGTCCACGCGCGAGACAATCAGGGGTATAACGCTTACTATTGGGCCAATGTTCTAGGGCACAACATCAGAAAACGGCCACTAATGGCGGCACTAGATTCAGCAAACAACCCGGCTCAACTGGAAGTAAGTCTGCCCGCTCCGTCAACCAGATTTCCAACCTCTCCCTGGCATGACCCAGACTCTAATGTAGGTATACTCGGTACCTAACGAACAGAGAGCAAGGTAGCGATAGCTGAACACGACGAGCCGGTAGTGAGAGGCGACGAGGCCCCTCTCTTGCCTACGCATTCAGTCGTTAGTGCCTCCATCGCCTCAGCCCAGTACACTGATCTCGCCACGTTCCTTGCTCTTGCGCAAAATGTCAATGTCGACATACTCCCCATCACATGGCAACCCCAGCTAAGCGGGCTGGGCGCTGGAGCCTCGGCCCTCGTCAATCAATCCTCCGTCCATCTTAACATGAGTCTAGCGTTCAAGAGGTACAAGCCGGTCGAGACAGGTGGAAGCGGTGAGAGGATGCTGCTCCAAGATGCCTTTCGATCCTTCGCAAACGAGATTCGGGTCCTGAGGGAGCCCTGGGTCCGACGCTGCAACTCCATTCTAGACCTCCTAGGGATATGTTTCGAGGCGAAGCACGCGGATGGGGTTCTGTGGCCAGTCTTGGTGTTCGAAAAGGCGCCGTTTGGTAATCTTCGTCAATTTATGAACTCAGAGATCGGCACCAAGTTATCGGGTAGAGCTAAGCTCAGTCTATGTCGGGATCTGCTCCTCGCGGTGGCTACCATGCATGGATGCGGTAAGTCTTTCCTCAGCGTCGAAGGCAATGGCCAAAGACTGAAAGCCGGCTTAACATGAACCTAGACATTATTCACGGCGATCTCAAACCTGACAATATTCTCATATTTCCCCACCCGGAAGGAGGCTTTGTAGCCAAAGTCATAGACTTCTGCTTTTCCCATGTGGGGGCGGTTGGGATAAAGTTAGAGACTGTGGTACTGCCATGTACGCCGCCTTGGGATGCTCCCGAATACAGCCGGCGTGGCATTTCTGTACTGGACGCCAAGCGAGCCGACGTCTTCTCTCTAGGTCTCGTTTGTCTCTGGCTGTTCTTGAGAGACGATTTATGTCTCTACTGGGAAGACCATGCGCGGACATACAACAACAGTTACCGAGACCTTCTCAGGAACGACGAGAAGGGACTCTGTAAGCTGAAGATTGAGGATGAGTTGGGTGCTTTCGCAGACCGCTGCCTGAGCAAATCTCCCTGGACGGGTGCACTTGGGAGCGATGACATATCACGCCTACGGCGCTTTTGGTTCCTCACACTAGCCAGAGATAAAAAGGAGCGACCTCTGGGTCTTTGGGGAATGCTCGATCCTGGCGGGGATGCTGAGCGACCCACAGACATGGACTCGTGGATGAGTACCGTCACCCGTAACCATGCTGTAGATGGCGACGGTGGACGTGTTGGTGCTTTCAAGGTAAGTAAGCAACCAAACTCTCTTCCATATGTTCTACTGTCCGTCTCGGCTCAGCTTTAACGATCATTTAGATCTCGAAGTCCCTTCCGCAGCTCATCCAAGCGGATTATCGGTTGCGGCGCCAGCTGGTAGAGACACTGGATGAGAGTGTTACGCGCGGAAATCTAGACGATGCCTATGAGTTGGCACTCTGCAAAGCTATTGGATTTGGGACTAGAAGAGACACTGCAAGGGCCCTGGAACTGGTCATAAGCAGCCCGAAGCCCATCTTTCAGTTGGAGACGGATATCGATCGGCTGCGCCACGGGAGGGTCGTCGTGGAGTATCAAGGACGCTTCGCCGAACTTTCTGACGAAGGATACATCCAGCGGTATATCCTAGACGTTGCTGGAAAGGAAGATGTCACCCGAGTGCGGGACGCTTATAACGACGAGATTGGAGATTTAGAGGGCGCTTTGGGGAGCAGCAGCCCAGCAGTCATCCAACTGAAGCAGCGACTTGCGGGAATTCTCCTGCAAAATGGAGACTTCACCGAGGCAGGCGCTTTATATTCTGATGTTGCATCAGCAATAGCGCAGAAACGGGACGCTCTACCCGATTTCCCCTCGACTTGGAATCCGCGCGGCTTCGAAGAACGAAAAGCCTGGGACTACATAGCCACCAAGGCCATCAAGGAGAATACGGTCAGAATGCTCCAGAGCCGAGGCGACATGGTCGATTCCCACCGGTTGGGCGGAAACTGGGCAGCGGCTGAGCGTATAGGAACAGAGGCTCTTCCCCAACTTCTTCAGACTGTCGGCGAGGAACACTTGCAGACCTTGGCTGTGATGGAGAGTCTTGCCATGACGCACATGAAACGGAACAAATGGAAAGCGGCAGAACAGCTTGAAGAGAAGGTGCTTGAAGTGAGACGGGAGGTTTTAGGGCCGAGCCACCACCTGACGTTGCAGAGCGCTACGGTTCTCGCATCCATCTACGGCTGCGTGCAAAGCTGTAGAGAGTTTACCCCGGGGGTTCTTGGCTGTGCTGGAGACCAAAACGAGCGGAAACTGCGGTCAGAACAAAGGCGACAGCGACGACAGAAAAGGGGCGAGACGCTTCTCGAGAGCGTAATGCAGTCCCCTGACCTGATGAGGGATCACCCAGTCTGCATAGATGCCGAGGCTGTCCTCGCCTCGATATACATCGATCAGCGACGGTGGGATTTCACCGAAAGCCTAGAATTGGGCGTTCTTGAGAAGCGGACAGAGACATTAGGCCCGGACCACCCCGACACCCTAGCGAGTAGGGGGAACGTGGCCCTAATTCTGAAGGCAAGGGGGGAGACCCAGGGCGCAGAGAAACACGAGAAATTTGTTCTAGAGACCAGAAAGCGCGTGCTGGGGCCGAGACATCCCGACACCTTGGTTGCCATGACAAATCTAGCGTTCACCTTAAAGGAAAGAGGTCAAGAGGAAGAGGCTTCCGCGTTGTTTGAGGAAGTCAGGAACCTAAAAAAAGAGCTGAGAAAGGATCTCAAACGGGAAGTGGAATCGCAGCAAAAGCGTGAGAGACGACGGAAGCGGCTGGGCCATTTAGCAAGCCGCTTGGAACCCGGGGCAACGCGACCAATGGAGCAATCTCCAGTGGTGAACAGGGCGAGTCAAGAAGTTGACGAGTTCTTCAGGAGCTTGGGCTGATCCAGATGACTCAGGACGTACGAATGCTAAGAAACGACAATGCTTCGATTGATCAAATGCTAGATTGCATTCCATTTGTACCCAACTCCGTCGGGTTTGCCTCTCAGCCCATAATTCTGCAGAGACAGGCGCTCACATGACAAAGAGCAAATCAGTATCTGCCACAGGTGCAAAGAACACCGTCAGTACTAAAACAACCCCAACACTAGCCGTAATACAGAGGCTGAAAACTCACCAAGAGGGTGGCTGCACGACAGCTGGGGCTTCTGCGTGTACTTGGTCTCGAGGACATCCCGGATGCTGTTGAGCAGCTGAACGTAGCTTTGCTTGGGGTTCTGCTTGAGCGCCGAAATGAAGGCCCAAGACATGGCACCCGTGGCCTGCGACTGGATGGTGGCGTCGGCTCTGTTCAAACAACCATACTCGTCAACAACTGTGCAAACACCAACCACAGATCCACCCGCTCAACTTACGAAGTCTGATCATCCTTACTACCACTCCACATGATCACATCAGCAGGCGACGTCTTGGTCCTCTTGGTATGCTCATACGCATCATTGCCCCTCATGGCCGACTGGGCAAAGCCAAAGATGGTCTTGGCAACCCCGCCGAGGTCGCCGCGGGAGTAGTGGCCGACGGCCTCGAGCAGGCCCTGGCCGGCCTCCTTGGCGAGGTTGGGCTCCTTGAGGATGCCCTTGGTGCTGTAGATGTAGGGCAGGTCCAGCACGGAGCCCGAGTGGCAGCTGTCAAAGATGGCCGTCAGCCGCACGCCGGCCTGCAGGGGGCTCACCACGTAGTGGTGCAGCTCGTCGTCGACAATGTGGCCTGCTGTCTCGTAGTCGACGGGATAGATGACCTCGTCGTAGCCATCCTCCTCGTCGCCGCTGGTGTCTTCTGTCTGTCCGCCGTGGCCTGTATGGATCTTGTCAGTTCTGAAGGGGAAGGTACGGTAGAGTTTAGGTCGTGGACTTACCGGAGAAATGTAAGAAGAGAGCATCGTTTGGCTGAGCGCCTTCAACGAGCCACTGCAGAGCGCGGATGATGTTTTGCTTGGTGGGCTGCATGACAGGGTTCTGTTGGTCGTCGGTCAGGATGACCATGTCTTCGCGCTTGTAGCCGTGGTTCTCGATCAAAAATGCCGAGACGTTCCGGGTGTCATTGATGCACCCGCGCAGCTCACCCTTCTGGCCAAAGTAGTTGATGCCGATCAGGAGCGCCTTGCGCTTGCCCGTGCAGCTGGAGTATTGGAACTTGTAGCTGTGCGGTGCTCCGTGACCAAACTCCTGCATTCCGGACGGCGGCGGCGGGGCGGCGCGCGAGGTACCGGAACCGCCGTATCCGGGACCATGAGCGATCGGGTAGCCGTAGGCATCGTAACCCTGCGGAGGAGGTCCTGGCGGTGGCTGGTACTGCCGTTGCGGAGGGTTCGGATGCTGTCCGTAGCCCTGCTGCGACGAAGGGTAATGTCGGTACCCTTGGTCCGGGCCAGGCGGCGGCGGCGGGTGGTGTCCGTAACCTGAACCCTGCTGTGGGGGAGGGTATTGCGGTTGTCCATAGCCCGGCTGCGGAGAAGGAGGATATTGAGGTTGGCCATATCCTTGGGTTGGCGGCGGCGGAGGTTGCCCGTAGCCGTGTTGGGGAGGGGGGTATTGAGGCTGGTCGTATCCGTGGCTTGGCGGCGGGGGCTGCTGTTGCCCGGAACCGGGTCCGTAACCGTAACCGGGATATCCGTATGACATTTTGGCTGAATTCCGAGTTAATCGCAGAATATCTAGAGAGTGAGATAGAGCTCAGCTTGCAACGAAGGTAATTTGGCAATGTATGGCGGTTCAAATCTGGTTCTCTGGCAGTTGGATCTGTGACCAACTTGCGCTGCGCCTTATGCGGGTCTAGGCTGGTGGCCTCTGACAAGTGGTGGAACAAATGCAGCTGCGAGGGGATGGTGGGATGGCACGACAGGATCGACAGCTCAGCAGCTTGGGGCCCACTTTTAGGGCTAAAATAGCTACAAACATTCGAGAATAGGGTACCTTAACAATTTCTTAAAGCTTTTCTTGACTTAAAGTTAGAGAATGGCGATGGTTATCCTACATACCTTATAGAACGACGCAGTGCATTGGACATAATTTGCAGTAATATACGAGTGCTACACGTTATACTACTTGCTTACACACGCCGCTGTGTATTGGGCATCCTTGCTACTAGTACTGCCGGGAGTATCCGTATTCACTTCATTGACAATTACAAGCAACTCCTCAATTTGTACTTCGTAATTACCGTACTATACAGACATAAGGTTGAAATCGATTCAGCTGAGCAAGGCTGAGGATCGGCGTGGGGTTAGGTCTCAGGTTTGGGCCAACGTCGTCCCACCTCAACTCGATCGACCCCTCCAACAGATCCATCATCCATCTTCCTTCTTGGAAGGACAGGGTCAAGTACACCGCATTGGGTTTGTACTGTACTGTACAGCACCTCAATCAACCTCAATCAAGTTGGAACCGTCCAGGCAGACATGATATTGGCGGGCTGCCTTGGCCGGGATTTGTCAACCAACAATGTCCGACAGTGCTGCACGGCCCGCCTATCAATCACGTCGGACAACCAGACCCGACCAGTCGTACAGCAGGATAGAAGCGCTTGAAGGAACCAACACGGAGGTGGCCATGCATCCGGCTGCACCAACAGGCCGCTGCGCGACCATCACCGACCACCACCGCAGAGATGAACGATTTAAAACACCGTGCCGCTGAACGGCCAACAAGGAGATGAAGGCTCACTCTTCAAGACTTCAAGACTGCATGTGCAGCCTCTTGACTTCTCTTAACGACGGGCCGACGGTTCCTCTTTGATTCCTTACCCAACAACATCTCTGAAAGTTTGCCCACTAGATCCGGTCCCATCTGACTCAAGCCAGCTTCAACATGTCTTTCTTCAAGAAGTTGACCGATATTGGGGATGACCTGGGCCGTTTGGGTCTCGGGCCCAAGGGCGAGCACAAGCAGGAGGCACCAGCTGCCCACGGAGGTGAGTCCGCCAGCCTTAGACTTGGCTCACCTCGCAACAACTGCTGACTTTCTGACCAGGTCACTACCCTCCCGCTCAGCATCCGCCCCAGGGATATGGTCAGCCGACGCCGCCGGCTGAGAAGCCCGAGAGTTCCTATCCTCCACAGCAGTATCAACCAAACTATGCCACTCCGTCGCCCCAGCCAACGCCATCGGCTCACCATGCTCAAGCCGGCCCTGGCCCGGTCCCGCCTTTCACGCCTCCTGCCGACAAGCCACAGCTTCCGGCTGGCTGGATTGCCCAGTGGAGTAATCAGCACCAGCGCTGGTTTTGTATGTACTTTGCCCATGTCGCCTATGAAGGCCGGTAAGCATCATGCAGGACTGACGATTATCTTTAGACGTTGAGGAGGCCACTGGCCGCTCGCAGTGGGAGGCCCCTGGCTATTTTCCCGGGCAACCACCTGCCGCGGATGCCTCCCGGCAGCATAGCTCGCCCCAGCCCCCTGCATACGGCGGCGCTACTCCGTATCAAGATGCCTCCTACCAACATGGCGCGGCCCCGCCCCCTGCCGGATACGGTGCTTCTCAGTATCCGGAGCAACACGGGGCGCATGGCTCGCCCCAGCCACCTGCCGGATACGGCGCTCCTCCGTATCAAGATGCTTCCCGCCAACATGGCTCGGCCCCACCCCCTGCTGGATACGGCGCGCCTCCGCATCCGGAGCAGCACGCACCAGCCGCCGCCCCGCCCGAGGACAAGGGCAAGAAAGGGGGCGCCGGCAGCCTGCTTCTGGGTGCCGCCGGCGGCCTGGCAGTCGGGGCCATTGCCGGCGGGGTAATTGGACACAAACTCGGTGAGTGCTGATATTTGCCCCTTCCACATGAGAGTCGGCTGCTGACTGACTTTTCCACACAGCCAAGAAGAAGTCGCATGATGAGCATGAGCACGAGGGCCACCACGGGGCCTCACATGGTTCTCATGGCTCTTCGTCCGAAGCCGCCACCTCGCATGCTGCTGAGACTGACAGTGAGGACCGCGGGGGCAGAATCAATATCAATATCTTCTCTCGCAAGAAGCACGGCAAGAGTCACGGCGGCCACCAGAGCCAGCCGTACTACGGGGGTGGATACGAGGGAGCTGAAGAGGTGAGCAGCAGTGAGGGCGAGGAAGGGGAGGAGGAAGAGGAGGAAGGTGAGGAAGAGGAGGAGGAGGAGGAGGAGGAAGAGGAAGAGGAAGAGTCCTCCTCGGAGGAAGAAGAGGAGGAAGAGGAGGAAGAGGATGATGAGTAAGGGAAGTATCGATGAGTGCTGATCATGATGGTCATCTGGATAAGTTTGTGGTTTGGACAAACGCGTTCTCTCACGGATTCGCTTTAGTTTGTTGTAGGTTGCCCGAGATTGAAATAACAAGAGCCCATTTTGAATATAAAGCCCGGAACAACGTATCGTTGGGAGAATAGCACCTTATAATTCGATCTAAAGATTCAAACGCATCCAGGGTCAAGCACCGGAAAGCGATGTCGACCACTAGCACAGATTGTAAGCGATTAAAATTGTTGATGTCACGTCCTCCTAGGGAACTCCTAGGTAGATTGTCAAAAGCAGAATAAGAAGACTTCCAATTTGAAGGCTCCCTTAGTGCCCGATACGCAGCCCTTGTGTCATGGTTAGTGTCTTGGAGGCGAGTGATGACTCGGATATAAGCCAGATAACAGCGTCTAGAACACCGGATAAAGGAAGGCTTAATTGTCGAGGCACGGGTAAACCTGGCATACCCCCTGGCACAAAGTGGGCATGGACGAGTCTCATATGGGATTCGGGGATGAAAGTCCCGCTGGTAATTTAGAAGGATATGCAAGAGATGTTGGTTGAAACTGAATCCATGCAGCGTGTCACGTCAGCTTCCTTTGGATGTGGTGATCGAATTGAGAATTAACATCTCTCAGACTGGCCACTTCCATCACTCCATATTTCCTGGGTTTTGGCCTGTGTTGGGTCGGGTTCTTGTTCAGAAATCAACTTGTAGCACCCTTGGCGAATAAGTCAGAGTGAGCTTCATACAGCACCTTACCACAGCTAGAACACGGTAGACCAGGAGATTGCAACCATGGCGGTCCACGCACATGAACATGGACACGGCACGCATGAGCATTGCCTCAAGATGGCCAGACGCGAGGACGGCACTCCGTGGTGGTCAGAATTTCCCGAGCCGAGGTCAATAGCGTCCAAAATCGGCCCGGAAGACGTATTACGGTTGCTTCAAGACCAAGAGTGTGCCGAGGGAGATGAGCCGCGCGACTTCCTGCTCGTGGACGCACGCCGAACAGATTTCACCGGAGGAGCCGTCCGCGGGGCCATAAACCTGCCGGCCCACAGTTTCTACCCGTCACGCAAGATACTGTACGAGCTGTGCACCCAGGCAGGCATCAAGAAGGTCATCTTCTATTGCGGTAAGTGCGCATGAATGAAGCGCCTCTGGCGACGGCCGAAGCTACCTATGTATGGGCAGCTAACAATGAGAACCCGGCTCGTTCTGATCAGCGTCGTCCCTTGGCCGAGGCCCTCGCTGCGCTGCTTGGATGCAGGACTATGTTAATGAAGTCGGCGGAGACATCGAGTCCCAGGTGATGATTGGCGGTATCCGCGGCTGGGTTCAGGCGTATGCAGGGGCGATGATGGACGGCTATGACGAGAAGGTGTGGAAGGCGGAGAAGATCTAGCATCCGGTTATGTTGTTGGGTATCTTGGTGCCGACAAAACCACCCTGTGGACCCCTTCCCCTGACCGTTTTCGCTTTTCCCAAAGATGAACGCCATGACCCTGAACCTATTCCTACATCATCCTTTCTGCGATGCTCAAGATCGCATGGGATCCGCCAAGGATCATACCCTCCGCGCGAGGCGAAGGTGTGGAAGCGTGTTTGTTAGCGCCCTCCGCGCTCGTCTCCACCAATCCTTTCGAGAGCTTCCAGCATTACAACTGAGTTGCCGCGGATGACCTGCAGGGGCTGTCAGCCTACGCTGGGTGAAGTATTGTAAAGAATACGCACCACCATGCCGAGCTTGGCCTTCTCGCCGTTGTCTTTCTCCTCAACTGCATCATCCAGGACAATGTTGAGGAAAACCTGTCCGACCATCGTCAGCCGCTGAGAGTTCGCGTATCCGGAGAGATAGCACGCACATCGTAGCCTCGAAGCACACCAATGACCTTTCGGCTGCCGTTAAGCTGAACAAACAACCGCTTGTCAAGGTACTAGTTTCAAAAATGTCAGTCTGACTATCCTGGCAGATGCTGTTGCGATGTTGGAATCGCGTGTTGGGAAATGGCATGGTAATGAATAACATACCTTCTTGAGCTCTGGCTGTGCGGGCGCCATCTTGCTTGTGTTGTAATGTGTTGTCGCGCTCACAGCCTCCGAAAAGGAACGGTATGGAGCTGGTCGCGTTGACCGCAGCCTTGAGTTACGCCAGAAATGTTGCAGGCCGCTCTTCAGTAATGTCACGTGTGGTGTCGATAAGATAAGATAAACTTCAGGTCAATGTTACTCCTGTCGTAGCTTGCAAATCGCCATGGACAGTCCATAACTTCATCCAGTTAAGTTCGCTTTAATCAGCTTGCACCAGGTCTTCAAATCACCACTTGACGGCACGTCAAGCAAAGGACGTAACATCTCTTTCAGAAAATGAGCTCCTTTGGTGCCAAAAGGAAACCGCGAGCTATCCATACTCTCGACGACGACGATGACTTGCTAAATCCGTCGCCAGCTGGCGGCGACGAGCCAGACAACCGTAAGTCGCAACCGGTACTCCAGCATCCCATCTATAGCTCCTTCTTGCTGATTATCGACCTCCCAAAGAGCAACCAAGCTGATGCGCTGCCGGCAGAATCAGCGTCCCACGGGCGCATCAAATTTGGCCGTAACAAACCCGCCAAGTCCTCCGCCCTCCGCAGGAGCATCAACATCAACCAAGACGACGCCGGCGCAGTGCTGGGCGGAGCCCCGACTGCCGCATCCCGCGATGACCAAGACGAAGAGTCCTCCGAGCCTGTGGTGATTCGCCCTGCGCTAAGCCGGTCCGGCTCTACCAAGCAAAAGAACCGCCCAGCCTCGTCCAGACTATCGTTCGGGCCCACGGACAGCGGGGAAGCAGCGAGCGAAACCGATGCCGCCGCAGGAGCAGGCGCCAAGCAGCTCACTCCGAAGAGGACGCTCGGTCAGCGCGCGCTGGAAAACAATGCGTTGCGTAGGTCTGCGTCACTCAAAAACCTCACCGGCAGCCTCCCATTGCGATTCGGCGGCGACGAGGACCGGCCGCGGTACAGCAAGGAGTATCTCGAGGAGCTACAGAGCTCAACACCCAACACGCCCCAGAATCTGTCTTCCCTCCAGGTACCCGACGATGAAGACGCAATGGAACTCGATCAGTCCGAGCTGGAGGGCGCCTTAGTAGTTCAGCCAACAGATCTTGCACCAATTAGCGCAAAACCCTCCACGATACCACAGATCCTAACCGAAGCGCAAATCCGCGAGCGGAAAGAAAGACGGGCCCGCTTAGCCAAGGAAGCAGAGTACATCCCACTAGAAGGCGGATCCGACGACGAAGAAGAAGTCTCAGGACAAGGCGGCGCTCGCGTGACGGTACATTTCCCGTCCAAAAAGAAAAAAGAATCACGCTTAATCGCCGAAGACGAGGACCTTGGCGAAGGGTACGACGAGTTTGTCTCAGACGGCGGGCTGGCGCTAGGCAAGAAAGCCGAGCGGGAGGCGGCGCGGCGGCATCGGCAGGAGATGGCGGAGCTGATCCAGGCCGCCGAGGGCGAGGACGGGTCCGATGCCGAGGGCAGCGACGACAGCAGCGAGGCGGAGCGGCGCGCCGCGTACGAGGCTGCGCAGCGCCGCGCGGGCATGGACGGGTTGCACCGCCGTGAGCTTGACCAGGACGTCATGGACTTGGATGGAGGTGGTGCCGGTCTTGGTCCTGATGCCATACCCCGCATGAAGCCGCTGCCTAAGCTGAATGAGGTGCTACAGCGAATGCGCGAGATTGTGCAGGGGTTGGAGGATGAGGTTACCAGGAAACGCGCCACGATAGCAGGGCTTGAGAAGGAGAAGGAGGAGATTTTGGCGAGGGAGAAGGAGGTGCAGGGTATCCTGGATCAGGCTGGCACAAAGTACCAGGCTGCATTGGAGAGTCTGGGGGGTTCTGCTTCTAAGCTGGTGGGCCAGTCACCCCTGAGGCCGCTCCCTCCAGGGCTCGCGGGTGACTTCCCGGGGGAACGAGGCCTCGAGAGCTTTGGCGCAACACCTACCAAAGCCGATGATGGCGAGGATATGGTTTGAGGCGACGCCGTTGCCGTGTTTAATGTGTGCAGATCTACTGTGGGCATATTGCAGGCCTGAGGCTCGGGTACATAGCAATGAGAAAAAGCGAGACATTGTAAAAGACAACCAACAAACATTGTGCATTGTACACCATCTCTACGAGGACAAAAACCAACCGATTGACTGTTCCTGCCATGCCGACGCCGTTCTTCTGAGTACAACAGCACGAGACCAATATGATACACTCTGAGAGTCTACCGTAGACAATCCAGTAACCAACACAAGCAAACCTACAGTGTCGGGCCCCCGGTGAGCGGGAATACACACCATCCCATACCCAACCACCACCAACCCGTTCCTACATTCATTTACTTAGACCTGCTAACGCCGGCTCCAATAACCCCCGGCAGCTTCTCCTCCCCAACACTAAACAACATCCCAATCGCAAAAGTAACTGCCCCGACAATAGTCACAGTAAACCCCGTAATCAACCAGAAGGGCACGCTAACATCCTCCTTCTGACACATATTCCCGCCCCAATGAACCGTCTTTTCGCCCCGGTTGCGCTGTTCGTCAGCGGGCTTGACCACCGACGCCTGGCAGGCGCAGGCATAGCAGCTGGTGCTGGACCCGGAGCCGTACTTGTTGACACACTCGCCGTGGCCCGAGCAGTTGGCCGTCCGGGACATGCAGTTGTCGAATGAGTTGAAACACTGCGGTATCGCCTTAGCTTTGCGCGTCGCGGCGGTGGCAACGGGAGGAGCATGGCTGGGGCGTGTGTTGCCGACGGTGTCGTCCGAGATGACGGTTTCGGCGTCGCGGCGGCGGCGGAGATCGGATACGGATGGGTTGCTGCTGCTGCTACTGCTGCTGCCGCTCCACTGGTTGAGCTTGGATGAGCGACTTGATTCGGGGAGGAGGACGAGGAGGACTTCGAGGTCGCCATTGGTGACGATTCTGTTTAGGCGGGGGATGTTGTCTAGGAGAGTGTCTAGCGTCTTGGGGGACTGTGTTTGCTGTTAGTACGCGTGGTGAAAACGAGTGGGGGAAAAGGGGGTGTTCGAACCGTTCGAAGGTCGTACTTGACGACGGCAGACGGGCCAGTCCAGCAGGAGTCGTCAAAGGGGTTGATGACATCGGAGATGTCGCATTGCTGCTGTGATGCGACGCCCAGTCTCTGTAGGACTGCCATCAGGTGGCTGTTGGCAGTCGCCGAAGGAGGGTCAGAAATGGTGAATGCGGCATGTTGCCCGAGTTCCTTTTCGAGCCTGGCGGATTGTTCTGCTGTGGACCCTTCCAGGAGTACCACAAGCTGTGACGCGTCGGTCCTGGACGAATCGGCGAAAAGGGGCGTGGGCCTCTTCCCAAATCTTGCAATGTGTTCAACCACTGTCTTGGGGTCGACTGAGTCGGGAATGTCTCGCAGGTCGCTACCGTACCGCTGCCTCGACGTCTGTGATACAAGCCAGGTTAGCAGCTGGTCATACTCCAAGGGAGACCATCCAGAACATGCCCTTTGAAGGAATATATGGCGGGCGACTTCTTTAGGGAGACTTGGTACATCTGGTGAGCTCTGAGGTGATGCTTGCAGAATGTAGACATCGGCACTCTGCCGGCTCGCGCCGAGGGCCAGCCCCGACAGGGCCGCTGCTGTTAAACTGGCAACGAGCCGCATCGTGGTGTCTGTGGAAACAGTGGAAACTAACCGGCTGTGGAATTGCGGGAGCCGGATATAAATTCCTGACCGGAGAGCAAAAGCGTGATTGGGATCCAGACAAAGGTTCAACTGCACTGTTTCCAGCTGACGCAGTTTCCAACGTTGGCGGGCGCATCTGGGGACCCATGCAGCGCCAAGTGGGCACCTGCAGCGCTTGGTCTGTGCACTGGTGACTGTGACCGCGTGGGTCCGGCCCGTCGATAAGGCGAAATCGGGCGACAAGGGTCCCGATAAATTGACGACGGTAATGGTCGTCCACCGAAGCAGTTTACATACCTTACTTAGGTGATCTCTCAACCCCAGCATCGACAGAACGTTTCTTCCAGCGCCCATTCTACTGACCATAAGGACATTTTTAAAGCAAGGCATTCATGTTGCATTGATTACGACCGTAATAGCTGCCCGAGCTCTATTCGAACATTCCGCCCACCGGGGCCACCGAACCCGAATCCATCCTCTCTCGCTTTCCCCCTCGTCCTTGGGCGCCGGTTCGGCGCGCCGCCTTCTGCCGTCATGTCGCGCCTTTTCCTTCCGCTTCGAGCAGTGATCAATACGTCAAGATTGCCCCCACGATTAAGCAGCGGCCAGGTTGTCCGGATTGAAAGAGTGAGGGTCAAGAAGGCTAAGCCTCGCATGCGATTTCTGTGAGAGCCGCGTTTGCTCCCCCTCTATCCCTCCTCCCTTGTTCCTCGCTAGCATGATTGCTGACCATGAGCTGCGCAGGGGCTACATGATTAAAGGCACCATAGTCTATAATTTGCTCCTGTTAATTGCCACCCCTATCGTCGACGAGGAAGAAGAGGATGAGCCTTTATTTATTCCTTTTCCGCTTACAACAAAGCGTATCGATCAGCCTCCGTATTCAAGGAATGGTCCAGAATGGGTAGAGTACAGGAGGGTACTCACAGATCCGAAATTCCGCACCTGGCTGAGGAGTGAGCTCCCATCAAGTGACTTCCGTCCCTTAGGTGCTTGCTTAGGTGTTAACGCTTAGTAGACGAAGCTGCTGAAGTCGCTCTAAAGAGCGCCGGGCGAAGTCTCCTCTTTGAGAGGGTCGGAATGGGGCAAAACCTGAGAATTGCGTACACTCGGTTGGACATCGATATTCCCACGCACCCGCCGCCCCTGTATGAACGGTCAGGGTATGTTGCCACGACCGCTTTGAGTATTAGAGACGGTCTCACTGACTCTGTTTGTTTAAGTCTCTTGATCACGGACGACTCGATAGCATGGGCAACCGCGCCTTTCAAATCCCAGACTGCGAAACTCCTAAATCGGGTACTGTGGCCAGAGCCTCTCGCCCTGTCCTCCTGGGCCTTTCTCACGGCCATGACCAAGCAGACGGCGGCTGAAGTTGCCGCCTTTTTTGGTTTCGGGCGGGCTGAACCTCCAAACACCCCGAGTCCCGGGCCCACTTCATCACCTCTACCGACATCTCGCAGCCCAGACGTCCAGAAGGCGCTCGAGCAAATTCAATCCCGACAGCATGCTTCCAGGCCACCGGCAGAGGTCAGTGGCCCGAGTTCCATGTCTTCGGCAACGCCGGCTGCGCCGGCGACCCGTTCGAGCTCGCAAGGCGGTGGGGAAGTGAGCCCATCGGGCAAGCCAACTTCTGGCCAAGGCAATGGGAACGAACCCGCGAGGAAGCAACCTGCTGAGGGGGGAATAGGAGCTTACATTGGGCCCACGCCCTCACAAGCCTTTGCCAAGAGGTGGACACAGCTATGGAGACCACTCAGAGCCGACCCACCACGTGGTGCTGTCCTCGTCTCTGGGCGCGTTGAAATGGAAAGCAGCAGGGCGTGGTTCGTCATCCATATGTGGATGTGGTATAACCCGAAAACCCGGTCCTTCGACTCAGCGAGCTCTGAATTGATACTCCGGCGGGTAATAATGAAGTCGTAGCCTGGGTGATGGCTTCATTTCCCTTGTCAGCCTCCAGCATAGACGGCGTTTGCGGTGCGAGGTTATAGCATAGCTACTGGGATCGGTGTATCTTGGTATACGGAATGGTCGTTCGAGCTAGATACCATAAATGTATTGGTCTAACAGCAGGATCCCGCGGATTCGTGGGTTTACCCCTATTCATTGTTTCCTAGCAACGGGAAGCTAGGGTTTTTGGCGATGGCGCTAGGCTCATCTTCTGTGCTATCTGTCGCGGGCTGGACCCAAGCGGTGATAAGATTCCACACTCCTTATGTGTGTGTGGGACCTACTCTCGAGGCCGATCTGTCTGGGCCCGAGACCAGCTCTTGCCGTCAACTTGGCACAGCGGTTTACATAATCCCGTGTAAGGTAGCCTGACTGCTGGAATGTCTGTTGCACACAAGGCAGGCACTACCGGGCATACGCTAGGTGACTTGCGGCACTTTGTTGGCGTATTTCCAGTGGCTAGAAATGTCTCAGTTCTAGTGTAACAGCTATTGGCCGCGTTTGAGTTGGGCATCCATGATCGCCATCCTCAAGTACCCGAGTCTCACGGTCCGATGGTTCCCACCGTGACTCCTTGGAGGCTACCTACTAGACACTGCCAGATCGTGCATTATCGTCATCAGTTCTCACATTCGCTCCTCAGTCATCCATGGAGTAGGTATGGATGAGCCAACTTCGGATCAATCGACCGCCAGGGAAATCAAGGCTTCGGGATTCGGCAGGAATTTTAGCCTCGAGGACGTCTTCAAACTCACATATTACCGTTTTACACCGGAAGTTGTCAAGCTTGAGATTTTGAAGGATGGCACCGTTAGAACATTTGCATCTAGCTTCTCAGAGCTGTACTGGCCCCGTGATACTTGCACATCAGAGACAGCCGCCTTGGTCTTCGCCATCGAAGGAGACGAAGGCCTGAAACAGAGGCTGGAACTCTGGATCAAAAAGGACGACCCTTGGACCCGACGCGATTTCGTTCAAGGCCATTTTGAAGGGGATGAGCACGTGCGGAGAGAACTGGAATGGAAGGCTGATAATGTCTTCTTTGCCAATTGGTGGCAAGCCGTAGCTCAGAAGACAGCCGAGCACGAGATCCAGCAGCTGGTATCGAGTGGTAGGCCATTCAACGTCTCCACGTTTGACGACCCTTTTAAGCTTCGCGTGGACCACACAAGATATTCTCCTTGGCCCCTTTCGCCACATCGACCCTACCATCTGCTGTCGATCTCCTCGGATGAAAAGGGCAAGAAAACGAGATTTTGCGCAGCTCAGCAGTGTCTGTCATACTACAGGTATTCCGAGTCAGGGAAACAGGCGGATATATCCATGGGTATGCGTTGGCTCTCATGCTTCAAGCCACTCCACTCTTCTTTCAGCTCAGGCTTACCAAGTATCCTCACAGGAGTCATTCTCGTGGACCCCGTTCGCCGCTTTCATGTCCTGGATTTTAAGTGGAGTGCCTGGCGATTAGACGGGAATCTTGAAGAAAGGGTCATCCCGTGCTTCATCCAGGACGTGCCTAAGGTAGAGTCAGACACCGGGGGTGATCATGGCAATCATCATGGCATCATGGTCAGTGGAAATACAGCAACGCCATATTTCGAAGCAAGACCTTTGGACAGACTTATCCGGGCGCTAAAGCAGGCCGCCAATTGCGATACCATTTTGAATCCGGAGAGAATAGTAAAGACGGCAATGATCGAGATTGCATGCGAGGATCTCTCACTCGTTGTCAAGAGCATAAGTCGGGCCCTGGACGACATCGAACTGTCTCTGCACAAAGATGCGGTCCTTCAAGAATCCATGTCCCAGTGGCGAGAGCAACTCGGCAGATGGCAGAACATCTTTGTTCACCAGAGCTTGTCTTTACAGCGCATGTCAAAAATTCTCCCTCTTCTTGGAAGCTGCTCAGAAAGCGAGAGACTGGAGAAGACATTGGCTAGGCTTGAGACGGATGTGGAATGGATATCTCGCCGGACTCAAACAACATTCCAATCCGCCATGTCGAGCATAGCAATTGTTGAAAGCGCACGCGCCATAAAGGAAGCCGAGTCTGTCGCCAAACTAACGCAGTTGGCCTTCTTCTTCATACCCCTGAGCCTAGTTGCGGGGGCCTTCGGAATGAATATCAAGGTGAGTGAATCCCGGCCGTTCAATCCTCCACCTCCACTTCCGACACTACGAACTCACTGATCTATTATTTGTCCTTCAAAACTAAAACGGAGTACAGGAGTTCGAGGAACAGTTGACTTGGTGGCACTGGGTTGCTGTCTCGGCCGGCACTAGCGCCGTAACATACTGCGCTCTGTATAGGTCGGAACTGGCATCCAATCTGTATCAGCTGCCGTCGCTCTTCGAGAGTGTGAGAAAGGCTGGTATCCACCGATTCATGAGCCGATGGATCAGAATTATACGGTATGTCATGCGCCCATTCACTGATGAGATGTTTGGGAAGATGTGGCTGGGTTTAGGCTGGGGGGTTTTTCTCGGTGTCATAGCAGCTCTCTGCGTTGGAACATGGAAGTTAGCTGTGAGTGATTTGTCAGTTGGGGCGAAGGTCAGCATTAGCATATTCGCAATCTGGCTTCCGGGTGTACCACTGGCATTGTATCTCATGATTTTTGTAGACTGCCTTCCCTGTATACTTTGCCTTTGCTGTATGGGTAGGCGGAGGAAGCCAAAGGGCGAAAACCCATGATGACGAAGATTACGAAGCAGTTGAATGAGGCAGTTGTTAGTTTGCTTTCTTCTTTTTTGCTTCCTTTTTCCTTATTCCCCCCTTTCCCTCTTGCATTCTCTCTTCTCCCTTTTCTGTTTTCTATCTTCCAAGACTTCAGGTACCTAGTCTCTCCTAGTGTCTCATGAGACACATGCTGCTGGAATCGACACAGAGCCACCCTGCCTTCCTGTGATAATCTCAAGTTAGACCGTTCCCGGAAACTCTAGTAGGCTGCGAACGAGGTGTGGCCAGACTTTTCGCAAGGGCAAAGACAAAAGGGGCATGGTACCTAGGTGGAACCGGAGAGGGCGACGAATCAACACTACCTAAGTTCTAGGGCACCTTAAGCAGGATATAAAGAGCTCAAGCCGATGAATGTATGGGAAGATGATAGTGGAAGATTGTCACATGTTCAAGAGGCTGGCAGCTAGCATTCCAGACAAAACTGAGGTCACTACCTTAGCTAGCCATCATCAGGAGCTCAAAGACCACATGCACGGGCACGGTTGCCATCGTGATATGATGGAGATCTGGTGGTGTCTAAGGGAGATCTGTCAGTGTTAGGCAGGCTACAATAGGCCATACTAATAGTATGTCCTTAATACATCGCTGTGCATTTCTCTTTTGACTACTTACCAATCCACGTTGACCGTTCTGGCTGTTTTGGTTAGGTCCCATGTAGAATCTCTATGGAGAACCCAGAAGTCCAGCTCACGCCTCGCTGTCTGTCATGGCAGCGAGTTATAGGTTTCGTAGACATGTAGTCGCACTGTAAAACCTAAAGCTCGTCGTCAATAGACGGGAAAGTGGGAGACTGCCAGCGAGGCCCCGGATGCGCACCTATATAGGCTGTGAGGGTGTTTGTCCCAGTGTCACTCAAAGGGAGGTTGCGGGACAAGGAGCTCTAAGAAGCTCCAAGTCTCAAAGAGCTCCAGCAACAACGATACCTAAGGTAGGTACTGTAGGTAATATGCAATAGGCATGCGCGGTAAAGGCAGCTATGTGCCGTGTACCCAATAGACTCAGAGGATGAAAAGGGGGTAAAAGGGGCAAAAAGAGCGAGCATACTGGGACTCGAACCCAGAACCTTTGCCACCGGAAAGCAACGCGCAACCATTGCGCCATACGCCCGAATGTGTGTTTTTTGTTTCCTGGAGTTTTGGGTATAAGTGAAGGCATCATCAGGTTGCCTCACGAGTGACACCGTTGTGTTTTGGGTGTGCGCCTCAAAGGGGGAAGGAGCCACTGTAAACAACACCGGTAGCGACAGTACCTGTATTTAGTGTGGTTCAGATTGGATGCCTAGCGCTTAAACCTTAAGCGCACTTTTAACCACACAAAATACCACCCCATTTCTTCCATGGCTTTCACCTGGAAGGCATTGGGTTAGATCGCAGGGTTAGGGGTGTCAGACAGACAATAAAGAGAACCTTGCGCCTCCAAGCTCCCAAGAACCTACCTGCGCTCTTGTCACTCAAAGAATACCGCCTCATTCATCAGTCGACGCGATTCCTGCCCAGCCTCCATCTGAGTTACAGTCCCGAAGGACTCTGCTGTCCCACCACCCAAAATTGAAGCCAAAATCTGCCAAGCCGGATTGGAGTTGCTGCAGCTGGCTGAAAGCCTGAAAACACCCGCTCGGAAATCGGAACCAACAGACATTGTTCAGCGCCAACGAAGTTGATACTGCTGCCTGCACCAACAGATTTGATCCTTGCACGGTTCACCTCTTGTTATGTGATAGGACTTGTCCACAACTTGGTGACCCTTCGGACTTAACATTTCCCCTCCACGGATCCTCCCGAAATACCCGGGGAATCCTCCACTGCTATTAGTACGAGCAGAGTGCAGTTCATCCTTGCCAAGCGCAACTAGGAGTCCTACAAGGCAGAGGGGACTCTTCTACCCTACTAGTATATGTTGAGGATCGCCGATCTTCTCATCCAGAGCAATTAAGTTGTAGGATCAACTTGCTCTACAACTCACCGTGTCTAAGGTATCTTTCTATTACAGTGTTACACTCCCCGAGTACTCAGCTCAGCATGGCACCGGTTCCGGACCTCGCCGTAGTTGTCTGCCACGGCTCTTACCACACCCCCGCCCCGTACGGCCCGCTGCTGGAGGCTATGCAGACCAGAGGTATCGCGGCCTGTTGCCCTCGGCTCCCGACCGCCGACCTGGCGAAACTCAATGTCGGCGACGTCAACAACCCCGACTTCGACCGGGAACCTCCCCCCGGCGGGTATCCCCAGGGGGAGGAGGACACCGAAGCTGTGCTTGAGGTTCTCAGACCCCTGGTGGAAGCCGGAAAGGAGGTCCTTCTCGTCGGCCACTCCTCCGGCGGCTGGACGGCCACGCAGGTGGCGCAGCCGGAGCTGCAGGCCAAGGTTCGCAAGGCCAAGGGGCTTGCTGGAGGTGTGATTGGCGTTTTCTACGCGGGCGCCTTTGTGATCCCCGTCGGCGAGTCAATCTCCAGCTTTTTCCAGCCCAAAGACGGCAGCTTTGTGACGCCGCCGTTCGTGACTTTTCATGTAAGTACCTACCTAATACATCTATCCGAAACCTCACGGAGCACAGTCTACAGACCGCTAACAAGCATGCCAGAAACACGGCCCCGCCGGACTCGGTACAATCGTCAATGCCGAGAAGTTTCTCTTCAACGACCTCGACGAAGCCACGGCGAAGAAGTGGGCAGCTACGTTGACTGCTTCTCCTATTTTGACCACCAAACTTACCAACGACGCCTACTCGGCACTTCCTTGCGCCTACTTGGTCCTGGACGGAGACTTGACACTGCCCCGTGAGTATCAGGAGGGCATGGCCAGTCTTTTGACCCTGAAGAATGCCAATTCTTCCATCTACCACTGCCCGGCTGGCCACTCGCCCCATCTCAGCTGGACTGGAGGGATGGTGGACACGATTTGCAACTTTATAGAGAGAATCAAGGCCCAGTGATTTGATTCTGAGCGTGCTACAGGTACATGTACGGGGTTTGAGAGACAAAATCAGAGAAAACACGACTTTAGGATAATATTTGGGAGATGTGCTCTTCAATAAGCCAGTACAGAAGGTCTATGTATCATGTGACGCTCTGGGATAGGAGCGGCTTGGTAAATCATCCGTTTCCTGAAACCCGGTCACACAACCTGAATGATCCCTGATTCCGTGGTTCGCACCTCGAGATGGGATGTGTCTAGAGACCCCCCGCAGCAACAACATTGGCTTTCCCGTTCCGGAAGAAGATAGCCGCCAGTAGGCTAGCGGCCGCGCCGACATAGACGACGACAAACGCCTTCCGCCACGAGTCAACGATGATGTCCAAGGTCAGCGTACGCATGGCGGGCGATAAGGTATTGAGGAGGTGGTTCGATGCGCCAGCAACGAGCTGAGAGATCTGGAGACGCGGGAGACCCAGTGCCGATTCGAGATTGTTGACGGCCGTGTTGACGAAGACGGCACCGCTGATGGAGAGACCGAGGGTCATGCCTCCGAGTTGAGCTGTACGGTAAGGTATGGAGCGGTCAGTAAAGGGGGTGACCGAGAAGGAGCGAACGGAAGTAACGCGGCGACTTACAAATCAACATCAGGGCAATGCCGTTCGGAGCTTCCTCCGCTGGAACAACGGACTGTATGACCGCAAAGGAGGACTGGGTGTAGGCCCCCGTACTCAGTCCCAGAAACAACTCGATTACGTAGAAGATGCCCACGGAAGTCCCACGCTCGACGTAGTGTGCTGTTAACAGGTTGTTAGCAAGCCAGGACGCGGTCTGCTTGGACTGAAAGCCCCCAACTTACCCATAAGCGCAGAGGTGACCAGAGCAACCAAGCTTCCGACCAGGTACAACGGTTTGTACCAACCGTACTTTGACAAGAACCATCCACTCAGGGGCATAGCCGTGATGAGCACGCAGATGTACGGCAGCAGGCGGACGGCTGTGTAGATCGCCGAATCACCCCGGGTGAACTGAAAGTACAACGGGATGTAGTACACCGAGGTGTAAGCGACGCACGCTACCGACGCGCACGCCACGAACAACAGCACGGGCATTCTCTGTCGAAGGAGATGCACAGGACACAGACGCTGCTCCTTGGTTGTCAAGAGACTGAGGGACTGCTGGAGACCAAAGACGACCCAGAGCACACCAGACACGACAAAGAGAGCTATGCTGGCGCCGCTGTTCCAGGCCCAGTCCACGCCGCCAAAGTTGATGGCAATGACAAGCGTCACCATGGCGCCAACGCTGAGAACGATGCCAGCCCAGTCTAGCATCACAATCTTCTGCCATTGCGTACTGCCGGGCATGGCGGCCGTGGACGGAATCACCAGGAGGTAGGCCGGCAGGAGGACGGCGCCAAAGAGCAGGTTGATGTAGAACCCCCAGCGCCAGTTCCACAGGGCGAAGCCGCCGCCGACCACGGGGCCGAGAACGGTGCCGAGACCCCAGACGAGGCCGCTTTGACTGGTCAGTACGGAAAGAGTATTGAAGGGGTGTAAGAGATCAATGACGGTAACATACGTGTAGCTAAGATACTGCGGCCGTTCCTTGGCGGTGGTGTGCATCGACAGCAGCGCCAGCAGGCCGTAGTATATCCCGTTGCCGCCCGCGCCGGCGAGCACACGGCCAACAATTTCGGCCTCCATGTCTGGAGCCGCGCCGCACAGAGCAGATGCAGCCAGGAAGATGACAAACGAGACAATGTAGACCCATTTTGGGTTGTAGATGGCGTAGAGCTTGCCCATCGGGAGGATGACGGCCAAGCCGCCGATCATGAACCTGGATTTGGTTGGAAGTGTAAGTACAACGCAAGTTCGAGGGACAATATTCGCTGGTAGTAGTAGTTGCGTACCCGACAGAGAGCCATGGGAGCTTCTCGGTACCCTTAAGATCGTTGACAATGACCTGTGTGCGGTGCGGGAGCGGTCAGATTCAACCGAGGCTCAACATCTTTGCCTCCCTTCGACTACCGGGGCAATGCGTACAGGAATAATATTGGCAACAACCGTATTGTCAAGCGCGTAGACGAAGATGGCAGTAAGGGTGCTAACGACGAAGGCAAACCACTAAGCCAAGCATTCATCTTGTCAGAGCCAGGTGCCATCCAATATCCGAGGACGCGAGGACGCTTATCATAGCCATCGGGAGTCACGCACACGAAAGCCAGTCAAGGCCCTCTTCTCGTCCTGATGACTGTTAAGCTCAGGGTCATTCTTCGGGTTAGCCTTCTCGGCATCGAGCCGAGTGGTGGAGGCTTCGGTGCAGCTAGACTCCATCAGGGGGTGGGTAAACATAACACTAGTGTAAACACTGCGAAAAGGGGGAAAGGCTAGTGGTTCCTCTTGACAAAAAGGAGAACGTACATTGTGACAAAACGAAGTTCAAAAGACAGCAATCAACCATTTATTATCACCAGCTCTACAGTAGGAGACCCCTTACAAGGGACAAACTTGAAGATGACTAAACCATCAACATTCGAAAGTGGGGGAAAAAGGTTTTTCCCCCATTTGGCCCCCATGATTTTTAAGCAGCGCTGAGGTTATTCAGATCGCCGCCTGCAAGAGTGCAAGTGATTGGTGCCAAGACTGCAAGAAGCAGGAACACCTTCCAACCAAGTGACGATGAACCAAGATATGTTTGCTTGCCTCGCTCCTGCTTACATATTAAACCGCATCTGTAACTGAAATTGCGGTCATCGATTGTGTTCAAAGTTCAACCAGGAGTCATACTACGATATGGCGCAACAAACCCGTGTGGCCGTTGTCACAGGCGTGGTGAGTCCCGCCTACGGACCTAACCTCTAACAGCACCTTCCCGAACTCAAAGTAAAGAACCCGACCTAACGACAATCCAGAATCGCGGCATCGGCCTAGCCATCCTGCGCAGCTTAGCCTCAGGCTACGCTGGCCCCCAGCCTCTGGTAGTCTACGCCAGCACCCGCGCTGGCACTCTCCCAGAGGACATCGCAGCCCAATGCCAACCCCACGTGCAAATCATCCCCGTCCAGCTCTCTCTCCGCGACCCGAGTTCCATCGACGCCCTCGCCTCTCGCGTCGCCCGTGATCAAGCCTCTGCCGGCGGCCGCGGCGAAGGAGTAGTAGACGTGCTCATCAACAACGCCGGCGTCTATTACTACCGGGAATTCATCCCTACCTCCGAGCGGCACGACACGCTCGAGACCAACTACCACGGCACGCTGCGCATGTGCCTCGCCTTCCTGCCCCTGCTGCGCAATCCGGGCGGCCGCATCGTCAACCTGTCCTCACAGACGGGACGGCTGCGGTGGTTTGCGCCGTGGCTGCGCCCGAGGTTTCTTGATCCGGATTTGACGCTTGACAAGCTGGACGCGCTGGTGCGAGAGTATGATGCCGCGGCCGCTCGGCCAGGTGATGAGGTCAAGGCTGGGTGGCCGCCCATGGCGTATGCGGTTAGTAAAGCGGCGGTCAATGCTTTCACGCGCATCCTGGCGAGAGAGAATCCGGGGTTGAGGATTAATAGTTGCTGTCCTGGCTGGGTCGCGACGGAGCTTGGGGCACAGGCCGGGCCGCCGCCTAAGACGCCTGAGGAGGGCGCGCGGATTCCGCTGCATTTGGCTTTTGGGGAGATTGGCGAGACGAGTGGAAGGTACTGGGCCAATGACTCGACGAATGATACTGGCATCGGCAAGGTGCAAGAGCCATGATTGGTATTTTGGTATCAGGAGCATAGGGCGAACCTTCAAGACACTGCGTTAATTGGTATGCTAGAAGGATTCACATATTGTGAACCATGGCAACTACGTACCTGCGCGCTGTCTGAATTATCGGTCCCGAAGCAGCTTGCTGGCCCTGTCAAAAGCATCACACACCACTCTCCTCATCTCGTCCGTCATCTTGATGCCGTCTACATCTCCAGCAGCAGCCCAGATGTATTCAGAATGCTCCTCTGCACACAACTTGACCTCATCTTCCGAGCAGGTGATCAGATAGTTCAGCTGCAAAGTCTGCTTCGTGGTAGTCCGTCCCTCAACCTGCTTTACCGTGGTGTACGGCATCGGCACCAGTTCGGTGAGAAACGCCTTGACGGCCAACCCTGTCTCTTCAAGTACCTCTCGAACGACGGCGTGCTTGACCGTGGCATCCTGTGCCTCTACCTTGCCGCCCGGAATCTCAAAGACGCCAGGATAGAATGTCTCGTGGTCAGCTCGCTTCAGGAGCAGAAGCCTCGGGCCAGAACCGTCTTGAGGATGGGCACCATTCTTGAAGATGGCAGCTCCAACCACGAGCGTGTCGTATCTGCTTCCGCTTGCAGACTTCTTTTGCTCAAGAAGCGCTTCGCGAGATGAGGTTAACAACGAGATTTCTATCGCAGGGTCGACCGGAATCTCATAGACTGCAAACTGTTGAAATTGCGGGGCCATATTGTCGGCAACTGTTTCTGTTATCAAGGTGCGTGTACCAACGTGAACGTTGTTTCTCGGTCTGTCGCTGCCGATCAAACGTCGCCAAGCGTTGGTCACCGCAGGATTCCAGAGCCCGAGGACAATGGCGATCGACCTCACTGAAGGATGTGAACAGGTACTACCCGCAGGAGCATGCGAAATTCCAAAATCTAGATCTGCGATTGCTTGAGTATATGTGCAATCTTCAACCGTGAAAAGAGTGTCAACGTTCTAAGGGGTGAGTCAGGTAACGTGAAGCTTCACCTGCACAGCCCCTCGCCTCAAGATTGTTGGGGTTTGTACTAGGCAATTGATCCGCGCGCACTAGTCCTTTCTTCCGGGCGCACTAGTGTGGTGTTAAGTGTGGTGTGTAGGTGGGAGTATAATAGAGAAAAGGTGGGTATGGTGGGTTGTGTGTCTAGATCGGGATGAGTGGGGCTGTTGATTCGTGGATCTCGATCTCCAGGCATTGTGGGACGTTGTTGCTTTTTGTGTGGCCTTCGTTTCGCGAATCGCGTAAGAGACACAGTGTGGAAACGGGATGATACTAGTATTCTGACATTGTTGTTTAGTCATTTGTTGACAATTGCCTGAATTGGGCCTGCGCGTTCCATCCATCGTCACACTTTCACTTTCAAAAGCCCCCACGCCTCACTACATTCGTGACATTAGCGGCACGAATATGTCCAAGTTTGGAAATAAGTCACGGGCATCTCATGAGATATTCACTTGTACTTGAATACTACCTTTTTGATCAATTGCGAGCCATTCCTCTTCCAAACCAAAACACAACAGGCCGCTAAACGCGTCAGAGCGTGCCACGATTATATCCGCTTCGGCTACACTACAACCCCCGGAGAGGCAATGGGCAAATACATACAAGGCAGCGTAGGTATCACTCAAGGCGGCCCTTAGTTCGAGTCAAGCTGACAATGCAATGCTTAGGGTCGGGTGCCCGGCCTACGTGCGCCTCTGGCCTCGTTGCCGAGTGCCGTCAACGCGCCAATCCAACCAACCGCTGCGGCGCGTCCCGGCTTCTTGGCCGCCAGGCCAGGAGAATATGCCCCTGGCAGTTTCTGGCTAGGCCTCAAGCAAGAAGCGCAAGGCAGCCGAGGTTGACGAGGAAGACGACGTAGAACTCGCTGACCTGGACGACTTTAATCCAAGCGACTGGATCGTCAACAAGGACTGCGACCAAGTCCGCCGGCTGATCAACCGCTTCCTCGACTTGGGCACCATGACCAAGACGGCCTTTGCGCGTGAGATTGGCGTCAGTCTCAGCTCTCTCAGCGGCTTCCTCGGCGCCAACGGCCCAACCGCCGGCTCGCGGTCTGCCGCGTACAGCGCCGCGTGGGAGTACTTCCGCAAGCGCGAGATGTCCGGCATGGAGATGCCCGCCAAGAAGCAAAAGACTACCGACGCCCACGCCGAGATGGAGGGGCCCACCAAGCCAGCAGCCGGCAAGAAAACCAAAGCGCCGGCCGGCCCCGTCGACGTGAGCGACATTTATCTCGAGGGCGAGGAAGACGACGACGTGCTCTGCTTTGACACGGCCGACGAGATCCGCAGGAAATCACGGTCTACCTGAAGCGGCTGGGCATGACGCAGGCGTTGTTATGCCGGCAAATCTACGCCGAGTGCAAGGGCCCCGAGCGCCCGGAACGGTGCTTCCAAGCCTCGCAGCTAGCCCAGTTCCGCAAGGCCAAGGGCCCACTGAATGGCGCCAGAAAGCCTATCTTTTATGGTGCTTACGTCTTTTTTGAGAAGCTGCGCATCAAGGAGGGCAAGCCCAAGAGCAAGCACCGCCAGGATATGGAACTCATTTGGCAGGGTGAGGGGTTGCCTAGGGAAAGAGATATTGGCAGGCAAAAGTGAGTTGTTTCTGATTTTCCTGCTCTTTGGAGTTCTGGCCCGATATGTTTCGGGGCCTATCATTCTTATTGTCAAAATTCTAACTGTTTACCACAACCAGAGTCTGGGTCCCCGCCGCACGAATTAGGCAGATCACTTACCCGACGGGACTAGGAGCCCAGGACCGCTTGCGACTGCCTCGCTCCGGCTTGAAATTCGTAGACAGCTGCTCTTACCAAGCGAACAAGGATTTTCGAGCTGCTGGCCTTTTCCAACCGCTTAATTGAAGAGAGCCGTCGAGAAACTGATGATAGCCGCTTGCCCCTTCAACCGCAAACTTTCGGTTCTGGGGAATGGGGCTGTGCCGCTAAAGGCCTATCGCCAATATGAGGATACAAGCGGGCCGGGCAAAGTCAGCCAGTTGCGGCAAAGGGGGCTTGGGTTGGTTGGTTACACTGCCGCGAGATTCGCCCAATACGTGTCTTGGACATTGCACGAGCCTTGCGAGGGGATCCAGAGTGGGGTTTCAATGAGCTAACAATCTTTGAGAGATCAGGGAAATGCCCACGTCTGTTAGGACAACACCGGCTTGACGGCCCTGGGACTGCCCAAGCCCTTCCCATTGCAAGCTGAAGGCCAACTTCAACTCGTGCCGGAACGATGGCGCCTCCTGATGCTCCTAGCACTCATCTCTCAGCTCCAGCGCCAGCTTCGAGCGGAAATGTGCAATATCAACTAGAAATCATGTCCGTCGTAAGGACGGTTTCGGCACTTGGAGTTGGGGGGCTGAAGATGATCCAAATGAGCGGCGTCGACATTCACACCATCGCCTGTCTGGAAGCTCTTGGAGAAATAACGCCAGCGTCCAGCGAATTCCGTACTAAGGTTCAACAAACCCGCGCTACCCAGCGATCCAAGAGATGGCTTCTCCATGCCCTCGTCGAATATGGCTCGGGAACGAACGCTGTGGTGGACCAGCTTCTGACCGTTCGCGCTGGCGAGAACATCCTGTCGTTGCTGGTTGCCCTGTGCTCCGTCCTCGATGACGGGGCCATTGAAGCGCTTTCCGTCCTATACGACAGACTCAAGATCCTGCCCAAGAGCATTCCAAGCATCAGCCAGCTCCAGAGGGTGCGCCAAGTCTGTTTGCCTCTGACAAGGATGATGGACTTCAAGGACCGCGTCCTCTGGGCCCATCAACACATACTCGAGTCTGCCTTTGCGCAGAGACCGGATTTCGTGCCTACAGAAGCCGTGCCTGGGAGTAAAGCAATTGCAGAGCTGGTTATTTCTCTCAAAAGTATCTGCACAGGGGAGCCCCCAACTTCCAGGCTCATCTACTACGGCATGACTGGTGCAGCCTAGGTCATCGCCTATAGCAGAGAAGTTCTGGGCCTAGGCGTCTGCATCGTCGGCGCGGACGACGCCATTATCCCCATGAACTGCAGCTACGAGACTGCCTCGGTCGTCGTGCTCCCAACCCACAATGGCGGGGAGGCAGAGAGATTGCAACATCTGGAAGCTCCGACAGACATTATTGTTCTGTCCAGGGACCAACAGAAGATAGATGCCATGAGCTGGTATGTGACTTGTGGAGAAGGCGGCAGCGACTTCTTTCAGGTAATGGCTGGATGGAACGTCCGGGACCGCCTGGAGCTCGGCAATTTGACTTTCTCGATAGCAAAGGAGTATGTCGAACACCGTATACATACGGGCGACAGGGCCTATGCCCTCAAAGGAACTCTATACTACGCCCTTAGCCTCGAAGACACCCTCCAAAACCTCCGCGTCATTCTTGGACTGCTGGGCTTACCGGGTCCTCTCAGCTTCATACCAGATTGGGAGGAAGAGCACTTCACCGAAAGCGATCCCAACGAGAGGGACAGCCGGCTGGTGCTCAAACTCTTCTCCAGAATGGAGCAGGATTGGGGAAACCCAGCCTTCTGCCACAAATGTCCGGGAGTTCCGCGCTTCCGACCTGAAGAACTCAGCAGTTTTCCCAACTTCTGCGTTCCCTGCAAGCTCCGGGACGCTGTCCTTGGAATTGCATATCGCGCCTCTTGCCTAGCATTCACCGACTGGGCCGCACACAACAGGCACATGTCGCTAAGACGGGGGCTAGGGGCCTTTCGCTACTTCACTCTTCACGATAGCGCTATCAAACGTATTACTCTCAACGAGGAGGTACTTCTCGAGGAGCTTATGACGGTTCTATCAGGCACCCACAACGCGTTGGACAGGATGTACTGTGTCAAGAAGAAGTTCATAGGGGTGGACTTGGACGGTGTACTTCTGCTTAACCGCCGAGCCGTCGAACCGAACCTCGAGCCCGGACCCATCTTCATCATCCGAGAGGGAGAGTTCTCCCTCAATGGTGAACGCAGGCAGTATATTGAACAATCGCGTTGGTACGCAAATATCAGCACGGCTCCTCCGTATGATTTCATGTCAGACCCAGGCGACGATCACGAGCCAGTAGAGATGGGCATGCGCACAGTGACAGCAGAAGCGCGCAACTGGGAAAAGGAGTGACCACGTATGCGCTCATCTTTATCAGTCGAAGCCTCCCTGACGCCCAGTGCGATTCGCTTGAGTTACGTCGTCAAGGTGCAATATCCCCTGGCCCAGGCCGGATGCTCTGATGACGGGGGCAGAAACAGTGGCATCGGGACGACGCATAGCCTCGTTGGGATAGGAGACATTCTAAACAATGTTCAAATGCTTAGGGTCACGGCTCCCTGTCCACACCCTCCTGACGCGCCTTTCCGCGTTAGGGTCCACACATTCGACGCACCCGGTGGAAAAAGAATTGTATGGGGAAAGGATAGGTATGGTTTTCTGTGGAGAGCCTCTGGCATACCAGATGACGATGAAACTTGCTATGAGCCGCGCGGCCTACCCTCCCTTTCCATTGACTCCCTCGTCGTCTTCGTTACGCTACACGATGTAGGCTACGATGCCGTTGCGCAATGGCTCGCGGTCGTCAACTCACGGGCTTGGGAGGAAGCCGACAAAATGGGGAGGATTTGCATCCTGCAACGAGGCTGTTGCTTGCCCTGCACTGCCAAGCAAGCCAGGGAATGGATCACGGTAGAGGACAGGTTGTCCCTTTCAATTCTTACACCAGATCGTGTAAGAAGACGCATTAGGATCATCGCATTTCCGGCATGAAATTCGGGGCTTGAGGGACTGCTATACCTGCTGTTAGCAAAGCCCTCATCTCCCGGTTAGTTAGGAACTTACGATGTTTTTCTGTTGGAAGGGATTCTAATCTTGTTTCATGTAGTAACGTTATATAGAACTGACTCGGCTTAAGTTTTTTGCTTGAAATATGCGAACTCCTCGAGCTCTAAAGCTGATGCTTTTCCCGCCCTTTCCGCGGTTAGTTCTCCTGCAATGACTGTTATTTCCAGTGTGGTGAGATCAATCATGGATATCTCTATAGTACTGCCTATCATGCTAAAGCACATCATTCTATGGGTATTTTGCTCTGACTCATGGAAGCGCCACGAAGCCATGCACGAGTGACGAGACCCGCCCGTGCCTGCTCTAGTGCTGGCAATACCATACACCATATTTCCGAGGGCCATGTCTATGTCCCAAGCTCATCAGTCATCAGCTCAGTATTCCCCCTTTTTCTTTTCCTTTGGTTCCATCACTTAATCCCGATCAGCGCGCTCAGACATCTTCAACCCACTCCCCAGATCGGCCTCAATCCCGTGTTCATTGACGACCACATCGCTGTTGGACCGTTCAGACGTCGTGGCCTTCTCCTCTTCATCCCGTGCCTGGCGGCCGCCGCCAATCCGAGACACCGTGTCGACGAGCCCATATCGCCTGGCGTACTCCTCGATCTCTGCGGGCTGGAGATGCGGCAGCTCCTCGGCGGCCTTGACGTACGAGATTTTCTCAACGTGGCCCTTGGCAAAGATGATATCAATCTCCTCGAGCGAGCGGCGGGCCGTCTCCGGGTAGAAGAACCAGATGATGGGGATGAAGCACGCGTTGACGGCGGCAAAGAAGAGGTAGGTTCCCCAGCCAATGTTGTGCACCATGATCGGCGTGACCATGACGACAAGGAAGTTGAACATCCAGTTCACGCAGGTGCTGGTAGCATTGGCTTTGCCTCTTGTCTTGACCGGGTTGACCTCGGCAGGATACAGCCACGGCAGGGGGAGCCAGGTCGCACCGAAGAAGGCGATGTAGGTAAACAGTCCAACTGCAGCACCCCGGGCCGCCGATGCCGTTCCAGGGATGAGGCAGGAAAACGTTATCACCATACTCAAGCATTGCCCGACAGACCCGATCAGGAAGAGCTTCCGCCTGCCAACCCGTTCAATAACGAACCAGGAGGTGGTAGCAAAGATCGAGTAGACGATCATGTTGACGCCACCGAGGAGCATACTCATGTTGTGATCCTCCCCGATGGACTGCTCGAACAAAAGCGGAAAGAAGTAAATGACGCTGTTGCACCCCCCTATTTGCTGCATCAATTGCGAAGAAGAGCCCAGCAGCATGCGTCGGAGGTGCTGCGTCTTGCCCCCAGTGAACAGGGCCTTGATAGGGGTGCTCTTCTGGCCGTAGCCGCCGGCGGCGCGGAGGGAGTCCATGATGACGTTGCGCTCAAGGGCGGTCTCTTCACTGTCTATTTCATAGCCTCGGAGCGCCGAGATGACTCTGTCGGCATCCTCGACACGTTGGTGGCTCAACAGCCATCTTGGGGATTCGGGGAGGAAGATCATCGGAACGACGATAAAGATGGCAAAGACGACTTGAAACGCGATGGGGAAGCGCCAGACAAGGTCATCCGGGCCATAAGATGCGCCGTAGTCGATCCAATACGCAATCAGGGTTCCGAATGCAATGACGCCCCCTTCTATGCAGATGAGAAGGCCTCGGTTCGACGTTTTGCTGCATTCGGCTGGGCTCGGGCGTTAGTCTTGTCTTGACAATGCGGTTTCGAGCTGCTTACCTTGATAAGTAGGGATGGTCGAAGTGTTGATACCGTTTCCGACCCCCATGACGACTCTTCCCACGATCAACTGAGCCAAGGGCGTCGCCCAGTGCATAGCCGTGATCTGGATAATGACGCCGAGGAGCATGATGATGGCTCCCAGAATGATGGCCCTCCGTCGCCCGAGAAGATCGCCAATGCCGAGAATGAGCATAGCCCCCGCTAGACATCCCAGCTCGTAGACGGCGGTTACAAACCCCTGCATCGTCGAGTTGTCTTTTGTTTCCTGAAACATGTTGTTGAAGGCCGGGGCGGTGATGATGCCGCTCATGACTCTGCAACGGTGGCTTAGTGGTGTTACCAGTATATGGAAAGGCGGCAGTTGACATACCCTTGATCGTATCCGAAGAGGAGGAAGCCTGTTGTCGCTACAGTCGAGACCATTAGTGAGAGGGGCCGGCCTGAGAGGCCCATGAACCTTGGAGGGGCCATCTTGGACGACGACAATGGTCTGGCCAGTGAGTACGAGTCCTGTTCCTGTGGATGGCAACACGACGGGTGGGCAGACGCTTTCCCTTATATACTCTGACCAACATCAAGCAGGAGACCCCGGGCAAGGACGGATGGGGCGTTAATGTGGGACTCTCACTGTTGCCCACAGCGCCAGCAGACCCTTGGGATCAGGAACAGATGGGGAAGGTGCCCTGAACCAGTGTCAGCCACCGTGGAGAACACAAGACTAGCGGTGGACAGATGAGATGCGACGCTGGCGTGTAGCCGGTCGTAATGTAGAGAGTGTAGATTGGGCTGGACATCCATGTTGCTGCAAGACGAAAAGACCGCGCCATGAGACGATCTGTTTCCGATGGCGTGTTCCAGATATGCGGCGAATCTTGGATGCAGGATAGGGATCTTCACGCAAAGAAGGCAAAGATCCTTGTTAAGTGCAGTGGAACGATGCTATCATAGGCCAGCCGCACGCAAGTATGCCCTTCGTCAGACCCTCTTGCGGCCCGGATGGCCCACCTGACCGCGGTGGACATGAAGTCATCAGTGGATGCGTTGAAAAACTGGTACCAAGTGCCGACTTGCCAAGTCGGCACAGAAGACGGCCATTGATTTAGTGCGAAGGCGAATGTATCTAAGTGAATTCACGACCAGAAAAACTGTGAGAACCGAAGACGCAACCGCTGTGGTGCGACGTTGAGAGTTTCCTGGTAGGATTCCCCCGCAGTTGCCCTTCCAACCCAACTCGAAATCGCGGGGAAGACGGGAATCCATAGGGCGACAGAAAGTTCCGATGTTATTCCCGTCTGCAAACCCTTCGCAGTGGCAGGAGCCGGCAAAGAAGGCAAGATTCCCTCTTCAAGCTGGCAGGGCAGTGGAGAATGGCACCGTTCCTTCCCCCACACCTCGGTGGGCTGAATGTCGTCACCTCTGTGCACACCGCGCCTTGTGGAGCTCACCGTCTCCAGCTAAGGGTCTTGCGGGCGTGTTTTATCAACCAACGACCCGACGACTCACCTCAACGGTTAGTCATCCCTCAAAACAACAATCGCGTGTCCCACCCTTTGGCAGAAAGTCGACAGTGCGATGCTCATCGTCTGGTTTCTATTACTATTGCCAAGGTTAAGTTGCGTTAGCATGTGAATGCGCATTGCATGTACAGCAACAGCAGCTGGTCGGGAATTTGCAACCCTTCCATGCTTTGAGGCCGCCGAATCCGCATATGTAAGTGTATTGCTATGTTCCATCCATTTGCTCAACAACAAATTGCTAAGCACAACATCTGGGTTACAGTCAAACCTGCAATTAACGATTGGTCCTCACACAGCCGATTTGATCGTTAATCCCAAGCTATCCTTAATCCCAGGGGACCCACTATTTTCCCAGAATGAAAGGCAAGATGCTCTGAATATAGCAAAGTCTACATGTAACTACTTCTCTGTATGTAGATGAGTGTATATAAGACTGCAGTAGATTTGAAGTTGTTAGATTCGCTGGAAAAGGGAGTATTCAGTATGGGTGGAAATAGGTGCCTCAGTTTGGCGGGAAAATGGGGGTTCTGGAATGGCCAGTCAGTGCTAGAAAATAACGATATTTGAACACTGAAACTTCCATTTGTATGTATTACTAAGCGGAAGTTCAATCGTCATATCGGATAAGCCAGGGAATATCGAATTAGTATGGGATTTTCATCGGTAACTCGATAATCTATCGCTAATTGGAGGATATCATTAATCCTCTAATCGTTAATTGCAGGTTTGACTGTAGGTCGCATTGTTCAATCCTTCGAAATGTGAAAGATGATAAGATCTGCTCGGCCACATGGAGCCTCGGCTGGCACCTCGGCAGTGGCTTGATGATCCCTGCAACGAGCAGATCGCGCCGAGCAAGCCCTCGGCATGATGCGCAGCATTCTGGTCAACTTTTGCAAAATCCAATCAAAAACCAAACACAGGTTCACAACGTTGCCGGTTCAGAGATGCCGCAGTACATTTACAAACCTCCATCTGGCATCGAGGCTCTCCTCGAATGTGCCTTCGACAGGAGAAACAGAGAAGAAACTTGTGTCTGACTCGCCGACGACTTTTAGCGCGACGTTTACCGAGACCAGCCGGTTCCGGCGCTAGAATGGCCCCACCAGCCAAGGCCGTTCGGTCCGTCTCCGGGCAGGTCCCTGCGGCCGGGTGGAGCCCGGTATCCGCTCAGGACCCTGAGTAGTCGCGGGTTTCTGCCGCAATGCCCGCCGCTGTGGCAAGCCGCTACTTGCCCCTGGCGATCCTGTTGAGCCTGTGTAGCTCAACGGTGCCACCTATCTCGATAAACACTGGCACGGCAGCACCGGTGGCGGCCTCTGCAGCCCGGCTTCCATGACCGATGCCGTCTTTCCGAATAGAGGATCCACAGAACGGGAAATGAGACTACTTGGGAACAATTTGGGATCCGATAATCAGTAAATATTGCGGACAGCCTTTCCACAGGATGGCTCGATCCGTTGAGCGTTATACCGAGCACTCGCCTCGTCTCAGGCCTTAAACTGACGTCAAATACGTTGTCTCTTTGTGCTGCAAGAGAAGTGCGCTATGTACAAGTACCTGTGTACTCTGATCTCGACCGGCACGAGGCCTCCTCCCACAAGCTCATCCAGGCACGGCATATTCTTTGGGACCTTCTGTGCAAAACAAAACCACGACCGAGCGATGATCAAGCCCAAGTCTTGCCTTCTCAGTCTCACAGATCCGTTTCAGAGCAGCCAACGCCGCAGCTCCGCAAGGCCCTGCCTTGATTCCCAGCTGTGCTGATTCCTGAACTGCGTTGTGTGACTCCTTATCACTCACAACAACACTACCGTCGACCCCTGTTGCGAGTACTGGCCATGCTGTGGTGGACAGCGTCCCGCAGTTCATGCCATTCATGATGCTGTCTCCCGTAGCCACGGTTGTCATCTTTCCGTTCTCGAGTGACGCCTTCAGACATGCAGCGGTATCTGGCTCGACAGCAAGCACGGTAGCTGCAGGCACACCGTTCTGCTCCCTGACAGCACTCTTGAAGTGCTGCGTGACCGCTTGACCGATCGAGCCGCATCCAACCGGAACGATGGCATGTGTAGCAGGCTTTCCGCCCGTCGCATCAAGAACCTGTTCGTCCGTCTCGTCCAGCATGGTTTGGTAGCCTTCAACAACCCACTTATACCAGACTTAGCGGATGACGGACGTTTTCTGCTTCTTCACATGCAATTATGCAAGACTCACCTTCGGCACCTGTTCATTCCCCTCCCAGCTCGTATCAATCACCATCAGCCGCCCTTGTCCATTCCCAAGCTCCCTCTTCGCAGCCTCCAGCGCCGCTTCATAGCCCCCGCCCTCCACCACCCTCACCTCGGCCCCTTCGCCGCGGATCAATTCTCTGGTCGTGACGTGGACATGATCGGGCACGTAAACAATCGCCTTGACACCGATATAGCCCGCCATCCTAGCCACCGCCCGGCCCCAATTTCCTTCGGTGCAGGTGACGATTGTGAGGTCATTGCATTCTCCATCTGACCCGCCGCTGTGTTTACGGCTCGCTACCAGCTCCCTCAGGAAATGAATCGCATTCGACCCATGGCTGGTAAGCCTGGTAGTGCTGTCGTTGGAGCCAGGTAAGCTAACCCCAAGATGGGCGGCGACCGCGTTAGGGACGGCCCAGGACGCGCCAAGGATTTTGAACGAAGGGAGGCCGAAGCGGGAGGACTCGTCTTTGAGCAGCACGTGGGAGAGACCCAGCGAATCCGCGAGGGCGGGGAGGGAGCGCAGCGGTGAGGGGCCGTAGTCCGGGAGACTGCGATGCAGGGCTTGAACTGGGGAGAGGCCGAGAGGAGATTGTGAACCAGTGCCGGGTGTGTTTTGGAACCGCCAGGTTTTGGCCGCGGCGTTGATAAAGACTGGCGATGATGAGGGTGGTGGAGAGGCCATCGGTCCGAGTTGAGGGGCTCAGAGTAGGGAGGCAGGTGCCAGGTGAGTTGTCGTTGGGCTTCGTTGATACTAAGTACGTGAGTTCCTGGCGGCTAGTACTGACTTGAAGCGTAGAATGTGCAGGTAGACGATGTTTCTGAAAGCTGGCCAACCTTTGGGCTGGCGTGAAAAAAGACGCTGACACTTCGGCGTGCGGGGTTGCTTACTCGGCATGCCCGGGCCTGAGTTTTGGTCAGTCCGAGACTTCGGACTCGGGAACTTGAGAAGCATCGCCGGAGGAACGGCCTCAAAACTACTGGTAGAAAACTAAAGTACTAACTAGTAGGTAGGTACGTAGGCAGTCAGGTAGGTGGCTTAAATCAAAGTATAAGCGCAAGAACACTAATTGGGGTTCGTAAAAGGAACGCCGATATGAGGGCCAGTCTGAACTACATGTAGGCATCATCCTATTTTAACTCTTATGGCCGACTGTTTGATTACAATGAACATACT